ATTTGCTTAATCGACGAAACTTTAATACTTCAAACTGTCGATAATAAATTTCGCCTGTTAAAATGATAACATTAAATCAGTGCATTCTATTTTGTAGTAGCCGCTTGAAATGAGTGCAGATTTGATTCATTGATTAATTGCTGAGTTATTCACTAAAGGATTTTAATGTCTCGAGAAATTCAGGGCAAGTGAAATCAGTGAATCACTTTGTCACCGTCATAAAAGCTTAAAATTACATGATATCTCGGTTGCTAGAAATTCAAATTTCAAAGGATGGAAGGGAGAACTTATCTCAGAATAAGGCTCAATAAAAAGGCGCCTATTCGATGGCAGTGGTAATTTTAATGCAATAGATATTTCGGATTCAGATTATTTCAATTTAAAATATTTCTCTTTTTGCACCAATTGCAAATAAATTTTATTCCTGAATAGTTACTTTATGATATTCTCTTCAAAAATTTTTTTCAAATCTAAAATTTCAAGAAAAAATAAATAGCAGCTAAAAAATGCGGGGCAGATCTTGTAATTTCAAAAAATTTGACTGAAATATTTTTTTACTTTAAATTATTCGTAGCACTTTAGTTGTTCAAAGAATTTTCAATTACTTTTGTTTCTTACTTTCCTTATTTGCACTGTGATTACTTTCTTTTGCGAAATGAAGAAAATTTTATAAAAGTTAGTTCTGTTGAATATCGACGAAAATATTACAATAACCCGCAGCTGTGTGTTTCAGATATTAATTTTTATTTTTGCAAAATTTGCATAACAATAATTTCACAATAAGCGATCATTCAAAATATGAAATGAATGCTTTGCTATTTTTGAATAATTGCAAAAATAAAAAAAGGAACTGTTTGTTTTTCCATGGAAAATGCTGAAAATATACCGCACATTTGCATTTATAACGAATTTTTGAATAGAAATCGTTACATATGGTACCTTTTTTATCATAACGATTCTGATGGCAAATAAAATGGAAAACACTTCAAATTCACTCAAACAATTTAATTCACTTCCTTCTTCAGAAAGCGCCAGCTGCGCAAGAAGAAATGGCTGAAACTGCCGCAATGAGCTTCAGAGTTTTCCACCTAAACAAAATATGATAATTTGGTTAGCAAATAAAATTACATAATCGACGGTATACCGCGTAGATAATAGAAGACTGATAATTAAAAAAATAAAATTTAGATAACGAAAACATTTATTGAATAAGCAAAAAGTAAACCTTTCGTAAAAATTAGATACGTTCATTCGTTTATACAAATTTTGCTTTTTAATACGATTTTCTTTGGCTTACTCAGAAAGCTTTTCGAATTCAAACTGATAAAATCTTGATATAGTGAGAAGTAATTGTTAAAATGAGATATTTGAAACATAACTGAATTATTTCATGTATTTGAAATACCTAACAGAGAATAACTATGTGCCATCTGAACGCTACGATTCAATTTGTCTATCAAAATATGCATTACACTTTTTTCGAGTAAACTTTTATGGTATTTCCGGCACAAATGATCTAATAGAAATTTTAATTATTATTCCTCCACATACTTTCCAATTTTTGTTGATTGCATTGATGCATAATAACAAAAAAAGTATTAGGATAATGATAACTTCATCAATATGCCATATAGTCAGTGTCTATCTGATATTTACAATTTAACAACCCTTCCTTCCATACAACAAACAATACGCACATTTCCCGTCCCGTTCGGAAGCATTCAGAAGACAACAATATTGTTATAAATGACTTTTTTTAGTGTATATTTGTGCATGCATGCTTGCAATGCATGCGTATGCATGCACATTCATTAATATTTTTGAAAATGTATCACATCCTTATTTTATGCTGTATTTAATAATCGTAAAAAAGCGATATATTTCCTTTATGCGTAAAACGTGAGATGACGGATAAGTAAGAAAGGTGAGAGACTGAAATGAATGGAAGATAAAATGATTTTTTAATATTCATGTTTTCAAATTTCTTTTAAAATACATACAAAATTTTTTTTAAAATATGACTTAATTAATTTACTTTCAATTCAAATTAAATTAAGAAGAATCTGATTTATAGGAAGTTTTATTGACAAAATCGTCATACCATCCCTTTTTCCATCAATTCAAATCCATTCTTTAGAATCTTCCTTAAACAATCTGAAAGTTTTCGAGGAGCTGAAATCAAGAAGCAATTGCAAGAACAAATTAAATTAAGAAAAGAATCTAACTTAGAGGAAGTTTTATTGATAAGATATCATACGTCCCAAAATTTCAACTTTCACTTACTCTTTTAAATGAATGGTTTTTATGGAAGTATTTCAGCATGGCAAAAATGTTGCTTTTTGACTTTAACTCCTCGGATACTTTCAGATTGTTTAAGAAAGATTCTAAGAAATAAATTTGAATTGATAGAAAAAAGAAAGGCGCCATCATTGTGTTAACAAATGTTTGGATGAAGAAGAAGCATTTGGTCATATATAAGCGCTTTTCATCTTTCTAAAAAGTGGCATGTTATGGCACTTTGCTTATTCAAAAAACGAGCCTATAAGATTGATAGGAAAATCTTCTTGGAAAATATTTCATACCAGAAAACTTCCCATGCATTTTTTATCTTCCAAAAAAAGCAGGCGTAAAAAGCGCAAGGCTAATAAGGTATGCCACAGTGAATCAGAGCACCATCTGCAGCTTCTTTTACATGCAAATGAAAAAATCAAGATTTTCTTATAGTCAAGAAATAGCCCTCGAACTTTGTTCCATAAAAAACAGAAGAAGAAAATGAAAGAGAAATAGAAAATCTTTGCAGCTGTCAACAAAAAGTATTAAAAAAATCTTCAAAACAGAAAGATGTGAACAAGATGACTTTTTCCGCAGTAAGTTCAGTGAAATGAATGAAATTATCAAATCTTGTTTGTTTATTTTTCGTTAATTTTTTATTTTTTATTAAATCGTTTTGGAAATAAGTATAGTTTAAAAAACGTTGATAGTAACGATTGTAAGCGCAAATTGAGTATCGCATTGGAAGAAAGCCAAAAAAAACTTTGAAATGTCAAAGTTCATCAATTTGTCACTTTATATTTATCACGATTGTTTCTTTGTCGAAAGAATAAAATTAAGCATTTTTTAGTTTTTTCAGTTTTTTTAATCTGTACAACTATTTTTTCTTTTTAAGTTTTGTGATAACCCTCAATTTATGTAATTGTTCATTTATAATTTACTGCGATTTTAATTATGATAATGATTTCTTTTTCAAGTTAAATTCCAGCTTAAGAAAGAAAAACGGCCAACAGAAATAGGATCGGTGAAGCTCTTTCGTTTATTAATCGAAGTATTGAATCTGAAGAGATGTATATATCTTCAGATATGCATATATACATAGAAGAATTCAGGGAATTCTGATGGATACGTATTATAGTTGGAGGAACGGAAATAACACTCATAACTAAAACAATTTCAAAAATTTTCTTCATTGCTTATTCATAGCAAAATAACAAGAAAAGGAAAGAAATTCTTAATAAAGATGTGAAACTCAGACAGGCACCAAAGTCGGCGAAGATTGAGATTCATAAAGAAAGGCGAACTTGCCCGATACCCACACAATTCCTCAACTTATCCTTTCTTTGCTTCCTTCTGCGGTACATTCTTCTCCCTATATTTATATTCCATCGATAATGTATGGCCGAAGTTTCTTTCCGGTTTTAGAAAATAAGTGAGAATAATTAATCACATTTTACATGCTCCTCTAATTCAAGCATACATGGTTAAACTCGATCCGGATTAATCTTTAATCATTTATTTTTTAATCATAAACTTTGCATCAAACATTCAATCATATTGTCACTGAAGGATGAAATTTCAGGCATGAAATTTCGGCATGAAATTTTTCTTTCAAGTTACAATCATGCCAGCATTATTGCATTTGTATTGCAAAAAGGATATTTAAAGCTCAAATAGCAACGAAATAAACATGTGAGGTGAAATAACGATTCAAATTAAAATTCATATTTTGCATATCAAAAAATGCAATTGAGTGAGGTATTTCCATATCGGTAACCTTTTTCTTTTAATAAAATATTCCGCGAAAATAATTTATGATAGAATTAGAGGAAGATAGAAGACAATAGTAAGCCGGAAATTAAATTTCATTTTTCCTTTTCTTTCGTAAAAATGGTATTATCAATAAAACTTATCCTCAAAAATAAATATATTAAAATGAAATTGCTTTCAGTGCAAAAATTTTATTATAAAACGATCGTTTCTTTTATGCAAAGCCATTTGTGTTAATTATTAAAATTACATTTAATAGTTAATCTAAATGATATTAAAAATTATTTCTCTAAAAAATAATTGTATATCTTATTCTATTTTCAATGGAAATTTTGCCATCACAACTAATTCGATGTGCTTATCAATTCAAAAATTGATATTATTCAATTTATGTGAATGTAACAAAAGAAAAGAAAATTATTGTGCAAAAAATCGATTACAAATATAAATTACCTGTCATCAAAAAAGCATTTCGCAATAAAGAAATGGCAGTTAATCGTGAATGAATTCAAATTGCACTATTATGAAATTGTAAAACAAATAACATGAAATTGAAACGTACGTAAAAGTTAATATCATTTGACAAGTATGAATTTCAGTGGAAAATATTTGGGAAAACAATCTTTTGAAATCATTTTCGTTAAAAATCAATTATATGATAAATTGTAACAAAATTCTTATCTGTTGCCAATCTTCAAAATAGTCTGTATCATTTGCTTGCTAAGACAAAGAAATGTTTAACTATCAAGAAATATTAAGCCAAATGATTTCATTAGTAAAAGATTATGCTTTCATTCTAAAAGCCAAACAACAATTTTAACATTTTCATAATTTTAATATTTTAATTATTTCAAAATTTTCAGTAGAAAAAGAATTGCACGAGAATATTCATCGATAATAGATTGCATATTATATTTTATAAATTGAAATATTTATTCCCCATTTATGCATCAGAAATCCTAAGATTTATCACAGGAAGAGAACAAATTTTGGTTGATCGGTTGTGGATTGTCGGATACGGCTGAAGTGTTATAAACAGCTGCATTTGACAATGCTGGCATTTCATCGAAATATACTTTTGGTGGGATATTTAATTGAAATTCACCTACAATTCCAAAATTTTTTTAAATCGAAAAGTACATAAATGGCTGCTTAAAAATAATTGAAATTTGAAATATGTTTGCTAAATATGTGCTGAAAATATGGTTGATAGATATAATAATGATAAAACTTTATTACAAAATTAGTTTATTTCAAAAAAACATATTCATCCAACAATTTAATTACTTAATTATTTCTAAGTCTTCGCTTTTCATTAACCAATCTTAGATTTATAAATGATGAAAAAGGAAGAATTAAACTTGCCTGGAGCGTTGGAATTACCGGCAGGGCGATACATTGCAACAGCAGCAACACAATTATTACTGGTATTCCACTGCCTGGCAACACCCATTTCAGATGTTTCCTTCCAAACCATTTGCGTGAAATGTTGCGTCTCTGAAAATGTTTTTTTTTATAATGTTGCGTCTCGAAGTAGTTACACAAATAGTTTTGGGGTGAGAATTTCACATTTGATACAAATAAATTTGTCATAAACCGATTGGATGGATGATTCAATGATTTACTCTATTATTCATTTTTTCAGGTAGTGGCTTTAAACCCGGAAAGTTTTGAGAAATAACAGATTTTTGATTGTCAGCTTTTCAAAAAGCCACCAAAATTTATTCCAATTTTCTTTGTTCTCCAATGATTGAAATTTGTAAATGATATTCATTTTATTATCCTTTACAACTTTTCACCAAAGTTTTATCATCAATTTTCAAATTCCCGATAATGATAAATCCATGGTTAATCCCTTTCTAGTAATGTTCCCCAACCTTTTTTTAGTCCAATTACTCATTTAGAGAATGCGTAACACTTGGTTCTTCAAATAATCTGCAAATTTGATGTATCACTGATAAGTGATATATCCGGGAAACATATGTACCGGGAAGAGTATGACAGCAACAACAATTTTTTTCGTTGTAGAAACGCGACGCAAAAATATTTGACAAAGTACTCGAAGGTAAAAGAATTAAATACTATACTACGCAAAAAGCTTTCAACTAATTTTCGGAGAGTCTTTGGAACGCTACAAAGCATTTCACGCAGCAATTTTCTTTTAATCAACGATGGTTGTAATTATCAAGTTGACTATTTACTATATATTTTTATCAGTGTGATAACAAAATGATTACTTTACGTTACATTCCATAAAGATCTCAAATTATGCAAAACTATAGAAACTGAAATAAGATTTTTTTTTTGAAAGTTTCAAAATATTTCGTTAAAAATTAAAGAAAAACCTCGAACAGCAATGAACTCACTGGGATTCCATCGAGGTCTCTCAAAATCGAAGTCCTCTGCTTCACGGGCCCAAATTTCGGTAATTTCAGTGCCAGAAGGTAGATGAGTTTGTTCATCCACTACTGTTAATCGTATATTTTCGCCTATTCCTGACAACTATTTAGTTAATATTTCATTCCAAAATTATAACATTGCTGTTTAATTGATATGTAATACTGAAACTCTTTCTAAAAAATTTTATTTATGAAGAAATTTGTTTTGAATTTGCATAAACTTTATTTTATATTATACAAAAATCATTTTGTTCACTCTTTTTTGAAGAAAAAAAATTCTTAATAAAAACTTTGGTTTTGCCTAGAAATGTCTTATAAAGTAAAGTAACCAATTAATATTATTTATTTTAACCTTGTAATTCCGGAAATAATATTCGTCCTCGTTCAGCCAATTTAACTGCCCAGGAATGAGCCAAATCACATAATTCCTGAGACCATATTAATGGTTGGCAGCCATATCGCGCCCTTACCGCATTATGAGCATCCAAGCATTCACGTTGAAAATTCACTTCACCTATAAAAAATTAGCGAATTGAATGAGACATTTGTTAGTAATAATAATAAATTATTTGAATGCTTGTCCTAAAATTGATTAAACCCTGCCATCAGTAATACATTTCCGACATTTACACTATTCAGTTTGCTGAAGAATTTGTGAAATAATACTCAACAAAGCTTTTGTTCATTTCTTCATTTTAATTTTAAAAATTTTTTGAATATTTATCCAAAATTCTTTTATGGCTTTTTTAAGCATAACAATGAATAAATTAATAATATTCTATTCCAATTAGTTATTTCGTTACAAAATCCTTATTATTAACCTCTATTATGTAAAGTTGAATTACCTACCACAAATAAGCCTTCCTTTAAGAGAGTTAAATTGATTCTTACCACTTTAGCTATAAAATCATTTGCACTCAAAAGTTTTATAAGCATATTTAGCCATTTAAATGGTTCACTTTAATGCCAAACTTACCAACTGCAACAAACTTAGGTCTCTTTTTGACATATTTAACATCGGCAATAGTTTGCATCATATGTTTATCTAATTCTTCATCAAAATGTCGTTCTTCTCCCATTGATGATGATGTGGCATCATAACAACTACGAGATTCATCTGTAGTTGTCGATTCTCTAGAAATTTTGAATTTCTTTTATAATAAAATTTTATACTTTTTATAAAATTCTAATCATAGGCAAAGTAGGCAAATGAATGTAAAATATTTTGAGGGTAAAAACGACTTTTACTTGACACCACTGGTTGTACGACAGAAAGTACCGCTTGCTGCAAGATTTGTTGCACCATTGATACCACAATTCTCATCCACCTTTTCATACTGATATGATTTTGATTTTTTCAATTTCTTTCGACCAAAAATCCTTTTCATCACTACGGAATATTCAAATAATTAGGTAAGTGCAAAAAAAAGCTTATAAGACGCATTATCAAAAAATCAAATTTTTGTATGAAAATTAATTTTATGTGAAATACATTTCATAAGATGATAATATCCAAAAAATTTCGAACAGTTTTCATACCAAAATAATATATGTACAAATACTAACATAAAAAAAGATGAAAAATGCAGACAGATATCGTAGGATATTCACTAAATTCATCCATTTCACCAAATTAAGATTCATTTCAAAAAATTAAATTCCCTCGATAGGAAGAAAAATAAAGCTAAAGATATGTGCAAACCGTTTTGCCCTATGAATAATGATTTTGGATGGATGATTAACTGCGATTCCAATGATTTCACTAGCCATTACGGATCCTAATCCGGAATTTTAATTAAGAGAAATAGAAATTCAAAAGAAGCCGACTGTCCACCAAACACTTCAGCCGTTCCTTCTGCAAGAAGCGGTGGGTTTATTTTATATATTCATCAAGAATCATAAAATTATTCTGGCTTAAGAGTAGAAGTAAGAAAATAATAGAAGAAGAAATAGTAGAAGCAACTGATATAATAAAAGTTATTTGCAGATATGTAAGCTTGTATAAAACCTACTTTAAAATTAAATTATGAATTTTATGAACAGTGTTGTTCCGAACATTTTAAAATAAAAGTGAGCTAAAAATTAATATCTTGTAAATGAGTAAACATCTTAAAAAACTCTTTAAACTTCGAGAAAGATTTAAAAACACAGTTAATTTATTCCATTTTAAATATATTAGATATCCTGCAGATCGGTGAAAAGCTGAAATTTTAATCAATACACAATTAGAGTAATTATTGCTGCTTAAATATTTTGCAAAATTGCCAAGGTAAAGGCATCCGATTAATACAACGACATTTTCGAGTTTGCATTAGTAGAAAAGGTTAAGAGATATTTTGTCACTTAAAGGTCAACAGAAACTTCACTTTTTGACCTTAAAAAAATTTTTTTATTGAAAGATATCTAAATATTCTTCGATTCAATATACTAAGAAAATTTGAAAAAAGCATCTTTGCAAATCGCCAGCTCCATTTTACTTTGATATCACAAAACTCAAAACAATCTTTTACTTCTTATTATTATCAGTAGTTCAATAAACAAGTAAAAATTTTCGTCTGCATTTAACAAATTGCTACCAATAGATTTTATTCATAATAAAAGAAATATTTTTATTTGTAATACCTCCTGAAGACTAGCAGACTGATCTAATGCTTTCACTTGTTGAATTTCTCATAATTCACAAAAATATATCTTTATCAGAAAAATAGCAGAAAAAAGGCGGATATTTGCGAATTATATGATTTCAGAGGAATGAAACTGAAATTTGAGATTGCTATTTTCGTGCCAACTGCTCTCGTACTTCTCATTTTATTTGATACCATTTTATATGATTTCAGAGGAATGAAACTGAAATTTGAGATTGCTATTTTCGTTTCAACTGCTCTCGTACTTCTCATTTTATTTAATATCATTTGTGCATAAAGAAAACGAATAAAATCAACGACTGCTCGATATAACGCTACTAATCTTTCAAAGATAAGATTGATGAAATGACATGCGCAAATAGCATGAATAAGCCCAAGGGGTTATCTTTGCAGAAAAGATGTTTACGAGTACAATGGTAGTACAAAATAAAGAATAAAAAATTCCGAATCTTAATTAGTCACTACTATATTTCATATTTTCATCATTGGATAAAGAGCATGTTTATGGAATTCATGAAAGAAGAACAGCTGTCAAATCAGAATACTTCATTGGTGGACTATCATTATACTCTCGATCAGAAAATACCAGATAAGATTGAGCATGATATTTTCGAGTATCCGAAATCCGCATTTCAATATTATTTGATTAATGCAAATTTATGAAGTGGTAAAATATTCAAATTTGATTTCACAAACAGATTTATTCATGCAATGTTTGAAGGAGGCTTATTTCTACGTCACACAGTTTGCTAACTTAAACAAATTTTGAAGTGATAAATAGAAAACACAATGAGTTTTCAACTGGCTGCTTTTCAGAATGTTTTTTTTAGAGATTTGAAAACCATCAATGGCATTCCATTTTGCCCTCCTATTTACTTGCGTCCCACAAACTGGCGATTAGATAAAATAATTCTTTCAAGCAACCGCACAGTTCGAATTCTAGTAAGGTTAAGGCCCATAAGGCTGCTTCAAAAGGGGAAATACAGTCCTGCCTTCATCTTCGGATGATCAAAAAATAAGAGTGCGAATAAGTAATATTGGAATAAAGATTCTTATTAATATTAACAAAATTCTGTCTCTATAATATTATTCGAAAAAAGAAACTTATAAAAATACCTAATGGTAAGTAATTTAAATTCCAACAAGAAAAAATTCCTTTAAAAATTCAAAATTCAAATTTAATTCATTTTGAAATTAAATGAATATGATTCTATAATTGCATATTACTTAATAAAATAGAGAAATTGAAAATTAAAAATTAATCATTGAGTACAAAACTTAACATTGATAATAAGTTGGGAGAGTTATTTCAAAATATAATTCTTTTTTTGAAAATGGTTGAAAATGGAATTCAAAAAATATTGCTATATTTGATGAATCACTAAACAAAAGGGTTTATAGCTATGAATAGCTTAAGAAATAAAATATAAAAAAGAGGAAATTTATGGATCTCATCCGATAACAGCTGAGCTAGAATTGTGTAAAGTAGGAAGAGTGGCTAAAATAGAGTGAAAAGAGAATAAGGTGAATTGCACTGAAGACTTTGGCCTTAATCTGACAGCAATTTTTCATCATTTACTTTTCCTTTAAATAATAAAGAGGAAAGTACAGAATTGGTTTGGTTTCACTTCTCTTCTTTTCAAAAGAAATAATTTTTGTCATCTTTTCTTAAATAAAAATTAAATAAAATCGCAGAAAGCTTTTAAGAGAAATAAATTCATTGAAATCAAATTTTAGAAAATCTTAATGATATAAAATTATCCTTCATTAACTCACACCACATATTTCTTCTGATATCTTATCAATATATGCTTATTTTATCACTACGTTTTAATAAGGATGTTCGATCGAACAGTCATATTAGAAAATATGTTATATGTTCATTTATTCGAAGTAATTTAAAAATGAGAAATATGTTCACTTATTCGCACTAATTTGAAAATGCTAATTAATATTGTAATTTAAGTGACAGTTGCAAAAGAAAAGCAAAAAAAAACATATTAAGTGAGTAATGGGTGGAAATATTTTATTTAACAAGATTAAGAAGAAAATTGGCGATAATAAATAGTGTCATAATATGTCGCACATTTTATATCTATTTTTTAAAAAGAAAGTCTGAAGTTAGTGCTGATATAGACGAGAATGAATGTAATTATAAGGCATGGAGAAAATATTGGCTTCGAAGCCCCATATGTACCACTATGCCAAAAATAATTGCTGCTTTAAAATAACGCCTGGCCATATGAATAGAGGCTTTGTGTCTAGCTTTAAGCAAAACTTCTAATTCCCTTCTTCACATCAGTTAGAATGGGAGAAATTAGTTAGTTTTGCTTAGAGTGCTAGCAAACTAATTGTTTATTATTATCATAAGATTTGTATGAAAGATTGTAAACAAACAATAATGAATTTGCATTGAATTGAAAATGAAATATAAGAAAGAATACATAAAACATTTGTTATTACATATCAGGAAATTCGATATTATCCGATTTATAAAATAGCAAAAATAACACATAGAGCAAAGGAGCAAAGGATAAACATTGATAATGACACCCTTTTCTTTGTTGTATTTGCAGGCTTTGATAATGAAAGAAAAAAGTTTGCAAAATTTTGATTGAAACATAAAATATAATCTAACATCTTAAATTATATTGTTTTTCAACAAAGATGAAAAGTTATGAGAAAATATAATAGAGTTTTATTACTTATATAATATAAATTATTTTTAAAGGAAATATTGTTGCTTGAATGATACAAATAAATAGATTGATTTAGCATTTTGGAAGTATCAAATGATTCTTATTAGATCTGAGACATATAATATATCTGACCCGATCTCCCTGACTTAAAGCATCGTCTATTCAAATGCTATCCAGTTCGGAATTCCTGAAGTGCTATTCGAGTTTTAAAAAAATGTAGAGAAGGATTGTTTAAATTGTATGTCTATCTGGCAACGGCTCGTGATGTACCAGCGAAGTGCTCTTGCAGATCGATTACGTTCACCAGATTTCGTTTCGCATTGGCATTCCTGCAGCGTGTATATGTGTGTGTACCTGAGGAAAGGAAAGTAATGGCATGGTAGACAGGCCTTGAAGTCGCAATAACGTTTTGCAATACAATTCAAGAGTATTGTTTTAGAAAAGACGAGAAGGATAGTATGTCTGTGAAATGAAGAAAAAAAATCTTGAAGTATCCTTGACGACCACAACTACATGGAAGAGCTATCAGAAAGGACAGAGTAGCAATGGAGAGTTTAGCATTATTGTTAACACTCCCAATAACAACTGCTAACTGTTAAGAGAGAGAGAGAGAGAAAGAGAAAGAGTGATAACCATAGCCTTGAGTAAACAAGCCTTGAATAGTTATATTGGACTGAAGTTCAACAAACTCAAAAAAATTTACACAATGTTCGGAAGACATCTAAATAAACATATGAGAAATGAAAGATAGCTGTCAATAAAAGACACAAAAAATTGCTCTTAATAATGAATTTCAAATTTTGAAGCTTTAAGGAATTTGGGCGTATTTATTGAAATTAAAAAAAACAATGTGAAAGAGAGGGAGGAGGGAGAGAAAAGGATGATGATAGATTGTGGTGTGGAAGAGAGAGAGTTGTTGTTCGCTTCTTATCTTTTTCTTTCATAACGAAATTACCATTACAACATCTATCGAAATTCTTTTCTTTCAAAATTAATTTTTCACAAAATTATTTACAATCGAATCGAACAAAGGAATTGAAAGCGCAAAATGTATAAAATGGAATTCATTCATTCATTCATATGAAATAAATGAAGGAAAAAGGAAATTAAATATTTCGTCTCAGCCATTTCAATGCCTCATTTCTACAGTTGCCTACACAAGTAATTTAAATCTGATTTATAAAATTAATGTATATCAATGAAAAGAAGAAAATTTGAGCATTTGAACAGCGAACATTTTAAACTCTTTGAAAGTGAACAGCGATTGTTTGTTTAACTAATCTTTTCATTACATATATGCACTCTTTCTCTGTTCACTGATTATTTCAACATTTAAATATTGAAATTAATAATGAATGGAATTCTTTCTTTCTCTTCCACCTTCTTGCAGCAATAAAGAACACTGATTAAAAGCCGATATGATTCATTTAGCATATTTAATGATAAACAATTATAACAAAAGAATGGAATATGTTCCTCATTTTTGAGTTGAATAATTTCTCATAATTAATGTGATATTCTAATTGTATTGACATTCACACTTATCATTGATACTGATATTATACAAATATAATTAAATGAATTACAGTAACGGAACGACTGAGAAAATTGAATATGATAACTTTAAATATGTGTTGCAGTAAGAGACCTGTGTAGAAGTATATAATATATATTAACAATGTACTAAAAAACACCAAAGTTTAACTGAAATAAAATATTAACAGCTCCGATTCGACAGGTGTTTATGAAAAGTAAAAAAGTTGAAAGTATGCCTTTTTTTATGAGAGTATGATTTATTAAGCTGTTTATTAAAACGAGGAATAAAATATTAAAAGAGAGAAAGGAAGGGAGAATTTGGATATTAAAAACAATGCTGATATTTGAATTAAGAATTTTAAAAATATGTTTCAAAATATTTCAACAAAGAGATAGTAGAAAATGAATGCGCAATATTACATTTTATAAAGACAGGTAGGAGCAACGGAACAGAAAAGCAGAATGATTGAAATTGGAGCTGAAACAAGAATAGTTGGAGCAAGTGAAATGATATTTATATTTGACTTTGATCGTGATCTTTCTGTTTATTCACATTGCAAGATCATTTTTATATTATTAAATGATCAAATGCAAAAATTAGATTTTCCAAGAGATTTTAAATTGCAATAAGTAAAATCTCTGCTAACTAAAAAAGAATAAAGTGCAAAAATTAAATTTCCCGAAAGATTTCAAATTGCAATCTTTCACTTCTAAAGAAATGGATGACAACAACTGAATGTAATGGTTTTTCTTGAAGAATCTGTTCTTCATTCAATAATCATTCATTCTGAAATCATTCCAATCACTTGTTCTGAATAAATTACTGCAGCACTAAATGACATGAGTTATAGTGTTAAAAATGAGGGTTTTGCTATATCTGAATTTTATTAAAAGACATCTTGAAAATTTGAAAATCTTCTATTAATTCCAATTTCTCAAACACATCTTCATCGATCAATTTTTTTTTACTTCTAAATTGTAATCAACAACTTTTCCTATATTATGTAATGAATTGCTAAGAAATTTACTTTTCTGTTAGAGATGCTTCAGATATATTATCAGAAACTTTTTGTAGGCCAAAGAAATGGCATACGTTAGCCAAGAATTGATTGGGAGATCATATGGATGAGGCCGTTAATTGAATAGTAATAAATGTTATTTAATCATTTATCCTGTCGTTATTTCTTCTTATGTAAGTGTATAAAATATTAAATATTTGATTTTTTGGAAAAGCTAGAACAATTAGTGGATAATAAAATTTAATAATTCTTATCCATGTATGCTATTTTGATGCAACATGTAACAGTGCTAATGCATGCTGCAATCAATCTTAGACATGGAAAAGATACTATCACTTCTTCCACTGATAATATCACTATTGAACATTTTCTTAATTTTGTTAATCTTCATCGATGTCAGTTTGCTTTTTTATTTTTACTGATTATGATTATTATATAAATGAATGCAATATAACCTTTTGGATATTACTATTATCGCGACCTCATAAAACTAATTTTAGTTTTGTTCAGATAATTTAACTTCCACTTGGCTTAGTTTAATTCTGTTCAGTCCCATTCTTCTCTTAAAGGACTATTAAATTCGAGTAATATCGCATAATAAATTCGTTCAACTAACCAGCAATGAGAGTATCATGAAATGAAACTGGCAGTAGCAATTGGATTTATGCAATAATATTTTAATTGAATTGCTGGTAATCACAATATCTTTAATTTAATTTCAAGATAGCAAAGAAATTCAATCGTAGGATTAGAGTAAAAAAAGTTTACCAAATAACATCATTATTTGATACTACTTTTTGACCATTTTTCAGCTATAAATGCAAAGGTCCGCTAGACGCTGGACCTTCCCATTATTTCCAGTATTCTTTGTGTAAACTGTTTGAGCAATATAAGATTTGCTCTCGAATATTACTCTTAAATTTAAGACACTGTTTCAGACTAAAATTTTTCTGAACTTCGATATGTTCAGATTATTTCTTTACTTCCAATAAATTAAATATTATTAGAGAGAATAAAAAAGTAGCAAAATTGTACTTTCCATATAGATTATTAAACACAAATTTACATTTAATATCTTTAATTACATCTTTTTGATATTGATCATATTCAGATATTTTAAAAATTTCCTTAATAAGAATATGAAAAATTTTATTAAGAATTTAAATGACTACATACAAAATAATTCTACAATAATTTTTCGAGCCATTTTTCCGACCGCACTAAATTAATAAGAAATGAAATATTTGATAACATTTTAGGCGATAGAAACAATTCAGAATAATTCCCGTGGTAAGACGTAAATACTCTTCTATATGAATGCGTTATGTAAAGATATCATGTTTAATAGAAGTCGCACATATCTGTTATGCTTTTCGAAATCTATTACGGGCTTGAAATTTCGAGTGAGATATTCTTGCAATGAAACTGATCAGAAGCGCAGAGTTTTACTACATGAATATTTGGATAATTGGAATCATTTCGATAGTAAGCAGAAGATGCATGAATCGTTGTATGTATGAAAGCATAATGCTGTCGTTATGTCAGGCAAGTTTCGGCACTGTGCACAAATTTCAGGACCACATATCCATAAGCAGAATACAGCAGATGTCTTCTCTCCATGTCTTTGTAAAATGCATCAAATAATATCAAAATTAAGTATAGAAAAATTGAGGGGGAGAGGGAAGATACCCCGACAGATCTGCATAGAAAAAACAGATAAGGTTTTAATAAGATTCCAACAAAATCCTGATATGACACAATTCAATTCAGTCTACTCAAACTGATGCAAACGAAGCCTTTCCAACTTCGTTTCAATTTGCCTTTTAACAGAAATTATCTTTGACAATATAATAAAGTTTGGTCTTTTTTTTAAAACGCTTATCAATATAGAAACCTGCAGTTCATTTCCTGAGGCATGTTTACCGTCAGCTGACAGAAACATTTTGCATACGATAAAGGTCTTATGCGCAGATTAAATATGAATTCTTCGATGCAAATCAACAAATAATTCATGCATCGAAGAAACTTAAATTTTCCCCCATCTATTTCAACAACCGTGCTTCATGGCAGTCTTCCCGCCATTAAATCAACAATCCCAATCATAAAACAGAATTATGACGCACATAAATGTAAGGAACTGTTTCGATGAAATACTAGTTTTAAACATTTCGCATACCGATTGGCAGCAGCATGTGTCCAGAAAAACTATTTTATATAACATATTAAAGTTACTATAAATGATTTTCTACTACTCCAGACGCCACAAAAAGAAGCATTCAGGAAAAAAAAAACCGAAATGCGGCTGCAGCTACCAACCTAATAACATAAAACTATATACGTTCAATCTTCATTTGAAACCTATGAAACGAAGTAAAACACAATCTAAAAAAGTCTGTTAAAGTATAAAGCAAAGTAAAACTCATTCTCACGTGTTTTTTCTTGCAAATAATGTATCTCGGATTGATTTATTAGTAATTACTTAACACTTTTATGATTTTCGGATTATTTCGTCATCTACTCATTTTCGCGTAAGTTATGCGGTTTTTGAAATCCAATACAAAATCGTATAAACAAATTCGAGGTTTCCGTCTTCATAGTCAATTGTCTTGAAGAATACAAAAAATTCCCATAAACGACTTTACTAAGAGCCACGGTAATCGGATTAACATCATCGTTAAAAAGACAATACCTGACTTCGATATTAAATCTTCATGAAAATGATCAGAGAATTCTCCCTTAAAATCAAACTACATTTGTCCATTATGGTTCCGCTAAGTTCGGTAAGACATGATCAGCTAATTCCACTACCTGTTTCGGGAATTTCGGGGGTCCAATTAACCGTAAAACGTCTTCATAACTCAGCATTTCTTTCTCCAATAGTGAAGCTGCCAACTACAATTATTTACTTTATAGAAAAATTCCATAAAAATTAAAATGGAAAATATACAAAATGGCAGTGAGAGATGAACAGCAGTAAGGATCTTCATCTTAGTTTTCTGTAAATTTGAAAAATGCATTCGTCTTAAAGAAAATAGCTTGGACAAAAGAGTCTGAACTTAGTCGAAAATACTTAAACCAAATTTCGAAATTATGATTCAAATTCAAACTAACAGCAATTATGCAGCATAAACATGAAAACGGACAAACAGGAAAAAATTTTGATCCAATTAAAAAATGTAGAATGTTATCTATCACTATAAATTTTTCATTGAGAGATAAAAATAATATCGAAATATTTTTAAAATGTCATACCTTTTTCAGTTTTTCTTCATTCGCCTTTAAAATGCCTTCTGCAGTGAAATATGCTTTCGAAACTAATTTAGAAACTTCCTGAAGAACAACCGATAAATGGATTCAAATTTATTAGAAATAAGTAAATTAAAGAAAGACTTAGGACTCGTACCTAATGAAAGATGTACCTGGTCAATCAAATGTTGTAATTTCATGCTAAATGGTTTTTTATAAATTTCCAACTCGCTTCGTTTGCTGTCATCCATTATGGGGAAACTCAGGGGACCTACAGTTTTACTCATTCCATATAGTTGCACTTGCGCGTATGCCGACTTCGTGACCTAAAAAACTGAAATTTGAAAAAAAATTTGGAATATAATATATGACAAAATTCAGGTATTAATAAGTTCCAATAAGAGAGCAGTGAGGTTTCTCCTTGAATGCCATGGACTTTCATATATATTTATGAATTTTATCATAAATCCGTCTTCTGAAAGCAGATTACCCGAAAAAATCCTCTATGCTTCCAAATTAAATAAAATATTTTAAATTGTAAATTGACGCCATTTTCATTTCGAATAACCACCTTTTTCAAATCATCTTCAGCGCCTGTAGTAATACGTCCAAAAATAATATTTTCTGCTGCTCTACCTCCAAGCAACATGCACATTCTATCAAACATCTATAATGAAAGTACTTACTGTTTCTGAAAGCATTTTAAAAATGATACTACATATCTAAAGTGAGAAATTTATGTTCGATCGAATTAACGACTTTGTGTTAAACCTTGCTATTAACTTCGGTAGACAAGTTCGAAATGATGAAAAACCTCTTCTTTAGTTAATATTTTTCGCTCTCGTGGACTATATTGCGCAAAACCAAGTTTAGCACTCGTTCGCGGGATAATGCTAACCTGGAATAAAAGCAAATAGTAGAGTGAACAACACCATTTTAAGGTCCAAAAAAAAACAAAACTAAATTGAGAAAAAGGAACACTAAATTCAAAATTACATTATTAGCTTATTGACAAATGTCTTACACAAGATACCATGAGTATCTCATGTATAAAACCAAACATCCATACAACGCAAAGTGAGAGATCACAATGATTATTAATGGGTTATAGCAATAAATTAAGCGAGTTAAAGAATCGGGACAAATCCCTGATCAATCGATAAAAAAAACCCTTAGCAAGGCATCAGTATGTTCGAGCAACCATCCAATCAAAGCATGACCAGATTCGTGATATGCTACGATTTCACGTTCTTCTTCTACCATTGATCGGCTCCTTTTTTCTGCACCTAGACTGAGATTTACATTAAAAGTGATCACCATACCATGTCATGAAGATTCAAAAATTTAGAATTTCTGCGAACTCTAACTCAGCATATCTCACATTTCACACATGAAACCTAAATTTATAGACCTGCAAGAATCCTCTGCAATGATTCATCCAATTCATCTATGGTTACCAGACTCTTCTTTGATGATGCTGCCCGAATCGCTGCCTCATTTACCACATTTGCGATATCTGCCCCTAAAATAAGGATATTGACCATAGCAGAAAGCTATTATCTAACAGCATCATTGATTCTCCTTCTTCTTCGATGAAAAACAATATGGATTGACATAACCAACTTTATTTCAACAAACGTTAGCGATATGTGCCCAAACAATTAAAAAAAGTTTGTTATAAGTAGGTCGTTAAGCATTGATTCATAACATGAAGGAAATTTTTGCCAGAATCTGCATTAACATAAATCAAAGAATTATTAAAACATTATAAATAAAACAAAGTACATCTTCGACTGAAAGCTCATTAACTTAAAAATCAGCAATAATATATCATGAAACATAAAACGGTGTTAGCAGCAAATTAAAAATCTAAAAACTTGTTTTGACCTGAAAATCCTGGCGTTCTTTGAGCGAGCCTCTTGGAATAATATTGCGGTTCATGATCCAACTTAATTTTGCTCAAATATAATTCGAACATTTCTTGCCTTTCCAAAACGGTTGGAAGGTCGATAACAATGTGTCGATCGAATCGCCCAGGGCGAAGAAGAGCCTGAAAAATATACTTCACCATAAACTAACAAGCTTATATTAATCAAATTCATTTGGTAAAGAATAAACTTTTGTGGACACGAATCAAATATTTTATAACAAATATGATTATGGAAATCTACAGAAGAAATACGTTCATAGGTTTTACACCAAATCTATAGGCCTGTAAATGTAAGCTCTCATTTAAATAATAGTATAGATCGACCCTTCCAAAAAATTAAACCTTATCCAATATGTCGCCACGATTTGTTGAACCAAGTAGAACCACACCGCGAGCACTATCAATGCCATCCATCTCTACCAGTAACTGATTCAAGGTCTGTTCCTCTTCCCGAGTTCCACCACCCGCAACTTCGCTGAAATTATTAAAATTCAAAATGAAAATGTTAAAAACGCTCAATTAAAATTACCTCTGACTCCTTTTGCGTCCTATAGCGTCTATTTCGTCGATATAAATGATGCAAGGTGCCATTTTCTTCGCAGTTTTGAACAAATTTCTGATTCTAGATGCTCCCAAACCTAAATGACATTTAAATTGACTACTAAATTCAGCAACTGTACCATTCACCTTATTTAAAGCAAAAGTACAGAAACCATGAACCTATTAATGTGAAAGAACGAGGCATAGTACTTAAGTTAATTATAAATACCTCCAATCATTTCAACAAATTCAGTGCCATTCATCGAAATAAATGGCACTGAAGATTCGGCAGCGAGGGCCTTTGCCAAAAACGTCTTTCCACATCCAGGTGGACCGGTAAGCAATGCACCTTTCGGCAGGCGAGCTCCTAGTTTCTAAAAATCTATTTTATTTTTTTTCAGAAGGTGCAACTTTAGGAGTTTTTTTCTTTCGTTTCGCCAAATATAATATGTTTTGATATAGATCTTAAACGAACCAACTGATAACTTTGTTATTGTCACAGTAGAGTCATATTTTTTAAGACAATAAAACTTTCTACTAAAGAAAAACGAGGGGTAACGTATTGTAATGGCAGGTAATGTTGAATTACTATTTCTGAAGAAAATTTCTAATAATTTACCATGTATTTTTCAGGGCGTTTGAGATAATCCACAAATTCTTTAATCTCAATTTTAGCTTCATGTAAACCCGCAACATCTTTGAACTTTATTTTTTGAGCGTTTATATCATTTGATTTGATTATATTTAGCTTCATTTTCAGACCAAGCACATCTTGAAATGAACTCTGAAAATTGGAATTTGCAAACTCATTGCACATGAGATAATATTCCAGTTAAAAGCCCATTGTAAAGTTGTCGAAATTTCTTCGGAATGAACAAGTTGGCACTTACTTTCATTGAAGGAAGAGATTTTGAGGCTCCAATCAGCATTAATGCCAATAAAAGCAACAAAAGAAGATCTCTAAAAGAAAAAACAATTAATAAGGTATAAAGAGATAGGGATACACACAAACACACTACACATAATAAAAAACATACAGAAATCCTTGCATTGAAGTGTCAATAACAGCAACCGGTGCCCACTCTTCTGGTGCCCTTCCCACAGCAGTTTCTATCGCGCGTATATCAGCTTCCAATTTTTTAGCGTCCATAGCCGTCAACACATATACTTTTTGCCAACCTACACCTGGCCTGAACATCTGCAAAATACTGATTTCTATAAAAAGAAATTACAAATTACAGGTATAGTTTGTTTTAGTTCTTCATATCGTTAATAGCTAACTGCTGTAAATTTATCTTCTCGAATCAATTAATCTGTATTTATAACAAACAGTTAAAAGTATTCTTAAAAATGAAAACGACTCAAAAATGAAAGAAATAGACTAAATACAAACAGGAATCTCACTAGAAAAAGATTTTTACATTGTATCCAGACTCACTGAACGGCAAATTCTGCACTGGACCCGGCCTCATAATGATACGAGCAACATTTCCAGTTATTACAATTTGTTCAATCTAAAAATACTGAAACATTTAACTAAAATTTTCAATAACCAGTTATTCCTTAGTGACTACTTTCAAACTTAATATTAGTTACTTTTTGAATATAAATGGTAATAATTCGTACATGCTCCCTATTTAGTAATGAATACTGTAATGAATGCTCTATCCATTTCTGTGAGCATAAAAAAGTGATTAAAAAAAAGTTTCACTGCTAAAAATGCAAACGTAACCCAGTAAGACTTGTGTAGAGAGTCATATCTCAAGCTATATTACTTTTTACGACATAGTGGTCAACTAACCTTCTATAGTTGTTAAATATTTTACTAACAATTCAAATATGAAATAACAATTCAAATTTAGTAATTACAAAAAATTTTACCTGCCCTGATGGCACTATGTAGGTCAGAAAGTCATGAACTGTCAACTGATTTGTATATTTTGTCTGCCATATGCTTGCTAAAGCAGACGTCACCACTGCTGTTGCTATACTTCCAATCAGCAAACCCATGAAAAATTTCCCTAAATTTGAAACAATAGCTTAACTAGTAAAACATTATAATTATAATACGTAGAAAAAAAATCAAGACCATTGCTTCAATTTTATGATAGAATAAGAGTCAAAAACTGTTGAATCAGTTGAAATTAAAAAAAAATTACAAAAATTTGTTCTATGGATTCTGTTTTTGCATAACAGTAACGTTTTTTAAAGTAGACTAGATCACAATACGACGAGGACTATTACATTTCAAACTTTGTTACCAAGAATTTGACATCATTAATGAATTAAAACCTTACTTAGCCTTCTATTATTAGGTTCTTTCGACGACTCTTCTTCACCTCGATCATTATTTTCACTGCTCGCTGCACGCAGAACTAAAACAAATTCTTTATTATATAATTTCAGTGCTGTTCATAGAATCAGTGCTGTTCATATACATAGAATCACGAATTGCAATTTGTTACAGCCATTCAAATCTCTAAATGATATCAGTTGACTCCTTAGGCTATAATGAGTAATATGATGTTAGGAAAAAATGCACAACAATGAAAAAAGACTAACTTGAACACGAACCAAAGAAACGTCCCAAAAACGATGGCCTCAATTCGCGTAGTGGTAAGCATATTGAAGGTGAAGTTTTGAAAACACATTTCTTGGAAAGCGATTGAACGAGTGACAATTGCAGCGAAATACTAGCCTTCTGATGATTTGCAATAAGCAATGAATGAAGAAATCCCTTACCAGAATAGCAGTCAATAAAACCTCCAACTCTCAGCATCTGAAATACCACCTCAATTTCCTAAAAAGTCCGTTTCAGAATCTTTTAAACCACATGTCCCATCGTACTATTTCGAGACGCAGTGTACTGGATGTGCCAGAAAATTTGATATCATACTTAATGGAATCAGTAGCAATTCAGGATAGCGACTCTTAAGAACTGCTCTATTCATACTTATCGAGAAGCGCAATTCGAATGTTTTCAAATGATAACAACCAAGCAATGATACTTACCCCATGCGCAATTTCGTAATCTTTTTGGTACTTTGCAATTAATTATAATCATTCAAAGGACCTGAAATATTAAACATATCTACCAATTATATGTTCTAAACAAACAGTCCATCTTTCCTCATAAAATTATCACCAAATGAAAAGGTAAAGTACCGAAGCGTAACTGTCTCAGTCGTCCAGGTTAACATTACAGCTAACGTATCAAACACTCGTACTCAAGCGTCGGGAACTCTTTCGGCACAGATCCACCGAATTTTATTGATCTATTTCGTTAGAAGATGTCATGTTGGTGGGTAAGAGTGAATAATGTTTTCAGTTTGTGCCCTACTCAGCCATTTCTTCGCCTTTTAATTGAAATGAATTTTAAAAGAAGGATATTCCTTTGATTTAATCCTCCTCAAATCAAAGGAACACCTTTCAGGACCAGCACCTATTGTCTTATAACTTACTCTAGGTCGGGTAATTCGCGGTTTAAATACCAATAATTTCTAAGTTTTCCAAACTTCCATTTCAGTTTAGAAGCTTGGATAGGTTTCAGGACGTTTGGACAATTGGACCTGATTTATACTATGTTGTTGACCAGAAGAGCAATTCATATGTGTGTGTCACGGCGCGGCCCTGTGAAAGATCGAATTGTACAAAGGCTTCAGACAGAGTTTAAAGTTTGTTTATTTTTTGACGATGAAAATAAGAGCATAAAATTAAATTCATTGCACATAAATATTAACTTTTGATTTCGCATTTTACATGAGTTTATAGGAGTAAGGCTTGGCAAATTAATTTCATTTGTACATTTTTCGGCGTTTGGCATGATCAGCTATAAGAAATTCATAGATAATTAGATAAATGCAAAATTTATCGATAATAATGGCAACAAAATTTATCCCCTTTCAAAGGATGTTGGAAAAACACTTCAGATTATACTAGCACAAACTAATTTGGCGCTGAATATGTTGAGATAGGATTTCCCAGCATTAATAATTTTAGCCTACGCATCTGGAAGTGGAATGTGAAAGTCACAATCACACGGGTCAGGATGACGATGAAAGGCATTTTTATGTGCAAATTGTATCCAGCAATTTTGAAGGGTTGAAAACCGTACAGGTGAGAATTTTTGATAAGCTTAGCAATCTAATGGATAGCTGCAGTTAGTGTAGAATTTTGTTCTAATTGTTATAGAAGAACTAGGATTAAAAAATTACATAATTTATTAGGCCTCATAAGCTTTCATTTCCTAACCGCCAATGTAAGTGTATATAAAAGTTTTCCAGTGCAGTACTTTGGAGTTTGTAGCGAAGATCAGTATTCCAAGCTAGTCTGTTCTCTATCTGGAGTTAGTTAACATCGCTGGCATGTGGATTTGTCACATTCATGAAGGCATTGGGCAGTCCTTGCCGCATCAGTTTTCCGATCTTAGCCAATGTAGCTGATTTTTCTGTGTTGCAGATGCATCGTCTCGTCAATAATTGTTTGCGGGAAGAACTAGCAGGACCAGTGCATGCACTCCGTATCGATACTTACCCTACATCACAATTCAATAGTGATCCACCAACTGTCCCACCAAAATGCGCTCATAGTCATACAGAACGTATTTCCAAATAGTATTACTCACTTTTTGAAAGCATTGCAATAGAGAATGATGACGTTCAATCGTAATATGTATATGTACAAGTGTGATAGACTGAGTGGAAATTTAATCACGTGCTTTAATGTTTTGAAATTTCTGTATCTTAAGTTCACATATGATGGCTGCTGTCTTTGAAGTGACATCTTTGCAGCACTATGCAGAAAAGTTGATCATGATCGAGTTAGTACTGCTAATGAAAATTATATGAAGTAAAATCGTTTAATCCATTATATGAAGTTCGAAACTACGTTTAATAAATAGGGACCCTTGAATTCAATTAACTGTATTGGTTCAAATTTCTGTGGTTGTTAATCTCCTTGAATTAATGATTAATTTTACAAACAGCAAGAATTCACGGACGATAAAGGAAATAAGAGCAGTTTAGGCTTATGATATTGGATTATAGAATATTGTTCTATATTCCGAAGTTATATAGAACAATATTCTGTAATCTAATATACTGCAAAAGTACGATATAAAGTAGTTGCATATAAAAAGTAGTGCACAAAGGTTTCAAACTGAAATTTCATCGAGTAGTGCTTCAAAGACACTAGAGTCACCAATAATTCAAGCACTGACATCTTTCGATGAATATCTCCAGTTTACAATATTGTCAACAATTACGGTATTTGATTCATCAATCTATCTGTTTAGTTGTTCTTATAGTGAATAAGTTTTCTATTTGATAACCTACTGCGCGGGTTAACAATAAATGGATCGAAAAATGTAGACCTCAATTTGTATACTATCTCCATCCTGCTGTGCTGTTAGCATTTCCTCCTTTATCCAGACGTTCTGGAATTATGCTTCGGGGTTTGTCCGTTTTAACGAGATGACGACGTGGGACGGTATCAGTTCATACCGCTCCCATCGAATTTTCGAGAGTGCTTGAGTTGAAGTAGCATGAGGTCGTTTGGAGGGTATCCTTAAGATAAGAGTGTGTTATTGTGGGCTATGGCTGCTTTATAAATAGGATTGGTCGTAGTAAGGTTTGGAAGCAACTGAAAATTTTAGAATGCTTGTTGACCAATTTGCCCTTCGATGTTTTTTCAGCTTGAATTTCAAGATTTTTATTATTAATTCATCCTTTCTCCAAATTCGTGGATGATTATTCCATCCAGTGTTTTATCGTTCTTACTAGATCGCCAGTAGATGTAAGGGACACAACTAGTTATCACTTCTTAACTTAAATTTACTATTTGTAGATTCACATATTGTAGCAATGCTCTCGAGACTGTTCTGCGGATCACCATCATTGCAGCTATCCAACAATGTTGCTGTAGCATTCCGTTATTTTTCGAAAACGACCTACAATCCTGCGCGATATGCTGGGCGTCGAGTTGGTGATGGGGTTAGTAATTGAATTGAAAATTGATTCATTGAAATTAAAAATCTGTAGTAGCATTCTTTATCTCAGAAGTTAACGTTATTAATCGCTTCAGAGCTACGGTATTGGGAGTGCTACACGTACAACATTGAAAGAACGTCTTATGGGACCTACTACAGGAAAACGTTTGTTTACTTGTTGCAATTTGAAGTGTTATCATTCTTAAGATTGTGCTATATTTTCAGGACTTAATTTTTTCTATTTCATATTTTCAGATTCAATCTTTCATTATTTTAGCATATGTGTATGGAAGTGCAGCTTTAGCTGGGGCATCATTGCTTGGCATTGGTGCCTTGTGCTATTACGGTCTGGGTCTTTCGAAAGAAGGTCAGAGTATCTTAATACAATCAGAGTTAGTTGTCTTTTTTGTGCATTTCATTTGTTAATTATTTGAAGTGCAAAATGTAAACATATATTTACACTTGCTCTTCCTTAGCTTAGTCAGTTCCCTTTCTACATGTTATCCATTCCTGCTTCTTACTACATCTGCCATAATTTTTCTTGTATTTCTAGAAAAATCAGCAAGAGACTATGTTCCTCAAAATTTCTGAAAAAGCAGTATAGTAATATGTTATAAAGCTGTAATAGTCTTTCTTTGCTAGAAATTTCTAGCGAATATATATTGTTTCCAAGTAGGTGTATCTTCTTTTTCTTTGCTTGAGATTCGAAGACCTGAAATATCTCACTTTTCGAAAATATGAGGAAAATTGCGCTAATTGCTGAAATAAATAGAACTGCATAAATTGCAAATAATAAATAATGGAAGAAGGGAATTGGAAGTTAATAAAGACAGTTTTTGTATGGTCTGAGGTAGCTTTTGTTTAGAATTTGGCCGACATATGTGCGAGACCGTATAAAAGCAACATATGGTTATTTGTTCGCATCGCTTGGGATAACAGCAGCTTCAGCCTTGGCGGCGTCAAGATCGTTTCAAATTTCACAAATGATGATGAGAGTAAGTTCCTCTTTATTCATTTTGCTATATATATGACTTTTTCAATTATTTAACTTTTTAAATTGAAGTAAATAAGCAGTCATTGTAACGTTCACAGAATTTTTAGAATACAGTCACACTATCAAATGATATCCCAGATTAAAAGGAGATTTTTCTAAATAGTATGGAGCCTGCTTATTTAATTTGGTAATCCTAGTGTTTTGCAACCGCGGGTCAAATACGTTGAGCGTTGATTTCGTAAAAGAATTTATGGCTATCGATAGCTTGTGTAGTTAAACTCCAGTATACACATTAATATCATATGAATGTACATGTTGTCCAAAAATTTTAGCTATTACTACTTTGCATGGCATGACTAGGAACCGGACCAATTTTGTGAACTCCTATAAAACAAAGTTTTAAAGTAAAAAACATTTGAAAAGTTGAGGAAAAAAGTTGATTTTGAGAATAAAAAATTTCTGAAATCTCAGTCATTTACATTCAGAACTTTATTGAACACTTTTCCGAATCGACTTAGATGCTTTTAATAAGTAGTATTATCAATTTTACCAGGTGATAAGAAAACGACATAGAACATAAGAAAAATAAATCTACAAGATTAGTGAAATAGCTAGTGAGCTGGATTGATTTGGGGAAAACTTAGTTTATTCATTTCTTGGTCACTTACCATTCTTCAAATTTAGTCGCCATTCATTTCAATGGCAGTTGTAATGGCAAGCAGTATCGCAGTATCATTAATCGATTACGATAATACATTACTGAAGCATGCAACTTGGATCCTGCATGCAGGCTTGATGGGTGCGTTTATAGGGCCAGTCTGTTTGATGAGTGGTCCCTTAGCTGTGCGAGCTGCTTGGTATACTGCGGCTGTCGTCGCAGGTAATTTTTTTGCAGAATTTTGTTTTAAAAAGCTTTAAATGAAAATAAAATGTATTTCAACATCATAGTAGTGCGGTGATTTTTATTCATTTGATTTAATACTTGGAGAAATTGTCATATGACTAATTTTGATTGTGGAGTTAGTAACTGATCGCTTTCACTGATTTTGATTTCACACGATTGTGCGAATAGCCTAAAATATTATCATCACTTTCTTCATTTTATATTAGTGCATTAATTCTACTGATATATAATTACTATTATTACAATTTGAGCACTAAGAAATTTCTTTTTTGTAGAATGCCTCAATAAAAATTTATTTTTATCGAATCACAGATAAAAAACATTAAATCGAAAAATTTCAGGACTCTCAACAATTGCTTTCACAGCGCCTTCTGAAAAGTTTCTGATGATGGGAGGCGCTTTAGCTATGGCATTTGGTGTTGTTTTTGCATCGTCCATTGGAACTTTCTTTCTTCCTCCAACGTCTGCATTGGGTGCAAGTATGTTTTGTGGATTATTTTTTATGAAGTTAACTTTCAGAACTAAAATAAAACTTCTTCGATTACTCGCAATGGATATTCAATTATATATTCACTTCGAGTTGAAAAAAACTGGTGTTTTAGGTCTAATGTCGATCTCCCTTTATGGCGGTCTGATTCTCTTTTCAATGTTTTTATTGTTTGACACGCAGTTTGTTATCAAACGAGCGCGGACGTATCCCATTTCGGATACAAGTGAAGAGCAAATTTACAAGCCGGGGTATTACGGCAATATTGGTGCTGGGTATTATGATGTTGCTGCACCAAAAATACGTCGATTTGATCCGATCAATGCGTAAGTTTGTTTCGTCGTTTTCATGTTTCAAACGTTGGAGGTTGTTACTATGATATTAATAAGATTAGAGAGTAATAACTAAATGCAAACAGTATATAAACGCATGTTTTTTTGTTTTCTTAGAAGAGGCAAATATAAGCTAAAATGGCAATAAGAATTGATTTGCCCATTTTTCGAATGATACGCTATACACCGCATTTCAGACAACTGTCTATTTACGCAGATGTTTTGAACATTTTTATTCGGCTGGCAACAATGATGATGGGCATGCAGGGTGGCAGAAAAAAATAATTACTTGCTTTATACATGCTGACAGTATTCTGTTCTATTACTGGTAAAATGTCATGCAGTGATATGTACTTGCAAAAATTAGTGTGATAACAAAAACATCAGTTTTTGAGCGGTGGTTGTATTTTCGACAAAATTTTTACAGAAATTCGTTCTGTGTAATTTTATTTCTTGCATTAATCTTCTCATTTTGACAGTTCATCCTAAGCAAGTGGATTTCATATTTCTTGATTTTTATCTCTATGTTTCGAAATATATAGTATGTGACAGTATTTCTTTCTATTACTGCTAAAAATTTTTTTACACGAATACGTTTTGTGTAACTCTGTGCACCCAATGCAAATATGTTTGGAAAAAGAAAATTTTGAAGGAACTGTGTCGTTTGCCTCAGTGAGAACAATATCTAATGCGTCTTCAACATCATTTGTATCAGCCATTATTCTCTTCATTGTAAAAAATAATTTACACAATGTGTAAATTGTTCCCATTATTCTCTTTTCAACATAAATAATTTACACAATCTGTGTATACATTGAAATGAGGTTTCCATAGTACTCAATTCTTCCTGAGATATACTTGCTTTTCTTGAAAATTGAATTTGATTTGTTTTTAAAATCAGATAGTCAATTCTGTTTTTCTTTAAGAGATATTCTGAAGAAAAACTTTACTAATAATTTTATTTGTAAGAACAAGTATTGATGATGTATAAACAAACTGTAACAAAATGTAAAAAGGTCATGATCATACTGAAATATATGCATAAAATTATTTTGATGATATAAAATTTTGCATTATGAAAACAAGTAACAAAAACGTTAAACTGCAGCTAATCATAAAAATATTTCTCGAAAAATTAGTGAGAATATCCCTTCATCAGTTTGGTCTTTCTAAATTTTAAGACATTTCCCAATGCAGGATTTATTTCAAAAATTATCGGGGAGAATGCATTATACGTAAATACGTTTGGAAAAAGAAAAATTTGAGGGAATTATATTGTTTGCCTCAGTGAGAACAATATTTAGAGCGTCTCTAACATCATCTATGCTGGCTGATTTTATCGACGTTCTAGCTACTTCAGAACTGTCATCGAGTACAATACGATATGTAAAGAACCTTATAATTGGTGTATGGATGATAAGGGATTGAAAATATAGCTGAATTAAAAGCTAAATGAATAATAAAAGACACAATTTCATATTCTATGCTTCAATCCAATCAACAATCAGGGATTAATCATTTTGTTGAAGTAAATATAAATATTTGTAACTACTAAGTATGCAGAAAATCCTACAAAGTGAAACAAACAACCATCAGAGAATATGGAGGAATATCTTACGATCCACAATAAATTGAAGAGATGAACGTTTTGACTTTTGACGAGAAGATTTAAAAAATCACTTTATCTGCAGAATTTAAAAATCACTTCACCTGAAAAATTTAAAAATTATTCACCTGCAAAATTTAAATCTATTGTGAAGTAGATACAATTATTCAATTTCGTTCATAAAAAATCCTTCTTCTTAGCCTTAAATTTAAAAAGTGAAATATAGTACCCGATTGCATCAAAAAAATTCATTATCAGAGATAGCTTGCAATTGAAAAATTTTATAACATTTCTGTTGAAATAACAAATGATAACAAGTTAGTAGTTCCACTTACAACAATATCTTCTTTTTCTTCCAATCACATTAATGCAGAAAAGGAAGATCGGTTGAAAATAAGCAAAAATCAAAGGAAAATCTAAAATTTTCATAGTTGCAAAACAAACATACAAAATTATCAAAAAGAAAATCATTCTTCAGCGCTTTTGTGCAAGTAACTTTGAAATTCATTTAATAGCCACTTCAATATCATTCATTGCTTAAGATATAACTTTCTATTTGAATAAATTCGAACTTGCAAACAACAACAAATGGGCAAGCGATATAGTTTAATTTCTAGTAAAACATTAGGTAAAGAAAATGTTAAATAGGCAATAATCATTATCACTGCAAAGATTTAATTCATTTCCCATCCACAAATTTTCACAGCAACTTAAAACAATTAGCATTAGAAATAAAAGAGCACTTTTTGATGTGATCAGTAAAATAGTATCCAAGCAGGTAACTGAGAATGAATTTGTCAATAAACGAATTGCAAATTTTAATAACCAAAAAATTGGCAATCTGCAATGCAATTTTAAAAGTTCTTTTTTTTTAAAAATATATATTTCATTTAATTTGAATAATTTTTGCAGCGAAAATATAAACTTACCCAACATAAATATCGAAAAGATTACTTCCAATGGAGCCTGACATAGCCACCAAATGACCATATCGCCAAATGCTTTACGGTCAGCGATTACATTGAAATGATTTATATTTAAACAAATCATCGGTGTGTAATATTAAAAGATTAATTCCATCCTAATAACTTTTCGATTGATGCATCAGAAAAATGTAGACAAGCAGTTCACAAGTGGTAAAATTTTTATGAAAATTTGAAATTTATATCCTCTGTGGTCAATGAACGTCGAGAGATACATTGAGCTTCAAAAAAGTTTCTCATTCTACTTGAGAAAACTGTTGCCTATATGAATAGAATATAAATAGATGACTGGCAATACTTATTTTCTAATCTAATTAAACATTTTTCAAAAAAAAATAAATAAAAGTAGATTAGCAATTGAACCAGGCAATGAGGTTAAGTATGCTAACAATATCAAACCGACTATATAACAGCAAGAATTTGCAAACTTCTTTTGTTTATTCAACTATCAATCTTATGAATTGAAAAATAAGAATGAAAAATTGATTTATTTCAGCAACTTTTACATGAAATAACTAACACAAATGAAAATCAAATCAAAAATACTGATACAGTAATCACAAGAATATTTTATTTGATCATGGGGAACTAGAAGCACTTATTCAGAGCTCTAAAATAGGTGACTCCAATCTTAAGCATCAAATTTTGCTATGTAAGCTTATCAAGTCAACAAATGCTATAAGCAATACTATCGGTCGAAATCGTCATTGCAATATTAGTCGGCAAAACACTTCACAACCATCTCCCGCACTTTGTAACTTGATTTCTTGAGATATATTCTCCATACTTTCACTGTTACCAGCATTTCCATACTATGAAACAAAATGTCAAGCAAATGGAGGCGCAAATTCAATTTTTGGATAGAATATAGGAAATTTTCAGCGTTATATGAAGTAAGTGCTAGCAGTTATTTTTGACACTTCATGAAGAGGAAATGGTTCATGCATCGATAATTTTCCTTCATAAACTCTTTTTTTATTTCAGATGGATCATTTTCACATCGTTTGTTGAGGAGCTTTGTGTATTCGAAGCTGTCTGTTTAACTTCTCATTCTTGGTGTTATAAACGGAACAAAAAAAGTACAAACATGCTTAATGGACACCCTTAACATGGGTCAATCGCTTTACATTCTTTAAGTTGCATTAACAATTTCGAAATGTTATAATTTGATCATTCAGAGGGGAAAAGAATCATATCTTTATTTGTTAGTCCTATAAAAAATATCCTTTCCATTTCAGATTTCTACTATGCAAGAAGAACAATTCCTTTGCCAGCAAAAATCAATTAATTTCCGCCGCTTAATCTATCTATAATAATCGCATTTATTACAGCTTGTAACGAAAATGTCGATATCGGCCGTACAACATAATGGTAGCTCCAGGAAAAAGTATCCAGGAAAATTACATATATATATATATTTATATATAAATCATTTGTTATTGTTATTCTATACAGATTCGCATTGTATTTTCGATTTTTTGGAGTAATACTATTGTTGCCTTAATCAAAAGATAGGTTTGAGTGTTATTTAGCAATATCTCCCTGTGTTTTCTAATTATTAATACTATTAACAGTATTAACAACTAGAAAATGCTATCAAAGCCAAACGCTACAACTTATCACTTTTATAACCCTTTTCTTCACTTTCGTCACTTGTAGGAGAACTCTGCGTTTTGCAAGTGTCAATAAATGTTGGCCCAGATGATATCTCCATGATTTTGAAATTATCATTGGTCAGATTTGTGAAATATTTCATATCTCTGAATATACGTTGCAGGTATCTATTTTCATGGCTTATTTGCAAATAACGCTTCATCACTCGACTTTCCAATGCATTGATCTTTAATTAAAAATGAATTTCATCTTTGAATAAGCTTCGAATAATTTTTAGAAACTGTAATAAAAAGAAAGACCAAAAAGAACTTTCATGAATCAGATAACTACTATTAATCGGGAAATATGAATAGCGATTCATATTCATATTTCCCGAATGATAAAACCAGAAACACAACCTCTTTAAGCTCTGTTTCATTGCGTGCAATCCAATTTAATAAACCACGTTTAAGCCGTTTTGCATACCATCGTTGATTATCCTGAAATTTGAAAAGTACGTCTCATATTAACTCCATAAATGAATTGCATATTCTGAATAAAGAACGACCACGCGAGCATATTCGTTTTATATCTATACATCGCATAAACTACTGAAGTGCTCTTACTGAACTACAAAATTTTGAAAAGAAAGTACTGTTACGCTATAAATTCAATACTTATTTTCATCAAAATATTACTAACAATAAACAAATAGTACCTTGTCTACGAAAATCTGTAACTTCATTTTATCGCCAACCAAAGATTCAACATAATCAATTAGATCATCGAGTAGATATCGCTCGTGACTAATTCGAGCGGCCGTCAATGAGTCCTCCGGGATCTGTGGATATTAAAAGATTTTGATAGGAACTATTTAAACAACTCAAACATTTAATATCCCAATAAACAAAGTGATCGATGAGCTGGGAGTAATCGCTTACTTAAATGAAGTCGACTATTCTCAAATACATGGAAGGAATAAAATCATTTCCAAAGGAAATCCTAGCATATTTGGAAGTTTATCAAAAGTAATTCGCTAAGAAAATACGAGTAAAGGTAAGTTCTGCATTCCAAATTGCACTGCGAAGAAACAGTCAGGTATAATTCAAAGCATCAAAAATTGAACGAAATTTCATCGGTCGTATGAAAATAGAATGTGACAAATTGTTACGTTTAATAGTTCGTTTGTTCGACTTCTACAAGTAATTAACTCTCCTTCTGACTTTTTAATACGAGCTGCAATGAGGAATTTTGAATTTTCGCTTGACTAATTGGGAATACTTGTTAATTTCAGTCTTTCATTCCAATTATTTCTCTCCTTCCCTCTAAATCTCTTCCACTTCAACTTATAAATACAGAAATTGCAGAAGTTTCTGTTAAGATTTGATGGTAAAGTTTTCAATATTTAACCTAAAATTTGCTTTAGCATAGAATCACGTGTTGTATCTTCTGGAAAAGTTTCATGTGATATCGATGACCTAAGTCTGCTGCCTAAATTGAAATGCACCCGAGCATGGCGTCGTCCCAACATCCGAGCTCGACCACGTACATTTTGCATTTTTCAGTTCTGAAACAGAAATTGATAAGTGAACAGAGTACTATAACTAAGCTTTAAAGTAATAATAAGTAAAGCTAATAAATCTAACAATAAGTAAATTCAAATTATGGACTAGTCCAAACAACATTAGTCAATATTGAAACAACTCTCACCAAATATGGCCGCCTGCTGCGAATCATAACATTCAAAATAAATTTCACCGCTAAACTTTTGCTGTTAAAAACTATTCTCGAGCAAGATATAACTCACTTCTGACCTTCATATTTTATCATTTTCCAAAAATTATATTTTCTTTCATCTAATCTTCGCATTTCCGCTCTTCTAACTTGCCCGTTAACGACTTGCTGTATACTGAGGATAACAAGGGGTAGAAAACAAAACTCACACAATCGACCTCTTCCTTTCGTACATTACTGACCACTTCATTTCTGACGACTTAATGCGTAACGTTGGTGAAAAGGATAGAAGATTTTCATGCTGTCACCGCGTTTCCATCAGTTATGTTGGAGTTGCGTGAGCGGGTGTTAGGGGTACGCAAATGTGATCGTTACTTTTTTATTGGTTTTTATTGGTGTTAGTATTGTGCTGTTGTGAGTGACATTGTTTCAGCAATGCTAATTACGACGAGTTTTTGCTAGAGCAGGAAGGATGAAATGTGTAGAGGGGAAATTAGCGGAATACCGAAGGAAAGAAGGGGTTGCTTATGGCAACAATAAGGTTATCATTAGTTTCTTATTATCAATACCGGAGCTTTTTAATTCCATCAAATCATTTTAAGGAATTAGAACCTAATTTCATTATTGTTGAAGTGTTGATATATAAAGGTATGCAGTAGCAAGAATTACTCTAAAAAGAAATAATTAAAATAAATTTTCATAACAGCACAGTTAATTTAAATGTCACTCTGAATGCATTTCAAGCGTTGAGAAGTGCCCTTACATTCTTTTTTGAAGAAATTATGAAAGCTTTAATTCCATTGAGAAAATTTCCAGGTTCCAAATCGTGATAAGATTTATAAAGAGCAGTCCAAGACTAATGGGAGCCTAGCTGTTCAGTCCACTGCCATCACAAAGTTTATAAATATTCTACTAAGACCGATCCAGCGGTGGTTATGTTTCAACTATTATTGGCCACGGCCATGCAGAGTTTTTGCAGTACTATCATGGCTTATGGCTCAATGGTATTTCACTTACATTGAATTTGGTCTTGTATTTTTTATTTTTTCATTGTTTGTCCTTTTGTTTATAAACTTGGGAAAACGAAAGTCGGGCGAATTGAGTGCCTATTCTGTATTCAATCCTCAATGCGAACGATTGCCTGGCACAATAACAGCTGAACATTTTGAAAGAGATTTGTTGAAGAGGAAAATGTCGCATTAATAAGTTCTTTCTAAGCAAAAGTTTGCACTTGCCTGGCATTAGTTGCTCAATTAGGAAAAGTATTGGAGTGGTGACACCTTAGGTTTTAGGTCATAGAGATATCTTAGAATATGAGTGACACTGACTGAATACGCACCCGTTTTTTTGCATTAACTCGTAGTTTTCTATCATCGTTTTCATTTTTTATTATTTACAAATTAACATGAAAGCATCGATGTCTTCTCGCATTTTTCCGCCCTTATTTTTTACTTTTATTATTATTTTAATTATATTGGTTTTATCTTTCCATCATATACGAATTCATCATTTTTATACAGGTCAAAATTTTATCCCACATATTGATCTGTATAAAAATACAGATAAATTTTAGAAAAGGGATTGAAATAGAATGGATGATTTTCTTTTTAGACAAGTGGGAGGCAGTGAAGCTTATTAAATTTATAGCAGGAGCGCAATCGCTGATGGTTTTTCTTATTTTAAAATTTATTGTGTTCATTGTTCAATTGAAGGAAGTATAATGATCTAGAGATTGTTTTACTTTGTGTGATTATATATGTATTAACAATATAAGACTTATTTGAAATTCTCTTCACATGTCGGCTTTTTTCTCGGCATGTTTTTTTCCTGACCTTTTCTGCCATGTTTAACTCCACTTCTGAGGCTTTGTGATTGCTGCACTTTTTTGTTTGTTTCTGAAATAAAAAGTATTTTAATGCTATGTTTTCTGGAGCAGATCGTTTGCTGTTTCACCCAGCTGTTTCATTTATTTCTTAAATATATAATTGAAACAATAATTTGAAATTACTGATGATTTGAAATGATTTGAAATTATCAAGAAGTGTGAATGATGAATGTAGTTTCTGTGTTTTAGAAACGGTTTTCATATTACCAAGCTAGCAAACAGTCTGTCTGGGACATTACAATTATTGCAAGCCGGTTGAGTCAGATTTCACTTCAGAATTTACTGCTGCAGTTTGTACTGTATTTTGATTCATTACCGATTAATGAAATTGCTGGGGCAGGTAGTACTTTGGTTATATTTTACGGGAACATACACGTTCTTGAAAATAATCGCAGTTGCTAATTTTACTTGCACAGGAGCAATTACTTGCATGAATTTTTCAAGAATATATGACACTGCCGAATTTTGGCCGAAATGATGGAGCAGTCAAATTCATTACTCTTAAATGAAGAAGCGCTGAATCTTTGTACAGATTCCAGAAAGCCCGTTTTTGTGTACGAATGGTTGCGATATCTTGATCGCATATTACCTGCTGCACAAAAGGTCCGTTGCTTCATTTAAATATATGCGTATTTTTTGTGGTTCAGCAATTTCTGCCGAGAGCTCAGTACACATAAACATTCATTAAATTTTCTGTATTTTTAGGGATGGATTTTTAGATATTAGCAAAATTTCAGACCGATATAAAAACTGTGCAGAAGAAGCTTATTGAGCAGTTGACATCGCGAATTTTAGCTGCACCGGGGCCACTTACTAGGGACTTACTGGCAAAATGTGTTGCACAGGTTTCATTTTACTTCTGTCATTCAAAAAATCAAAAACATTAATGTCCTTAGAATGTGTTTTAAATTATACATAACGGTCTTAACATTTCAGATATACTCAGTAGGGGACACATATAGTCTTTTTGAAACAATAAATACCTGTAATGATATCCTAAAAGGACGAGATGACTCCCCAACACATCTCCCCGTGAAATTGTTAGTTTATTTTAATTTATGTTATTGAATGCTAAAACAACCTTCCAAACAGCTTATGTAGTAATTTTTCACAGTATAGATCCAAAAATTTTCAAGTATAGTGTAGATATCATAAGTCAGTAAAAATAAATATTTTTTAGAGCTGCCTTGCGATGCTTGGGAGCAATGTATGAAGTACTGGGTAGATTGGTAGGTCGAAGTTATGAAGAATCTTTCCATCATATGGCGAGGTGGTTGAGAAATGCAGAGGTTAAATTTATTAATGATCATATTGTTGAAACAGGGTGACAAGGGATGTAGCGTGGCCAATTGGGTTGGGTTGCATGCAACCATCAGTGAGTGAGAGGGTTCGACATCCATAGAGAATGGAATGTTTGTTTCTATGCATAAACCTGTGAGGAAAAACACGACGGTCTTCCGAAAGATATTTGAGGAAACCCAATTATATTCTGAGGTTATATGCTCTATTCATAGGGTTGGTTCTGACCTCACACCAGTAAGACTTAGGACGATGGGATATAGTATGGTTCTACTGGAATTATGTCAATGTTGGGTGGGTAGAGTGCGTTACTCGAACTTTGCAAGAGGAATATGATGGGGTAAGGATTCCTGGATTTTGAAAGAAAAAGCTTTTAGTCGCAAGGACGCGCCGAATTACTGTATACATTCGCTAAAATGGTGAAAGGCTTGGGTGTTGGTGCATCTTCCGTTCATAAGGATTTGTATAAAATTCTGAAAACACACATATCAGATCGAGTCATGATCGTTAGAACGGCTGCAATTAATGTTAGCTTTATATTTTTGTATCAAGTGTCGATATATTTTCGCTCTATTTACATAATTATCACGGCTGTTTGAATATATTTACATTCATTGATTGATTAATCACAAATTCAGCTTTCTATTTTTCACCAAAGGAGAAAATATTTAATGCTATTTTTTTGTTGGATTCAACTTGTCTCCAATATGGATATACCGGTTTCTCTACTGAATTTCGATACAGATATCTTACAAAATGTGACGACACTGATGAAATTTTCTTAATTTTAGTGTCTTACTGTATTGATCCCAGAATATCCGTTTTTATACACGAACGAAGTGGAAAGTGTTGGTACATTGTGCTTTAAGGCTCTTGAATCAAGTAATTATGAAGTACGTCTTACAGTGGCGCAACTGTTTGCTACATTACTATGTACTGCTATGAACCCTCCAAGGCGGTACATGTCTGGTAAATTGTTTATTCTTTGTCAATATTTGAGTAGTTTTTTTTGGGTTTTTCTCTTATCATAGTAGTATGAAAGATTCCAATTGTTTATTATTGCAATCAGCTATACACCTCGATAAATTATTTATAACTATGCAAAAACTGAATAAATGCTTGACACTTAACAGTTTTGCGTTGGGTTATGTAGCATTGGCAAAATTTTTTGCTGTAAGAATCTGAAAGGACAATATTGTTGAGTCATGAAAACTGTGGAGAATATTTCTTCAATCTTATTTAAATTTATTTTTTCAAATTCCATATTTCCTGAAGTTGTTTACAGTTACAGGTAGTAAAAATCAACACAATGCTTCTTCCGTGAAAGTGGTAACAACTGAGGATTGTTTCAGTATTCTGTCGCATGGCTTTTTGAGAGGTGGAATTGGTGGCTTTTTAAAAACAGGCACCGTCGCAGTTACTGGTGGACAGAAAGAAATACGAGTTGGAATTGCACTTGTATGTTAGTATAGTTTTTCAGGCAATTTTTCAGGGAAAAGTTTGAAATTCTAAGTTCGATGAATTTACTTTTTAAATTTTTAACAGTTCCTAAGGTTTTAGGCTTATGTTGCGCTGTTCAGAGAACTTGGTCCATTATGGTTGGAAAAGAATCTTGCATTTGTTATGAAACATTTAATGGATGTCATTGCAAAATGTGGGCCATTAGCCTATACGAAGTAAGTTTTTGTTAGTTGTTTAATGATCAAAATAATTATATAATTCTCTTCAAGTTACAATGAAAAACCTCGTAACTGAGGGTTCGAAAAAGTGAGGGAAATCTCACTTTTTTTTTGTTTTCAGCACCCCTTTCCAAGCTGTTGAAATGGTCTACATGCGACGATGTATCTGTTACATATTACGGAGCACTGTTGGCACAATTCTAGGTGAACAAGCACAAATTGCCGTTTGCAGACAACTGGGCGTAATTTTATCTGATTGTATTAATTCTTTTGGTTAGTAACTACTTTAACTCTCGTTAATCAAATTTACGATATGTTAGAAGCGTGTAAGAAAAGCTTTAAAAAAAATCTCTTCAAGGTTTCTGAATCTATCTTTGCATGTCGTTTGAATTTCCGTAGAGTAAATAAGTTGCAAAACATATACTGGAGATAACAGGAACTTCTGATAATGACCATCAGTATGAATAGTTTTGACTACTAATTATAGTTTCTAACATTAAACCACCCTATTGTATTAAATTTTATTAGCATTACCCACGTTGAAGTTTCTGCAGAAGCTCTCTTCAAGATGTCCGGTAGTCATGTAGCGTTAAGTTCACCTACGTTTTCCGCTCTCTTATTGAATTTTTGTAAAGAAAATTCCATAAACTAGTTTTAATTGAAATTAACAGTTGATTACAATGTCGATCCTGGAACTGAGAGAATGCTTGGACCTGAAGCATATATCAGCGCACAAACAGCAATCGTTATTTTATCGGAGATTTCATGTCTAGTTCGACAAATTGGTACTGCAGTTACACCTCTTTTCACTGAGGCATCAGGTATTTATTACTCTTTAAATGCAGCTTGATTTAATATTTAGGATAAAAAAAGAATTTTGAATTACCCGGTACTTTTTAAATTTAATAATGTTGTTATTCGTAAGACTTATATTGATTTTATATGATTAAATTCTAATTGCAGGTATAATGGAACCTGTATTCGCTTGCCTTTTACATCCAATCCAAGCTGTTCGAATAGCTGCTTCATGGTGTTTGCGATGTGTAACTGTTAGCGTTCCATCACAGTTGACTCCTCTAATTGACCGCTGTATTAACAGGTACCGTAAAGCCCAAAGATTTAAATCTTAAATGTTTTTAGAAAATTATGGCTTCGTTGTCAATTTCTTTTCATAGATTGGAACATATGAAGAACTCTGGTGAAGCAATTAGTGGCTATTCGTTTGCACTAAGTGCTCTTCTTGTAAGTTCGATGGAATGTAAACTCGGCATCCCACATGCTAAATCGAGGTTATGTTTTTCAATCAGAAAAATCACTCAAAAAATTAAAATATTAGAAAAAATCAATAAATAAAATGCGGCATTTTATTTATTAATTCTTTCTAATATTTTGAGCGGCAGTGCCACGCTTTCTAAAATAGATTGTTTATTTTCAGTATATCTTCGACTCAACATAAAATGCTAATTTTTTACCGTAAGAAATCTGAAACTTCTAAGCTACAAAACTTTACCCTTCTCTTTATTCAGTAAGTTTCAGGCAAGTTTTTACAATCGCTGAAGATATGATAAGAACAGCATCACAAGCAAGTAGCCTGGTACAGGTTAAATCGCAGGCTGGTTGGATTCTTGTTGCTGCCGTCCTCAAACTTAGTAATTACTTTCCTAAATATTGTATAAATGAGTTTCTAGTTTTGGGTTGTGTCACACAAATTCGTTGTAAATAACCTTCTTAGCAATCTGTTTTCCAGGTGGAACTACTGTACAAGACTGCATAGGACGTCTTTTACCGTTGTGGAAAAGTTCGTTTCCACGATCAGCAAAAGAAGCGGAAATTGAGAAAAATCGTGGTGATGCATTTACATGGATGTGTACTCTTGAAGCTCGTGTTGGTGCTCTGACATCAATGGCTATGTTCGTAGAATACTGCCCAAACTTAATGACTGATCACACTATCAGATCAATCGTTCAGGCTGTGGAATGCTCGCTGGTCACTATTTCACAGTAATTCTTTAGAATTCCTTCTGGATAATCTTTTCTTCGCTTATTTAAAAAGTAACACTTTTTTTTTTTATTTTAGCATATCTACGCTTCTCCGAAGTTTTGGTACGAAGTTACGTACTTTGATGACATTTGTACGTATTCGAATATATCAATTGCTCAGCCACATTTCTCCCAAGTATTACGAACGTAAATTTTTTCTCAGCTTCATGTAGCCTTAATCTAAATTACCATTCCTTCCCTTCAGCTATAAACTATTTAATAAATTATTTTTTCAGATATATATGCTTCGTTGTTGCGTGAATTAGTTGCAGATCTGACCCTTTCGGATAATGGGCAGTCAACTGCTACTACATCCATACTGTCATCACTTTGTCCAGGTGTAGATAAGTCATTACTTGGTGCGTGGCTTAATGACACAGACCAGGCTTTTATTGAACTTGAGGTTTGCATTAGATTTAATGAAACAGTTGTCTGCGAATATGTTCAATAGATTATTGCGCTCATAGTTGTTGGATATCCGATCTCCATCAGTTTTTCGGTAGTTAAGGATCGTTGAAATTCTAATGCTGGGCTGCCTAATAAAGCTTGATGTCCGACAGATCTAAATTTTGTTTTTGATAGCTACACACTGTTATGCAATTTCCTTGACCGAAAACACTTAAAAAACAGTGAGTTAAGGATCACTCAAAAAACAACATTGTTGACTATCGTACCAAACGCATTTCATTTTTAGAGATTTTGAACGCAAACATTAATTAATTTGCTTATTTGCTTATTTCAGAACGGAAGTTTTTAGATGCATGTATACGTAGGAATGTTACGTGTGAGTTACAAATTGCACCAATTTTATTTATATTCACGTTTGCAAATATGCGAAAGCTTGAAAGTTATTAAATCAATTTATTTCAATGATAGCTTAATTTTTCTTTTTTTAGATGCATTCATCACAGAACTTTGTTTGTGGTACCATCGATAATGATCCTCTCTGTATCGTAAAGTAAGCTTTTGTTCACATAAGGATGAAGTAACGGCTGAGTTCAGTTTATTAATTATTTGATGAACTGAGTTGCGTTATTTTTTTTGCTTATCTATTATAATGTTTAGAGTTGCGATCGATGACGCTCTGTGGTGGCCTGAGCCATTGTGTCACGATGTAATAGTGATCAATAGGGCTATAAGTCTGTATGGTCGAATATATCCATTTGCACCATCGAAACATCAGTTGCAGATGGCTGAACATTTTGCTAAGTGTATCAAAGGGACCAAAAATGTAGTGCGGCAGCAATCAGTAATGTTTCATTCATGCTTTTTTTGAGTGGCAGCAAATAATTTCAAAATTAGGGTTGGTTCCAGACTTTTGATTAATTCATGAAAAAAGTTATCTGAAATTCATGAAAAAAGTTATCTGATTAAGCATGGAGAACTCAAAATATTCTTTCGAAATTTCATACTTCGCAAAGGAAAGCATGCAAAATTATTTGGAATGCAAACTGAAATTCGGATTTTTATTATTAATGTTTCATTCTTGAAATAACTGATATGTTAAAACATGAAAAAATCAAAAAATATGATTGTTTTTTGACTGCGAAGAATAAAAATTTTTTTTGGAACCAATTCGTTGAGGAAAATTGTAAATCTGAGGACCTGAATTTTCTTACAACATGGATTTTATTAGAAATTAATTTGGAACTGGAATCTTTGATATTCTGTCTTTAATTTGCTAATTTAAGATACAAAAGAACATTTTGGGATGTTTGCTTGCATCATTCAAAACTGTTTCGGAGCAAAAAGGTCTACGTTTGGAAGTCCAGGCGCTGCAAAAAGCTTATGTTGATTTAATAATTCCGTGTCTCTCACATGCGAATCCCCTAATAAGGTTTTTTTCTTTTGTATCCTGCCACTTACTTGGAAGTGTTGCTTTTTAAATTGAATGACCTTATTTTCCCTTTTCAGGTGTGCAGCAGCAGAAGCATTAGGTCGTTTAGCACAGGCCGTTGGTGATGCTCAGGTTGGTTATTTTTAAAAAACTGGTGTTTTTTAGATCTGTTTTTTTAGAATTAGATGTTGTGGGTTAAAATAAGTTGTGCATTATGAAGCGATTGTAATTCTTAAAGTTAAATGAGTGAGAAATGCAGTTTTCATGAACTAATTTTTGGTGTGAAGTGTAACATACTGTTTCAAATTCAAGGTTTTTAAAATCATCGTTTATAATGGCATAAAAATCAGTTAATGCAGCATTTATCTTTTGCAACATGAGTTGACAGTATATCTTGCCTGAAGTACTTCAATCGGTAGTGAGAAAAAGCATGAATTTTATCTGTATGGAAAATAACATTTAAAAAAATCATTCTTTAAGTTACAGTTTGTGGCAAGCATGGCGCAGTATAGTTTCGATAAATTAAAAAGTTGTCGCGATGCCAATAACAGGACAGGTTTTGCTTTGGCTCTTGGCTCACTACATCGTTATGTGGGATCTCTGGGGAGTGGTCAGCATCTGAATACTAGCGTTTCGATCCTGTTGGCCTTGGCGCAAGATGCTACTTCATCTTTAGTACAGGCACGTATTTCATTTTAGATTACACAAGACGGGATATCTTGGTTCCAAAATTACTGTGCCGTTACATGGTCCCTCTAAACAATAGAATGTTGTTGGTGTTTTGGCCTTACTGTTAACATGTTTTAAGTTTCACTGAGTAACCAAAGTCCTGATTCTCTTCTCGCAAAAAGACCAATATTCCTTACTATTCATTCTTTTCAATCTTTTTGTTTTGTCTCATTTCATGCTTCTCATTTTTGAAGTCATGGTCACTAGTTGCATTGGGTTTGATCGCTGATACTGGTGGTGGAATGTTTCGTGGTTATGTTGAGCCAAGCCTAACTCTATGTTTAAAGTTGTTACTGGATACACCACCTGCCAATATTGATGTAATACAGTGCACTGGAAGATTTGTAAGTTTCAAATTTTATTTAGTTCGGTTGCGATTTGTTAGTGTTAACTGCTTACTTTTGCGCTTGTATTGTTACGAAAGATGTTGGAAAGCACAACTTGCCTGAACTACTTCATGGCACCTCAGTCCTGTTATAGAGGTCTCGCTAACGCTAAGCATAACAATGTCAAGTTCCTTTTTCATAGACGTTATTCACTGTAGAATTTCCGAGTTCTGAATATAGATTTCGTACAATATCAGTATGTTTGGCATTACGTCTAACATGTTTATGTGACGCAGCAAAAACATTCAAAAGGATAAACAAATTATTATAGGTATCTGCTTTGATCAACACGATGGGACCAGAGTTGCAGCTGGTTGGTGCTGTGGAAGGAACGAGAACTTCATTCTTGATTGGTCTGTTTCTTTTGCTTTTCCTATCCATTTCGCACATTATCTGTTTTTCTGTGGATTATTTGTTTTATTATTATAGCAAGTGTTATGATGTTGAATAGCAGTGATTCTCTGGTTCAAGCAGAAGCAATATCCTGTTTACAGCAACTTCATCTCTTCACACCACGACATGTACATCTTGATCGGCTGGTTGTTCAACTTTGCGTTAGTTAATCGTATTTTGTAATTCATCTGTAATTCATTAACATTAATGAATTTTCTTTTTGCAATTTTCTGCTATTAGTAAAGTGAATTTTATAGGAAGACAGTCGCAAAGCATGAATTGATACTTCGAAATATAAAAACTTTTTGAAATAATTGTTGATGTTGTTTTAAAGAGACTTTACTGAAATATTGCAGAAACTAATGTCAAGTCCACATTTGATTTTGCGAAAAGTATCCGTTTGTTGTCTGAGACAACTTGTCCAACGTGAGGCGAAAGAAGTGCGCGAGCATGCTCAAACTCTTGTGCCGCAGGGAATCATGAATAATATGGGACGGAATAATGTGGCGGCAAGTTTACCGGAAACTGGTTTAGAAGGCGCTCTTCTGGCTATGCTCGACATTGAAACGGATATTGAACTCAAACAGGATATTAAAGTAAGATTTTGTTACTTAAGCGATAGCTGTAGGTGAAATATTCATTATTGAATCCAATGCTAATTTTGTGTGAATAACATTGTATATTTTATTTAATCATTTCTCGATTAACATTTCTGCGTCGGACATCATTATTATTTGATATGAATGGAAGAATACCATGAACGCTTAAGTGGATTCCATCTGCGACCTAAATATGATAGATCAGCATATGCACCTCGAAAATATACGAGTATGGAAACAAAGCATAAAATGAAACCAAAGATAACCGCAATCCAGCTATAAGGGGAGCCGATTTTCTGTAGTTGACTAGATTGACGGAATAAATTATGTTATGCTGGCCACTTCAGCTGGACTCTCTCAAAAGATTATACTCTTTAGTACATGGAACGTTACTCTTAAGTTTCATGTACTAAAGAATATAATCTTATGATTAACTCTTAGATCAAAGAAATTTAAATAAGATGGTAAGATAAGCTTCCTTAAAATAATATAAATTTATGTCTTCGTTCGAACAGCGTAGCTTGCTGTACTGCAGACATTTTTGTTTGATGTTCGCGAGTCATGTTGTTTCAGTCAGTGAACTTTTATCAATTGAAGCTGTTTTTTTTCAAAACTTCAGAAATTAAGGTCAGATATTAAAATGCTGAAAAAAGGAGTAAAGCTTTTGTATTTTCCTAGCACCAATAGTTTTCTCATTTCTTTAGATTAAATCCTGCACACAATATTATTTGTTGAAATTATTGTCTACTCCCTATTTCCTATTTTAATCCATTTCTGTTCTGGTCATAACTTGATTTAATTTATTTTTCAATCCCGTAGGGATCATGAAATTTTTGATATAAATCATTATAAGGTGAATCGTAAATGTCAGGATTTTATTACTGAATTCATAAAAATGTTATTTTCTTATGTACAATATATTCAAGTTACTTTCAGGAAACTTTGATTTCGCTTGTGCAAGCAACAAGCAGAGATTTTTTAAGCTGTTGGTTATCTTTATGTAAAGACATCTTGGCATCATCTGTAGGTGCTGATGTACGAAGTGCCATGCAAGTTGAAGAAAAGGGACACTGTGGCATCAAAGATGAAGAAGATGAGCGTGAGGTAACTTGTAGATTTTTATTGAAACTCTTTTGGAACATTTTAAAAGATGTTTGCTGTTTTATGTTTTCTCTTTTGGATTTTAGGTTCGAAACAAATGTGTTCATTCATTGTTGAAACTCCCATCCGAAATATTAAAAATGGTTGGAAGATAAAAATTTTATTTTTCTGTGTCTTCAGAGCATCGATGACGATGTAACGTTGCAATCAGCAACTGTCGTGAATCGGGAGGAGAAAATGAAAGTGATACCACGCTGGCCAAGTCGAGTATTTGCTACAGAGCTCGTGCAAAGGATAATGTCGGTCTGCGAAACCGAGCGAGCGCATTATGATCTCGCTCTTGCTAAGGAATTACAGGTAAATTTAATAAATAATACTGATATAAAATTATGTTGAATCGAGAAATTTGAATAAATGTATAGTTTTGTACAGTTTTGATAGTGTACACTATTTTTCAAAGCTTTCCAAAACACTGGTCTCGTAAATGATGTAGATGTTTTTACTTTTGACAAAAAGGTATCACCAAAAAATTTTTTTTGCTTAGAAACAAATTAGCCAAATATTTCCTTGGCAGCTAAGAGTCACCAATAGATCTTTCAAGTATGTAGTTTTTTTTTTAGTTTTACCGTAATTTCAATGGGTTTTTCGATTTTAATAGTATAAAGGATTTGGGGAAAGGCATAAACTATATTATAATAGGATATTTTCAGATTTCTTCTGGTGGTCGAACCGATTATTTAGTTCTTCATTTGTCCGATTTGGTACGGATGTCATTTATGGGAGCAACCAGTGACAATACCAGTTTGCGTCTTGCCGGACTGGCTTGCTTGCAAGATGTAATCACTCGATTCTCATCGATCCCAGAACCTGAGTTCCCTGGTCATGTGATCCTGGAGCAATTCCAAGCACAGGTCCAAACATTACAGCATTTATTGTGGCGCACGTCTGATTCCTTTTTTAGTCACTTTTTTAAAGCGTCTTTCAAGGGATAAAGCTTACTATATTATTATCTTTCAGCTGATCTAATTTGCTTGGTTTTGTTGCTGTATCAAATTTTTTTAGATTACAAAAAAATTTTTCCGAACCTAACTTGTGATTCAACAGGTAGTAATCTTGTCGAGAAATTTACTCTATATCTCAGATTCATTTTTTCAGGTAGGTGCAGCTTTGCGACCGGCATTTACAGCTGATACTCCTAGTGATGTTACTGCTGCTGCCTGTCAAGTATGCAGCACTTGGATTGGCAGTGGTGTTGCTCAAGACCTAAATGATCTTCGGCGAGTTCATCAAGTAATGATATTTTTAATTTCTGAATCGATTTTGCGTAAAAATCAGAAATTTTCAGGTAACAAAACGTGATATTTCTAGTAATTTAGTTTTTTCTCTAATAAAATAACATAGAAATTGTTTTTGATTTGCAATTCATTACTTTTTGGGTATTTCATAAATTCCAAGCACTCTTCATTACCTGTAACAGTATATTAAAAAAAAATGAATAATGGCGCTGAAACCATGTTTGCTCTGTAGCAGTGTTATCAAAAAAACAGATTTGGCGTCCTGAAATTTGCTTTCTTTTTAGCTTCTTGTTTCATCTCTTGGCAAACTAACACATGGCTCAATCAATACGCAACTTTATAGCGAAAGTGCTGCAACTTTAGAAAAACTGGCAATTCTAAAAGCTTGGGCAGAGGTTTACATTGTTGCTGTTGAGCAAAAAAAGCAACAAAAAGTCATAAACGCTGTCGCGGTGAAAAGTAGGTTCACTTCTCCGTTATGAATGGTGCTTGTTTTTAATGTGCTCAAAGAGAAAGTGAATTATAGGTAGCTTACAAATAACTATTCTAATTAACTGCGATCTCCCACAAAGGCAACTTTTTTAAAAAAGGCTGATTATTTACCATGTTTGAGTTCCATAACACAGTTTGCAAAGCATTTAATTATCAATTTTATATTTTTAAACTACAAAAGAATTTGAAAATATAAAAAGCATTTCTACTTGTGTTAGAAAATTGTTCTTGCAGATGAAGAGAAGTGCAGCTATTTGCAAGAAAGTTTGCTAAGCTTGGTTTCTCCTGAGCTCAATTCGTTAATTAACTGCTGGTTAGCAGCTTTACGTGACTCGGCTCTTCTTTCACTTCCGCCTGAATTCAAACCTCAGTTACCACCTAATGGTGGAACATACTATACTGCCGAATGTGCAGATGTGAGTTCCATCGCTGATAATAAGTTTAAGATCGAATCATTAATAGATTTTTTCTTTGCTAACAGTGAACATCAGTGTATATTCTAAAAGCGTTTTTCACTTTCATTATTCTTATTGTTTGAACGTGGAATTTTACAGTTTTGCAAGGGGCATTATCGAGTCAGTTGGCCTCCAATATTGCTCGCTACCTGCACATGGTTGGAGCAGAATGATTTCGAACTTGAACAAAATTCTGATGACGCAGAGGTTTATTTTTAACAAATAAACAATGTGATATATTTTCTACCACTTATTCTCAAGTTTTTATATTTTTATTTCCAAAATTTGCAGAATATCACAATAGATAAGACAAGGGAAACTCATTTTCATATAATGCTAGGAATATGCATTGAAACTCTTTGTTCAAATCGTGCACATTCTGTGGGAGATTTGACCGTTCAGGTAACTTTATAAAAATACTGTTTTTCGCTTTTCTTTTTTGTTTGTGTTTACCCAACATTATGAGAATTTTTAAAGAATGAAATATTTTTCGTTTCATTTTTTTAGCTTTGCTTACGATCATTGAGGAATCTTTTGGCTTGTAATTGGTCGCGAAGAGTTTTGATGAGGAATGTTCAATTAGCAATAGAAGTGTTAAATGTACTTTATAGGTAATAAGTTTGCAGCTTATTTTTCATGTTTTGTCTCCCTGTTAGTGCGTTCCAGTGTTAGTGAAAGGGCTAGAAAATTTGTCCTACCATTTGCCAGCGTAATTTCTTAGAAGTACTTGTCTCTTATGATTTTTTATTTGTGGTAAGTGTCAGAATCGTTTTCAGGCTTATTTTAACTCGGGAGAATTTACGAACTCAGCAGCTTTGTGCAGACGTAGTAATGACAGTTCTCGATGCTGCGCAGTATTCGATAACACTTCATGACAGTGATAAAGGTTTAAGATTTCTGCATAGTTTTACACGAATTGTTTTGAGAGAATTTCCCAATTTCTGCTAATGGTTTATTTTTCAATCTTTCAGACAATGAAAATGACGTTTCAAAGCAAAAGGAAAATACAACCAAGGAGGGCTATAAAGGAGCGGAGGGAACGGCTGATGGCCTACAACCCGCCAGTTCTTTGGCATTTGCTGTTCTGGAAGTCGCTCTGTGTCTTTTGGTTAGACAGGCAGGTTCTTAGACTCCATTTTACGCAATTTTCAATGATTTTGAGTTAGTCTTTTTTCGAATCGTCAATGTAATAAATCCTGTATAGTTATTTTAAAATATTCAATCCTTGATAATCGTTTGCAGATTCCTCAAATCAACTCAGCATTGATGAGAAGTAAATCAACAGCTCCACTTCATTATCGGAAGTATTCTCGTCTTCCGGTTGAATCGAACAATCTCATAAAAGTAAGTTTTTTATGTAGAAATCCTTTTTATATGCAACTTTTTATCGAAAATTACAGGTAAACTTACATTTGCAATATATAATTATAATTCTCATTCCGTCATCCTTAGGAATTCAAGAGATTATTTGTCCATCTTTTAATGTTTCAAAACTTCTCCTTTTACGTTCATTTTTTGTGAATAGCTTCAGTGAATTTAAGCAATATCAGAATTACGAAACTGTTATTTTGTAGATGGGTCTCAATATTCTCATTCGTATTCCAATGCTTTGCTCATCTGACGGTGCTGTTGTGGTTCTTCCAAGCATTCTGTACCTGATTTTAGGAGTTTTACACGAATCTTCTCTCATCGACAAGGTTTCTTCAAAAATATAAAATTTCTTTTCGAATTATTGCCTAATTCCAGAATTCACAGCAGTTGATGTTGGTCTGCCTTTTACTGTCTTCATCTTTATTTGCTCACAATGATTGGCTGCATATATAAAATAACTATTGCAGGAACAATTAGTTCCTGATGTTCCATTTGGGCATGTCTCTATCGCTGCAGCTTCAGCCATGCAGGTTATATCTTTCACTGTTGCTGAAAGTCACTAATTTTAATTTTACTAAATAAGATAGCGCTCTTTGGAGTACAGCATTTTAAGATCTTTTTTCCTTTTCTGCAGAATCCGTGTATTATTGCTATTCGATTGTTATCTAGCAAATATTTTTTAAGATACGTTTCTTTAGGCATTGAAAGCATTGCTGACTATGGCACCAATCGATTCTACATTTTCGAAATGGATGTCAGTAATGAAAAGTGCTCTAATTTCACTGCTTAATATGGCTGAAGGTATGTTTCTAAGAAAATTACGCCTCGAAATGTGAACTTATTGAGCTGCCTGTTCTTATCATCTTTAATCATCTTGAATTATCATCTTGAATTATTTGTCTTTACCACTTGTTGGGCTATTTCCCCTTATTGCATTATTTCAGAGGCTGCTATGATTTGGGAAAATTTGGTTGTAATTAAATTATAAATATTTTTTGTCTTTTAATATTCACTATATTTTTCTTGGATAGATACACTGTTTCATTTTCTTATAAAATTAAAATATTTCTTCAGGTCAGTGTAAAATGAATAATTTGAGAACGTAATCTTTTCTGCAGATTCAAAAGTTGATGGTGCAGTGATAATGTTAGCAGTTGCAGTATTCGTCACTTCATCACCACCTCAATTGGTTACGGGTAACATCAGTCTTCTGGAAAGAATATGCAAGTTATTCAAAACATATTTGGAAAGTGAACGTAAGCAGGTGAATAGAACATTTCTCTCCCGAAATTTCTCGAAAAAATGTTTTTCATAGAAAAGTTTTCTTTTACGCGGTGTGATAGATTGGAATTCATAAACCTATTAAAAGAGATATAACCACATTTGGACTAGCCTTAAAATCGTTAAAATTGTAAAATTTCAAATTAGAACCTTCGAAACTTTCTATTAAAGGTAGTGGTTAAATGTATGCAAAGCCTGGCCTCCATTTTCGGTCGACGCGAGATATGTTATCCATTTATCGCAGAGCTTGTTCCTAAAGTGCTGAACAGAATTCGGCCGTTTGTGACAAATGTTTCGAAGAGGGTTGCAGAAATTACAGAATCGGAAGATGTGGTCATTGTCCAAGAAGCAGTACGCGTTTTAGAGGTTGCCCTTTCGGCCGCTGACCAAAAGAGACGTTCGTTTTTAATTGTGTCGGTCTGTAGTTATTAGAAATAAAGGCACCAAAACCCAAAAATATAAAATATGCTGCTTTGTAGTTTAGGCTTCTTATTGTCTGCATTGTAATGAACATTTAATTTTATTTATCGAGCAAATCAATCGAGTGCAATCTCTGAGGGAAAACCATTTTCCTATCCTTAATTTCAAAGCTATTCTTTAAATGTATTTAAATTTTGCAGAATTGGCAGTCGTAAATCTTATTGTCCAGTTGCTAGGCACATTCTTATGCGAAGATCCAGTTACGTACTATCGACAGCTACCAGCATCTACACGTAAACTGCACGATTACGCATTAAATAGATTAAATGTAGTAGGTCCTTCCCACCCAGAAGAATTCAAGAAAGTGTTATTGTCCTTCCCAGCGCTCAAATCGAAGTACGTTTTATGTTTTCATATCAGACTTCTTTATTCCCAGTTTAGTCTCTTAATTGTGCCGTCCATACCGACCAAAATTTCGTCGAAATTTTGCGTCTCGAAATTTCCATATTTTTTCGTAGTTTCTAATGACTAGAATTAGATATCTCCAATTCTCTCTGTTATTACTTCACTTCCACCGTAAGCTTCCTGTTTAAGTTCATTATATCGAAATCACTGATACTGCGATTTCTTATAGACAAAAGTACTTTTTTACAGGATTGAAGGATCCATACGGTATCAGAACAATCGTACAGCAGCTGCACAGCAAACACAACGCGTAACTGGTGCGGGGAAGTGTGAACAAATACCATTACCAGTTCCAAAATCAGCAGCTATAAAATTGAAAGTGGATTTCAGAGCTTTCAGTCCCGCCAACTAATTATAGGGTAGAAGTTTCAAAAAGATTATATATGATCTTTTATTAACAACTACCAGCTACATTCGGCTTCTTCGGATTGGTTTCCATCTCAGCTCTCAATGTTCTTTAACTAAACGAAAAAGTGTTTATCAATGCATTTTAGCTTATCTGCTGCGGAAAAGTAGAGAAATTGATTCCCAAATTAGTCTCTTTTGTATGATCGATTTTTTTAAAGCTCCTTCAGGTTTCAAAATGATTCACTTGTCAGTGAGAAAGAGATATGCTTTCAGATATGCTCAACTGTCAAATTAATAACGACGTTGGCACCACACCTTAGATTTTTTTTGCAAAACTACTACTGGTCACAATTTGCAGCACTGCTGTTATCTGTTTTCGAAAGCTTACCCAGCCCTAATGACAGCAGTTCCACACTTCTGAAAATTTCTGTAATCATATATTTATTTTTGTACACATCAAGAGAAATTGCGCTCATTTTTTTGAAATAATTTAAATTTAGATCAGACGCAGATCGCAATTAAGAGAATCCTTTCGTTTGGTTTAAGGATAAAGCGGATTTTCTTCAAATTAAATTTAATACTTTTTTTCGACGCATAGTGTTCAGAAATAAAGGACGCCTAATATGTCATCGGCTTCTACTTTTGCCATTTTTGATCGAATTGAGAGTACTTAATCTGGGCATCATATTAATTATATACCATCCATTTCTTTAATTTAATCTAATTGTTCAAATGAATTTTCGAATACCTTGTGTAATTCTATTTGTAAGTTACATATTTAAATCGTGTTTTGGATGCTATATTTATGTAAACTGGTAGGTGGGACAAGTTCAAAAACGCGAATGTAATGGATAATAATATTGTTAGAAAGTCTAGAAATAATTCCAATAATTCCGACTCATTTTGTTGAGGAACAATTGTGACTTATAAAAAATTTTGTTGAGGAGCAATTGTGACTTGTAATTGCGGGTAAATCGAATCTCTATGTTTTTTGCAAATATTTAAATGGTAACATGGCATAGCTATTTACAGTTAAAAACCCTAAAATATTAAATGAAAGCACTTTTTTTCAACTTCTCATTTTTTGCAATTGTTGCACAAGCAGACGTTTTGCATCATCGTCCTTATTTAATTTCATGTAAATATAAACACCGAGAGATACTGCTTCCGGAACTGTTGTTATATCGCACTGTGTTCCGAGCTAAAATGAAAAAAATATATAGATGAACTTTATATATTGAAAAATAAGAAAAAATTAGAAAAAAATTTTGGATAAAAAATAAAATTCTGGATGATAAGGCATCAAACAATCTTAAATGTATGCGAAAAGGCTCAATAACTCGAGAGATGTAAAAACAGAATTAGGTAGAGAATTCAAAGACTATGTGTGCCACTAACAAAAAATTAACCGGAAATTCATATGAAAGATACCAGCCCAAAGGTTGCCAATGATTTATGGAAATTGCCACTCAACGCTTGTAACAACGCTCTATTATAGATAACAGCTGATATCGTGCTCGGCATGGATTGGAGTGGTACAGCTTGCGTCAAACATCCTATAGCCTCTGGTAGACGATCCAACAACATTAATGCTTCTGCCTATAAAATTACATGAAGAGATCTGCACAGTTTTTATAAACTGACGTTAATTGCATAATAAGAGGTAGCTAACACATATCCACTTCAAACTTTAAACTGTGCACTGAAAACATTAAACCGTCCTTGCAGGGTTTACAAACTTAAAATAGTCATTTTTTTGCTCTCTGTCCAGATTTTTGAATTTAGAATCCGCATAGACTTATAAAAGTTACGTGGGCATTTTATGAAAAGTCAAAAATTTACTTTAAAAAGCACTGCCATAAGTTTGTGATGAGGAGAAACCTGCTGTAAATTGGCCAACTGACAAGCTGCCTTCAATGCTAAACCATAACGACCAAGATTCAGATTAATGAAAGATGATGCCGCATATACCCATGGAAGTAAATATGCGCAATCCCGTTCAGTGCCTGTTAAAATTAAAGCATTTCGAATACAGTGTGCAGCAAATTCCCAACTGATCTGATTTTCTCGTATCTCGCCGACTTCGTTATTCGAACTGGAAAGTAATCACAGTTCCCAGTCAAGTTAGCATAATCCATCAGTTTACCCAACATCAACAGTTTTAATTTGACCTAAACTAATGATAATATTTATTTACAAATTACTCTTTCCATGTACACAAAAATCTGCTCGCGCAACAGGTCAACAAATACGCGAAAAACGTTTTTCTCTAGACAAATGAGAAAATCTATTCTTGTTTAAGAAACGTCTAAAATTTGGACCATTATCTTATTGTAATGTGACTAATTATCTCAGGAAAATTAACCAATATGAAAAACTTGCCTGTCTCCCCTAATAGAAATAGGGGAGAAGATAGCATATCCGTTCTGCGGTGTTCCTATAATTTCTAGCATTTGTCCATTAGTATCCATGCTATCATTTCCATTCTGCAAAACAAAACATAAAATGTGAGGAGTTTGAAATCTACAAGGAGAAAGAGAAAGACAGAAATGCAAAATCAACATAGATAAAAGAAATGAAAATTATCATAAGTAGGGAGTATACGGAATGCACAAACTCTTGGGAATTTCCGTCAGTTTGAAAAAGATACTTCAAAAAATGTCCGAAAACATTGTACAAATGAACCTTTGTTAGTGCGTATATGCAACATTCCGCAATTCGCAACCAAATTCGAGGCTGTTTTGGATAAAATGGAAGGATAGAAAGGAAAAGTGTAAAAGCAGATTCCGCCTGTCCACAGTGTAACTGAGCCAAAGCTGCGTGATATATCAAACAATATCTGGGTACTGTTGATTCTTGCCAACTGCAGATATAAAAATAATTGAGTCTACAGTTTTAGATGGTAATAAAAGGATTCCAAATTGGTGAGTTCCTCCAGCAAATAATCAAATTCAATTAAATATAATCTATAGAGTGTAAAAAGGCCAACAACTAAATTGAATATTTCTTTTCGCTAATCATAAATATTGCGATTTCCATATCTTAGAATTATAAATATTACAAGATTTATATCAATATAATAGAATGTCACTGTATAGTGTGAAATATTTCATGACATCAAAGAAAAATTATCAAATTAACTTGATTTCAATTTATCAAAGGAGATCCTATGAAATGACTTGCAAAATTAAAACTCATACACACCGTGTGAGAAAAATTCATTGGTGCGGTTTGCTAAACTATTTCATGTACTAATCAAGATGATCTTTATTTTGAATATTTGTCTTGCTGAAATAAAGATGAACCTTTTCCTTCTTTCTTGCCTCACCAACATTGCCGATCGAAAATACGACTCCGCCAAACTTATCTTCTTCAGCGATAAAGCATAAACGCACCCAAGCGCATTATCTACAAGTCTGCGTTCTTCATCCTGAATTCATGTTATATAATACACAGAAGTAGTCCGCTACACAAATATTATTCAGAGAAATAATTGAAAAATAATCAAAACAAAAATCAGTTGCAGCAACAGTAATTCGAAACTATTATTAAAACTGCAAAGATAAAAAAAGAGATCTCTTCTTAGTACCTGAAGCGAAGGACGGAATTTCAAAAGTCGATTTGCTGCGCGTGTTGCATTGCCATTCTTCACATCAAATTCTGACTGTATAAGGCACCAGTGCAACAACTGTAGCTCAAAATAATTAGAATTGAGAATGATTTTTTTCAAAATTAAGATAATAAGGAGAAATGGAAACCTCAGGTTTCGAAGTAAAATCGATCAATGATGACGTCTGTGCAAGGCGACACCGTATGCGGCACTCCAAGCAAGCAAGATAGTCACGCTGAAGAACGTTTGCCCGACGCCACGTAGTGCTGTCGCGAAGTTTGATTGCTTGTTTCAGTGCCAATTTTGGTTGACATAAAGTTAGACTTACTTCAATTTCCAACAACGAAACGGCGCAGAACAGTGTATCTGAAGCCCATTTATTAAATAAAAATTTTTCTCCAGATTTCAGCGTTATAAAGTGAGGAATGCTGGCTGTTACTCAAGCAAAACAGAGAACTAACCTGATAAAGTATTAACAGTCATCACACATTGCAAGACCTCGAGACACGTTCGCCGATTCCCTCGAACGAAAGCATTTAATGCTAGGTTGAATGCAGCAACTGCTTCGTCATTACCATCTAAATTGTGATCCCCATCAGGTTTCAGCTAAAATATAAGGTAGAAGTATTTTATTTGAAGCACGCTGTAAACAATCAACCATAAAAATTCATGTAAAGTGAATTATAAATCAAATGGAAATACATACTTTAGGGAAAATATCGAGCAGCGCAATCTGGTAATTAGCACTAAATAGTTGTGCTTTGCTCTTCGCTTCGCAGAGAGCTAAATTTGCATACAAACGACGTCGTTCCATATCGTCTTTAGTTTCATCCAGTGCTTTTTTCAGCAATTCTGCACATTTTAAGAAGTGATTTTTGGTAAATGCCTATAATAGGAAGCCATTATTCAATCTCAAATTGGAAAATGAATGATCGAAGTGAATTGATTCCTGATGAGACTAATTTTATAAGAAGATATAAAAATCAAAATTAAAATCCTCACTTCTTTGGAGAGGTCAGTGATATCTGATGTCGAAGAGTTCGTGGAGGATGAAGAGGACGATGAAGATGACGATAAACTGCCGACGTAACTCGAACATGCTGTTGCGCCCCTCATCTCATCCTGTATGCATAAAGTTCAAAGTCAGACATTTTCGCCATAAATGCAATAGACGCAGGCGACAATAGGAGTATCGATAAGAATAACAATGAAGTTCATGTTGTAAGCCTCCCATTTCATACTACCGTCTACAAACATGTGAGATATTATATATAAGACTACCAGTAGCACTTCAGAATAGATTCTCACTTTTATTTTTCCCACATAGGTCATATTACTGAATGATTAATAGTCATTCGAATCTTCACAGTAATATGACCTATGTGGGAAAAACATACCAAGACATCTTGAATACTCGAATAAAACTTCCAAATAAAACGATACTGAACTCCACGCCCTGAAAATTCCTCAACCTCTGCGCCGTGCTGCCATTGTTCAAAGCAAAAAAAGACAGCACGGCCAGGAAATCGACTGAGTTATGGCGCAATGTTATTACCGATGTCTATCGCTTCAAACTTCTACATCAATGTTGCATCGCGTAAGAGGGAATGTTATTCCTGTTTGCCTGATAAAATCAATCTTTCTTCAGTTTTTGTGAGTTAATTATTTGATACTTCTAATTCTCTAGCCTTACTCGCTACTTGCCACACCTTACAATAATATTCCAATACGTTGTTTTTTCAATTATACAATCGACTTTCTGTATCAAAAAAACCTCCTCAACTGTATTCAAAGATAAACACGCTAGCGATGAAAGCCTTGAATGAAATAATTGGCTACTAAATGGTACGCAATCTAAATTTCGTCGCAGTAAAATGTTTACAACACAAATAGTAATGTTGACATCAAATGAATTGTTCAGAAATATTATCGTTGCACCCATTTATTTATTACACATTTTGACGAATGATGACGACAATGCAATGGAATTAATACAAGGCAAACTTAAGTTAAACGGCTAGATATACTTTGTATGATTAAATAATATTCAGAAATCAAGCTGAAATACCCTGTCTATTCAATTTGTACATAATCCCCGAATTTGCGTGGTTCAAATCGTATTTCATTACCAAATAGGGGCCGAATCACAAGTTCAGCGGATACACGCATCTGATCGGTGCGCAATTTCGATTTCACCTTCAAATTCCGCATCAGCAGTGCCAGAATGCATTTTTGTTCCATAAGTGCGAACCGTTGTCCTGTAAGAGAAATTTGTCGTCTTGTCCCGAATATTATATAACTGATTCAATAAATTTTATTCATTTTACTTTTTGTATTACATTGTTGGAAACCGAGATAATTTCATAATATAAAAATGTTTAATTAATCAATGTATCTTTATACTCTTGTTGTTTATGTTATAGAAATCCTTTGTCTCAAATATTCTCACTGAAATGATTCGATAGTGACTTTCTTTAACATCTCAAATCATTATTCTGAAGAATACTATAAATAATTAACATCAAATAGCTCCCTTTTTTCCACCGGCTTTATCTATTCTATATTCAAGCAATTCTTTGCTAACTATTACTTTTATTTGCTTATTTACTATAAACGAATACGTTAATGATTTATACTCAATACTTTCGTATTTAGCATTCTCATCAAATGATCTTATGGCCTTTTTGCACCATTATTTTAAAATCCATTATTTATCATAGACAGTGCCCACCGTGCATTTCCAACTCAAAAGAAGCGTATTTCAGTGCAACTTACTGCTTCCCAATCAAGAGGTCTAATCATTCCTACTCTTGATACTCTAGGATTATTATTGCAGGAAGAATAGTCCCATCTTCCACTAAAAATTAACCTTTCCGACAATCTTTGCCTGCGAAACAACAAATTCTTCAAATCAAAAACTTTCACGACACATATTATTATGCTTCTAGTTTCAAAACATTTTTCCATTCTTCGATTATAAATTTCTCATTTCATTATTAATCAGACTTTTCTTTTCAAAAAACGAATACACATACATCTTTTCTTGATGTTATCTGTTTGAATATAATTTCTAAAAATTTTTTCAATAAAGTTCCAAAAATCTGATACCGATGCAATTTCTCGGTCCAGCAGAAAAAGGAATGTACGCAAACGGATGTCTGGGCTGATTGTTGAGGAATCTTTCTGGCTTAAATACTTCTGGATCCGGCCAATATCGTACATCTCGATGAACCATCGATGCAATTATCATAACACCCATACCACGTGGCAGCACTTTGTTTCCTGAAATTAGAAACTCCAAAATGTTTTTGTCAAAAAACACATTGGTTGCAAATTGACTTCGAAAAGAAATTTAAGCATGATCCTGCAAAAACAAGAATTTTATTCAGAAAACGTGTTTTGGTCAGTCTACCGATACTTAATTGTGTTAAAATAAATGACTACTATGTGTGAATAAATGACTTTTTCAACAAATATGAAACATAGTTTTAAAAGAGGTGATGGTAATGAAAGTCGTAACAAGTTATGATTTCGAAGTTGAAGAGAACTTTTCGAATACTGGACAGGTCTTACCAATTTTCGTAGCTTTAGTCAATTGTCGGGCTTGCATCGGTACACTGGGGAACAACCGCAGAGTTTCTTTGATACAGGCCTCCAAGAATTTTAGCCGTCCAAAGTCTTCATATGTTACAGGTCTATCTTCTGAAAAATCATGATACAACTAGTATCTCGTTATATATGTGCATATATGCATATGTATATTTGTTTAAGGTAGCATACCTTCTCCTAAAACTTCGTCAATTTCCTTTTGAACTCTTGCTTGAATTTCTGGATTAGTACCCATCAAATGCAAAAACCAATTCATGCTTGTTGAAGTTGTGTCATATGCCTGAAATGGATTTCAAGCTTCCTATCACCAAAAGATAGTTTCTGTGGAGTCGTTAGATTAAAAAATAAAAAGAAACCTCGAAAGTGAATGTATCCACTTCCTCTTGCACACCTTCCATAGGTAACTGACCCTTCGCATGTAAATCAAGCATGAAATCCAGAAGTGCCATACGCCGTTTACCTTAAAATAATGTTCAATTTAGTGGGTAGTTGTATCATGATTAATAAGCGGTAAGCAACGCCTATCATATACAAGCTTATCATACCTGATACTGTTTCTTTCTCTAACAGATTATTGATACCTCCTGCTTCATCGACCATTCTTTTGCGATTTGCTATTGCCTATATGATTGATTTTATTCACTAAAAGCACAAGCGAAACTTTTCACATTATTGGTATTTGAATAAGTCTTCAAATAAGAAGGTATGCTTTTTTGAAGCAAAAAAAGTTAGATTATATTGACAAATTACTGCGGCGGTGAATTCATGAAGTATTTCAGTGCACTTCTTCTCTTCTTTTCCGTTTCCAAATATATTATAAATAGTATCGAAGTAAAAGTGCACCTTTAGTGCTCGCTGATGAACCATATATTTCATCCTTAAATCCTTCATTTCCAATTTTAGAAAAAAAATGCAACTTAACCATCTGTTTCATAAAAGTATACAAAATGTTGGAATTGAAATTAGATAATTTTCCTAAAGTTGAAAATTTGCGATTATTTCTTTTGTTTTACTTCATTTATGTAATTGCAGAGATTTCGATTATCTTGAATTGTTAATTAACCTTCCAAATGTGATTTAAATAATATAAGCAAACAAACTTGCAAACTGCATTCAAGTAGGGAGACGATTTGTTCTGGGCGTCAACATGTGTTCCGAGGGCAGCTTCGCAAATGATATCCAGAGTACACAGTGATACTATATGAAATATGTCGTTATACTGATCACCACACAGTGCTTGGAATTTACGTAAAAGTGTTCTTCCGTGCTTATTATACACCTAAATATTCAGTTCACGCAAGAGTGAAAAGATATACTACTTGTTGAGATATTTCTCAATCCAATCGGTTTACTTAATTTATAGAACCATTTTCTAAGTATTTTAATTTATTCTCACTTACACTAACAAAATCCTTTAGTATGTCATAGTGAAACGTCGGTGTGAGAAGTTTTCGTCGCAATCGCCACTTTTTCGGCTCACTAAAATAAAACTAGAAATTGGGAAACAAAAAAGAAATGAATTGTTTGCAAAAACGATAACGGCAAAATAATGAAATAACAATAAATGATACAGGTAAAATATGAAAAATTGAAAATCAACTATAATTTGATTAATAAGAATATGATCGCTTCCTACAATAAATTCCTATCTCACTGTCAAACTTAAATATGAATTTGGCTTTTCTCTCTATTAAAAGAAATTATTTCTGTGATTAGTTTTAAAATCAAATTCTCGAAAAATGAACAACCTGATGAGTAGCCCTTGTCCAATCCAACCACTTAAAAAGTGGTATTGTATTGGTTTGTCTAAAATTTTATTACTTCCAAGAATAGCTTCGCATTCCTCTGCTCCATATAGTAAAACCCATGGCCAGGGACCGAACCAAACACGACAAATGCGCTCCCCACGAGCTTGCAACATATATGCTAGGCCTTGAGCTTGCTCGAAGAATTCTATAATATGCTTCAATGTTTAATATTTTATTATAAATAGCTTGAAACAATTTGTTGGAAATGAGTATATTGTGATTTTATTATAATTCAGTAATCGGTGACAATGATTTCCTTTCATCCTTCAATCATCACAGCTTTTCCTCTTCATTCTTATCTAGTTTCTTCCTACTTATTAATCTTTTTTCAATCAATAAAATTTCCAATCGACTAATTTTGAAAATTAGAATGAAAAGAAATGAATCCTAAAATTTGACTTTGCTTAGAAAAATTCGGGATTTTAAACCAATTTCAAATTCCTTACAGCTGATGTAAGGGAAGAACCGAATCGAAGTACGACCGTGATGATACCTGCATAAGCTAAACCAAATTAGTTACTCATCAATCAATATCTTATGCATATAATTATGCGAAAATTCAGACTTTTCAAAACATTATTTTCAAACTAATTAATCTACCTACAAAGCTAATTTTTCAAATAACATAACAAAACTATGTACCATCTGGTTTGAAATGGAATTGATGTAAATTGCCGACAAGTGGCCAAATTGGTGGTCCCTGTATCTCACTAATTTGCTTCAATATGGTTCTGAGCTTTCTGAAAACGAAGTAAGTAATCCAAACGAGTACCACTGTGACCATTGACGTACTTATCAATCCCATCTCCGTTTTCTGAAAAATTATGATATGACATAGTTAAATTTTGAAACAGACAAAATAACACAGCTAAAACTGAATAAAATAATTGCATTTTTTCTTACAAACATTCTTCGGAGTTCATTCAGGAATAAATGTTATGAATCCTACAATAATTTCAATTCATTAATGCTTCGCTGATAACAGAGAAGAAATGGTGGGAAGCAAGAATTTTGGTGTATGATGTGGTTATAATCTATTCGCAGATAGTTTTCAATCCAAAAAACTTCAACTATTATCTCCTGTAACTACGATAGGAATAATTCATTTGCAAATATTCAATATTAGGCCAAGATTTTTAGTTAAAAAAATATTTCTATTTCTATTCGAAAATTTGACAAAGTTAGGCTGAAATTCGAAACTATTATAGATGAAACGAATCAACAACTAATTTTCAGATGAAAAGATTAAATCAGGTCACCCTCAATGATGGCGTTACAATAAGTATTGAAAATAGATTGTTGGAAGAAAATAGACTCATACGATGATAACAATCTTATCATGGACGCTTTAGTACAAGTCCTATCTATTTTTGATTTTTATCTTTGTGGACTGCTTTCAGTAAGAATCTTATCGTCAATTTCACAAAAGAAACTTTGATTATTTCTCTCATTATCAGAATATTCGTTAGACTTACCATTCATGCAGCAATGGTCGTCATGCGCAATTGCCAAACTTTCATTACTTTTTTATGAGATTATTATCGTTTATACATACATCACAAATCATAAACATCAACTTGATGATGAAAATGTGCTACGTGCATGAATTACGTGCAGTAATTAATGCATGCATGATCTTTCAGGCAAATATCTTTTTATTTCGGTGTTTTATCAGATTTTAGATGCAGAAAATTCGAGAATGGTTAAAAACAAAGCTTCAGAAATATTAGTTTACAAGAGAACTAGTTATTGTTTCATATCTTCGGAAGTGAATTTGAAATGTTTCAAGCTATTTCAATGTAAACTATAGGAAAATTTGTTATCAACTGGATTCTTCCCTTTCATTACTATCTCCGTCTGGTTTTAGTATTTGTTAGTTAAAAACATTACTTTAAGACATGCATTTCATCTGATCAACGGAATATGGATAATGTACCAAAGCTGAATCATTTCATCTTAGAATTTTACAATAACGTTATTGAATATTGGCGCAAATGCATCGATATCGCTTCACTGAAATACTCCTACGTGAAAAAAAAAACTTTTTGAGTAATGAGTTTATAAACTCTTAGAATGCACCTCGAAAATGAAGAGAAAATCATTAGTCTTTGTTTATCACATTGTTTTCATAGAAATAAAACAAAGAAATAATGAAATGCTATAAAGCAAAATTTTTGCTAATACATATCTTTCTTGATCAATTCCTTTGGAAAAATATTTTTTCATTACATCTTCAACAATTTCTTTTGTTTAATCATATTTTAGCCTGTCTTTTCTGATTATTTTTCTGCACAAGAAAATTGGCAAATATTTTTTTGATCAAACATTGAGAAAAATTCTGTTTGATCGTATTTCCTCACTGTCAACAAACTTTCAACTTCAAATATCTAATAAATATTGCCACTCATTGTTTTACTACAAAAATACTAAACATCATGATCGATTCAAATTATTTACATGAAACAACAACGCTGCTTGAATTCTTTGACGCTTTTATGGCCAGAAGTGTAAATAACCGAAATTTGATTCAATTTATAGGTATGCAATGGAAATATCATTCGACGTTATGTAAAATCAGTAACGATTAAATGACAAAAGTAAAGAGTTTCTGTATTGATTTGCCTTGAAGACAAATAATTAGCGATAATTCTGTGATTCTTTAAATGGCAGAGATTGAAATTTATAGGAAAATTATTACTTTGCACAGTAAGAGTAGAAAGTAGACAAATCAGAGAGAGTTTAAAAAAGAATCGAAAAAACGCATATGCAAATTAAACGAAGGATAAAGTGAATAAAACAAAATACGATTTAAAAATATAATTTAGTTTTTGCGAACTATTCATTTAATATATCTAGTTCTGTAGCCTTATTACTTTTATTACGTAACTTCTTTATTTAGAATAATATTATGGTGTACTCATATAGAAAAAATACAGACTATTTTCATAAGAGGAATGTAAAAGCATAAACTTAGTTCATTGTGAAAGTATAACTTAGGAATGTAAAAGTATAAACTAAGTTCATATAAACTATAAAACAATATCGAAGAATATCAAAGTAGAATCGGTTGCCATTTTTTAGTATGCTGATAATGCCGATTCTATTTCTCGCATAGATCACGATAAACGCCCTTACGGGATAGAGGTGCACTGTTTAATGCTTTTTGAAAGCAAAGAGCGCTATGCGATCAAAAAAGTGCTTAACATTTTCAACTACTGGCGAACAAAATATCTTATTATATTCTTTAGACGCTAAGGAAATTAAATGATCAAAAGTTTAGCTTAACATTTGAAACGCATTTATATGAACTGAATAAACAGTGAACTGAGTAAACCAATTTCAAATTCCATACAGCTGATGTAAGGGAAGGATAGTTTTCAATCTAAAAAACTTCAACTATTATCTCCTCTAATTATGGGAGGAATAAATTAGGAACTACAGTAATCCAGTTAAGTGAAAATCTATGTGAATGATTTCTTTTTACTTTATATCTTTTATTACGAACTTCCTCTTAGGTTACGTAAGCGAAATTTTCTTTCGAGTCATAAAGAGTAGTCATTTTGATTAAATATTCTCTGTCTTTTCAAAATGTAATATCTATTAAAATAAAGTATTTAACACGTTGAAAATTTGTCTAGTGATATTTCCATTGCATACCTATAAATTGAATCAAATTTTGGTTATTTACACTTCTGGCCATAAAAACGTCAAAAAATTCAAGCAGCGTTGTTGTTTCATGTAAATAATTTGAATCGACCATGATGTGTTAGTATTTTTGTAGTAAAACAATGGATGGCAATATTTGTTAACTATTATGATTGATTTTTCTTTGAGCTAAAAAACAAGCGTTTATTGAATTAAATTCTTTCTTTCCCGAGATAAACAAATTTCTGCAGAAGAAATCAATTATATAGCAAAATCAAAGAGTTAATGAAATGACGAAAGTAACACAAAGTTGCAAAAGCTTGACAGCTTCTCTACTGAAATATTTCATTGAATTTACTTCACTGATCAAATGGAACCAGTTTTCGTGAGTCACTGCAATTTCTTTAAATAATTAAATAGGTTTTGATTGTTACATTTTAAATAATTAAAACTGGTAAATAAATCAAAGTCAGTTTTCGTATAAAAAATTGAATAAAATTCGTTTTGTACTTTCTAAGAAATTCAATAACTAACTTTCATTTTCTTAAAAAAAGTTCAGATAATTTGATTGATTTGTTATTTAATTAATGACAGCAGTGTAGTTCTTCAGATAGTACATAACGAAGTTTAAAAAACCAAAGGAAGTAAATAAATCAAAGCTAATTTCTTCTTTAAAAAATGAATCAAAAAAGCAATAAGACAAAGCAAGCGAAAGATAAAGCAAATGATGTAAAATACAATTTAATTGTCATCAATGAATTGTTTAATACATCTAATTCCCTAATCATACTTGTTGTTTACTTACTCTTCTTAGAATAATTTTTCAATATTTTATCGATTATCATTAGAACTCAATATGATAATACTTTTGTGGGTAATGTATTGTTTCTAAATTATTGTTCGCTTAGTAATTTGCTGAGAATTTAGGAAATGTTTCATTTTATTAAATAGTTACTTAATAACAGTCGTAATTATATGAATAATTTTAAAATAGATGTTTCATTTGTCTTATATGTGAATTAAAGTGTATAAAATTATTTTTCTTTTTTCATCGAATTAGTTATTTAAGAATGAAAAATGACAGAGAATTAAAGCATTAGAATTTATCAAACAAAACTGAAAAGTTAATTTGAAATAAATATTATAATAAAAATAAAATAAAAATGATTTTTAGTAAGCGCAATTTTTCGATTTTTTTATGAGGAAAATTAATACTTTCAAATAACTGAAATCATTTCAAAAAATTTTTCAGATATAACGATAGTTATATTGCAAAAAGTGTGCAAGTATATGTTTTCTCATTATGATCATTTTAACTATATATTGTAATAATCAATGTTGTCATTATTTATATGTTCCGGATATGACACGGATATAACGCTGTCGGTTTTTTACTGAAAAAAAATTTTAATTAAAATACACAGAAAATGAAGAGAAAAGAGCTAATTGAGTTATCTGGCAATAAAAAATAAGGATCGTAAACGGTCAATCAAACAAAATTCAACTTTCAGAAAATACCATTTTTCATATCTCATCTAAACTTTTCGTATAAATAATGACCACTGATTCACTGCTTTTTAGATTCTTCATTCATCTAATTTTTAATAACCTGATCTGCCAACCAAAGACTATCATTACAAACATCTTTTTAAGAAAGGAGTGAAATGATGAGGTCATTGGGAGATCATGCAATTGCACTCAAAAAGGATGACCACTTTGATCATCATATATTCCTTTCTTTATGCAATTATTAGTCTTCTCTTCTTGAATGTGTTTATATTGATATTCCAAAGAATAACTGAAATAAATGATTTCGTGAATAACTGACACTTTTTGTTGATAAGAACTTGACAACGATAAGTAGGAAGCAGTAAGGTATGCTAATTTAAATTGACATATTTATGTAATAAATGGACCACATGAAGCTTTCTTTATTTTGCAGTTTTCTCATCCTGCTTTTATCTTCGGTTATATCCGGAAAAAGTAGTCGTTTAATTTCAAGTTAGGGTGGAGTAAAACTTACGCTACTTGTACCGAGAATTTGTGGAGTACGTAGTAATATGGTCTAACTCAATTTTCAAAGTTAGAGCAATAATATATGAGGGTAGTAATTAGTGCAGTAACTCCAATAATGTACAGAGTTTATCTCACTTTCTTTCTTCAAATGTTGATGTTTGAGTAAATAATTTCGTTTTTTATAGTGTTTCAGGAGGCTGGGATCCCAAGCTAAAACAAAAAATGACAACTAGGTCTTCCAAGCAGAAACAAGGCCATAAGACTTCTAAAATTGTAGCAGAGGAAAAAGAAGAAGTTAATAGGGCTTCTGTCAAAAGACATGCTGCTGGTACTTCAGATCAAAAACAAAGAAGAAGGACTGAAACTTCATCACAAAAACAAGAAAGAATAAGTGAAAGTGATAAACAGAAACGAAAAGAAACAGTAACGTTTCCATTACAGAAGCAAAAAGATGCAACTGCCACTTCCTTAAGGGAGAAAGAGGAAATATCTGGAATTGCTGACCGGGAGAAAAAAACAAGTTTAATTTGTGAACGGAAAAAGAAAGAAGAAAGAGCCGGAATATCGCGGCAAAAGCGTGAAAAAGAAGCTATAGCTCCTGAACAAGAACATAAAGCAACAATTGTAACTCCTGTGCAAAGGCAAGAAAAAGTAACTAAAACTCCTATGCAAGAAGAAAAAAGAAGAAATGTTGCGCAGAAGGAAGAGAGAATAGTCAGAACTTCTAGCCAAACTTCTAAGGCTCTAATACCGAAAGAACGAGGAACGGTTGAAACTTCAGCTGAGGAGCAAGAATTGCGAACTGAAATCTATTTTCAAAAACAAAAAGAAATTACTAAAACTTCTATGCAGAAGCAAGAGAAAGTAACCGAAACTTTGGTGCACAAGCTAGAAGCAGCACCTATGCAGAAACAAGAAGGAGCGCTTGTCCAGAGGCAAGAAAGAACAACTGTAACCTCAACGCACGAACAAGAAGGAACACATGGAGTTCTTGATCAGAAACAGGGAACAACAGCTAGAACTCTGATACGGAAGCAAAAAGAAATACCTATGACTTCGATGCAAAGGCACGAAGGTACAACCGGTACTTCAGAGCAGAAACAAAAACAAACAGTTGGAACACCAGTACAGAAGCAAAAAGTCGTTCCAGTGCAAAAACAAGAAACAACAAATGAAAATCCAATGCAGAAGAAAGAAGAAATAACTGGAACTCTAGTGCAGAAACAAGAAACAGCAACTGGAACTATTGCTCAGAAGCAAGAAGAAACAATTAAAACTTCATTACGGAAGGAAAAAAAGAAAAAAACTGTTGAAACGCTGGTGCATAAGGAGGAAACAACACTTGAAACATCGGTGCAAGAACAAGAAAGAATACCTGAAACAACCGTACAAGAAGAAACAGCTAAAAGTGGTATGCAGATGCAAGAAGAAAAACTTCCGGATGCTTCGGAAAATGAAAAACTTGAAGTGTCTGCCGCAAGTTCAATGCAGATGGGACCGACTATAAATTACGTGCATCCATCAACGGCACCACTTTTTCCCTGTCAGGAAGTACAGTTGAGGCCAATCAAAATGCAGATAGAAGCTTCTAGAGCGCCCCTTTATAACCAAATTGTTCAACAATATGGACCTATTTCTGTTCCTCCATTTCCGCAACAAGCTGCGACGCAAATTTCAGAGGCTTCTGTACATGAAACAGTTTCCATTTTGTCATATTCAGTACAGTCGAACATGCAAATGGTGGAAACTCAATTAGGACCGCTATACACCCAAATTCCACAACAATATGAACCAATCCCTGTTCAGCCATACCCAGTACAGCCCGAAATGCAGATGGTGGAAACTCGATCAGGACCGTTATACAGCCAAGTTCCACGACAATATGGACTCGTTCCTCTCTTATCGCAATTTCCCCCTCCATTTCCCGAATTAATTGTACCGCCAATGGCTGGAATTCCCACACATCCGCTACCTGGTCAAGTTATACCGCAATTCCCACCACCAGTCCCCGGATTAGCTGTGCCGTCAATAGCAGGAATTCCCACATATCCGTTACCTGGTCAGGTCATACCGCAATTTCCTCCAGCAGTTCTACCTGTACCACCAATAGCAGGAATTCCCACAGAGCTATTGCCTGGTGAAGTCGCACGGCAGTTTCTTCCGCCTCTTCCCGGACCTCCAATAGCTCCTGGACCCATTCAAGTCTTACAGCAATTTGGTGTACCTCATCCAGGACAGTTTCAATTAGCACCCGGACCGTCTATGCTTCCGATTTCAGGATTCCCACAATATAATCAGCCATACTCTCAGGTGCCACCTAGAATATTTCCTGGAAGTAAAGTAAAGCAATTTCTGAATCAAACTCAACAATATAAACCCCGTTATAGGGCTAAAGGGGTTCTGGTCACCGAAGTAACCGTCCATTTGTCCAATCCGCCAACCAATCTTTCTGTGGCGGATAATAATTTAGAACATCGAAAAGCAGATACTAAAGAGAAAAATGAACCGGAAGAGAAAAAAGAGCAAAAGGCAACCCAAGTCAAATTCATTTACGGTGAGGGTTCCATGGTACGAATTGAGGTATCCGAAACACAAGATATTTCAAAGCAATCGAATATCAGGTCATGGCCCCGTGCCAGGAAGCATCGTCGAGACAAATTGGTTATCAGACGTCAGGCTAAAATGATTGATGAGCTTTTTCTACACGGACTATCCGATTCGGTTAGTCATTATACACTTTACATTTCAATTTATCTTATAAAAATTTCATTATTTAATAATAATCATTGTTTCCGTTGTTTTCTGCTGAAGTTTTAATTGGATGTTATTCGTCAACTACACGATTTGCTTTCATTTTACTTGTATTTGGAAGATGATTTTTTTACAATAAGTGTGATTAATCTTTTATAAAATACTTTTACTCACACCTATGATATTCAATTTTAATTTTTCTCTTTGATCCATGGAATTTAATACAAAAATTGAACAATAAAACAAATTATCTTACAGAAGAGCTCAGAAGTGGAATGTTGGGATGAAAAATTGGACGTATCTCTAGAAAATATGCCAGAGAAAGTATTGATAAAAATTTTTAAATTCATCGCTGAAGAACGAAACGTTAGTTCAGCTTACAACTCTTATTCATTTTTCAAAGTTCCCATCATTTTATAATGCTCTTTAGCTTTGATATGATAATCTATATTCTTTGATTATTTTTGAAATGACTTGATCAATGTTATCAATTGCAATAAAACCAACAGAAGCTACTGAAAAGGTTTAATTACATTAAGGATAATCTCTCTTACATGTGCGCGAAAATCATTGCTATAGTTATAAATTGCCAGATAGTGTGAGTTCACACAGAATTGTTATTTATAAAGCAGTAATGAACTAAATTAATCGATTGTTAGCTAATGTTACTGCGAAGGTTCTAATAGAATAAACATATATATTAGCTAAAAAGATTAATTGAATGTTAATTATCACTCAAACTTTGATGAGCAGTGGAGCAGTAGGAATAAAATTTAAGTAAGACTAGCATGCAATGATGAAATTTTATTGTTTAAGAGTTAGCATCAAGAATATCATTTTTACAAATAACTTGTACAACCATGCATTTAGGAAATACAATATATAAATATGATATTAAGTCTCGCGACATGTATTCACTCTTTTAGAATAATCCAAATGTAAGCATTAATAAGATGTACCGGCTGAAATTGATATGCAGACGATTTAATGATGTATTGGAAAATAATGCGAAGGCATTACCACTATATCAAGTTTCTGGACTTCGAATTCAAGTAAGCTTACTTTGGATGGTCTTTCAAAAAGAATTCTCTTTTGAAGTAGATGTATCAAAAATTCCGTACAGAATCTTTAATTTATTTTTGCTTGATTGAGAACGAACTTTTTTCTACTTGAATTCTTACGTGATTTGTAATATTTTAAATTTTGCACTTCTCCGGAAAGGTAATGAGCAACTTATTTTGGCTTCGAATAGAAAGTTTTTCTTTCCAATTTTCATTAATTTTAGCCAAAAAAAGTGGGGCCATTAGGCTATTTTACAATGGTTTATCGTTATGGTACAGGTGCCTTCGAGCCTCAATGTGCTTGTTTGGATTTAATTGATCTGCCACCGTTTCTGAGGTAGCTAGCTACACTTCTGCTTCTACAGAATTATTGAAGTTGATAAAATTATTGTCGTTGTATCGGATCATTTTATATCGCACCAGGTTCTATTAGCTAATTTTGGGGCAAACTGATAGCTTCACCTCATTTCCGGATTTAATAGAAATAAGAACACGCTGAAGTTCACTTCACTCATGTCGTTTTTTTAGGCATGACATTATAAATGGTTTTATACACATAGATAGAATGGAACTTACAGATCGGCTCTTCATAACATTGAATAAATTGACTTATGGTGAAAATGTAAGTTAGAGAGAACAAGAAAAAAATTGGGAAGTTTATTATTTCCATGAAGGAACTGTTTTGTACTATTGCAAAAGAATTGGGATATATTAAAATAACATAAATGAAATATAAAATCTTCTGATATTTATAATTTTTAGTATTATAAATTGTTCATTAAAATTAAAAGATAAGAATATAAGTAACTTTTACCTTCCTGTTTGACAGAATTTTTTAAAGAATATTTTTGCAGTTGTAGTCGTAATCGGTTGTCATCAAGAGTTTTCCTTTTATTTTTAAGAAATAAGATCATATACAATCATAATTATTTCATATGTATGAAGAAGCTTAAAATATTTTGCATTTAATTTCTTCCATAAATTTTTTAAGGTACAAAAAATCATCTTTTCGAGAATTGAATCAATTAGTCTTACTCCTGAAAGTGGAATTTGCATGTTTTTGGATAAATTTCCCAGATTGTCGGATCTATGTTTCTTCGGTCATTATAACGAGAATGAACTCGACCTTAACCATAGTCAGGTAGTGATGGAAATGTATAGAAGGTATGCATATATTATACAGCTTTGTTTGTAGCTAAGGTATATCTTCTCTTGCAAAAGTAAATTGAACATTTTTAGTGAATATGGCAACGGAATGCTTACGGGAAAAGAAATGAGAATAATGATGGAAAGTTTGAAAAATAAAAGAAAAAAACAAACTAAGCGATCTGGGATAAAAACAGTAGTCCCAAGAAAAACAATATTTAAAGAATCGAAGTAAAACAAGTAGAGTAGAAGGAAATAGAACTTTTTTTTGAGGGACGGTTGCTTAAGAAAGTTTAATTTTATATTGTCCAAAATGTTGATTTTTAATGACTCATAATAATATGACCCATATATGACTCATGTATGACTCGTTGTTAATTTCTTCTCTTAAAAAAGGGAAAAATTTCTGAATAAATAAGTTTATGTGCTGTCGTTCCATTTAAATGATTGCTGGAGATGTTATTGATTTCAACATTCTAAACTTCCGTTTCTAATAAATTTTCTTAGTAAAATTTCTCCTGCACTGATTTGCCTTCTCGCAGTAGCAATTGTGAATGATCATCATCAGATGATCATTCACAATTGTCAGATGTTATCACATGATCAAATATCTTTTTGAAACTGCCATGTTTGTTGCCAATACAGTTGTTCTTGTTTAACATTCTATGAAGTGAAAGATTAAATGAATTCAACACTGTATCAATGCCTAATTATTTTTGTTGAATGATAACACTGTTGAATATATTTGCAATTCTGTTAGACAGTGTAATTTGCTGATATTTTGCATATTATGTAGACTGTATTAATTAATGCCCTTAGTAAGCTATTTATTAAATTTTTCTTAGAAAACAAATGCTTTCCACTTTTACGGATCAATTTGCAATATTCTCTCAATTCTTGATTTTAAATTTAAAATTGTGCTGCATGTTTGTTTGAAAATTTATGTACATTTTATCAACTATACTCACTATTAGCATTAATTTATTGATGAAAGCCATCTGTATCATCTTTCTTCTCAATTTTGTTTTTCTAATTTTCACAGATCTTTGTGGATCTCATAGATTAATTGATTTCTTCATACCTTTCTATAATATCTCATTTTAAGTATGTTCTTTATGTGGTATGTTTTGTTGATTTTTCCATGCAATATCAGCTAGAAAGATTTCTTCAAATTGTTTTTTCTTGTTTTCTCTTTCCAGTCTTTTATAAATAAAATATTATTTCCATCGATGTTTTTTGTTTGTGAAGAAAATTTGAGCAAAAAACCGAAATTGATATCTTTTAGTGAGGAAATTTTAAATTTTTTAAATTTCGCTTTTACTTATTTTGTTATTTTTTGGACTATTTGAATTATCTAAAACATTTTCTTAGAAGTAAATTCTAAATAATTCATGTATTCTGCGATTAGAGAATAAAATTTACAAATTATGTGATATCTCATGGAGGCTTATAAAGAGTAAAAATCTTGATACTATCTGTGGAAGAAGTAAACGCTTTTTTTTCAATAAATTCATTGTTTGATGAAACGCAAAGATTAGGAAATAAAAGGATCGGAAAAGTTTAAAGTGCACTCCTGGGACAGATAATTTCAAAAGTGTTCAAATGCTTTTGTCAAGTAACAAAATCATTTGCTTCTTAAAACAAATATTTCTAATATTCGTTAAAATAGCATCTTTTATCCTATCATAAATGGTAAATGACATTCTGCTGAACACTTAATTAATCATCTAGTAGTATCATTGGTATGTTAAGGGAAATATAAGTTGAAAGTTTCATATTATTATCAGATATATCATCGCCTAGCAGTGAAAATAATTGTGGCGCTGACTTCTCACTTCGTTAAATTGAATTCACAAGAAAAGTTGCTTAATAAATCCTGGAAAGAAACACTATAGATAATTGATTGGTTTTAGAAAGCATGGAAATGAGAATGTTTAACTAATTTAAGATAACGTGCAAAAATTGGACTTTGATTCATGAGATTTTTAATCACAAATTAATAAATAGCAAAATACAATAGTCGGCTTTAAATAAACTTATGGGTTCAAAATGATAAATATCATTGATTATTGAGAGTCATTTTAATTTCTACAATAATTGTTGATCATATAGCATTCATTAATCATCCCATGATAAACCCATGATAAATAATTCTTGCTAATGTAAATAGCAGAAATCACTCGATAAAAAAATGAATTAAACCAAATGAAATAAGCCATAAGCGGCTAAAGCCATTGTTTAAAATGAAGATTATGTGGCCTTGAAAATAAGCAATGACTTTGGATATGATTGAAATACAATAGTACTTGCCTCCATTCTTTCTGGAATCTTGAAGAAGATCCGTATAAAAAATCCCCTCAATGATCGCTCACTGAATTTTTCATTTTTGTTACTTCATATATGCACATTATAAAAAACAAAAGAAGTTCTTTCATTAGCACTAAACTGATTGAAACAATTTGACAATAACGCCACATTATCTGAACGATTTCTTTGAAGTGATCACTGTCCCGCAAGAAGTGATTTAAATTCGCACCATGCGACATAAATTGATTTGTTTTCTATGTTTAGTTGATGAAAAAAATTATTTGGAATATTAGAACTTGATTGATAAGAGAAAAGAAATACAACTGATAAGTTTATCCAATCGAAGCAGAAGGATGAAGCAATACTTATCAAAAAAGGATAAATTTTTTTTTCCTTGAAATTTATAACACAACAAAATCAATACATTTACTTTTTAGACTTTCAGCGACGTTTCGTGGAATGATTACATAACATAACTATTTTAAACTTTCATATTTATTGATTGTCATTGTTCAAAAACTTATTGCTCCTTCTACTCTTATCCTAAATAACATCTTACGTCCTTTAATTTCTATACATTTCAATTTTTTTGCCTAAAAATGAAATCATTCCTTGATCTTATTTCAGGTTGGAAACATTAACTAAATACACAAGGAGACGCTGATCACGACGCAGCAGATGTTGGTCACGTTTGCATTTTATGAAAATTTCGTTCATTTTTAAATCTATTTCCTGAGAATCGTCTAAAAATGCTTCTTAACTCTTGGTTTTGGCTTTGAATTCCACTTTTAAAAAAATTAAATACTTGCCTTTCAGTACTCCGAAATATTTGCTACGATTTTTCTCTATTGCAATCGTGTGGACGGACAAGGCATATAATAGATTAGCAGAACAGCCAATGCTATCTATTAAAGATGACCCGCAATAAGCTGGATAACAGATCTTAAGCTTATTTTCTTCCAGCTAGATTCTCAAACCATACCAGAGAAAAGCGTCATATCATTAGAAAAGTTGCGCACTAATAAAGAAGTCCCGTATTCCCCAACATTTTCAAATATTAATTTAAAGAAATTGCAAAACAATTTCAGTTGTTTTAGTTCACACTGTTCATTAAAGAACAGGTATTAAACTAAGAAATGTGTGTGAATCATCACTTTTCCGTTTCCAATTAATATGCCAGCGGAGGCATATGAAAAGGGTGAAGTTTGACGATAACTTTCCAGTTTTTTTTCCAAGAAAGTTCCAGTTTTTTCTGGAAACTTTCTTGGAAATCTTTTAAAAGTTACAAAAGCATATTTCTGTTATAAAATTATAAAAAAATTATTTGGATATGAATATTATGAAATAATGAGAAAAGAAGCCGTTGTAAAGTAGAAAAAAAATGAATTGATCAGGAGAGATACGCAGGCGAATATTACCTGTCAGAGTATGACAAATGAACTTCCCAGTTATGAAATCTTAAAATATCTGACATTACTTGTTAGAGTATGACAAATGAACTTCCGGCTATGAAATCATAAAATTTCCGACATTACCTGTCAGAGTATGACAAATAACTTCCAGCTATGAAATCTTAAAATTTCTCTAGATGAGATATACAACTAACTATTGCCTCAATTATAAGAAAAACTCATTGTTATCGAAAAAACATTCATATTGTTAATCGAAAAAAATTTCTCGACATTGTTCAACTTTCCCACACTTTTCTACACTGTGTTCAGAAGATTATCTGACTGAAGCATTTCATTTATTTAGAACAATATAGGGATGACAAGAACTATTTATAAGTAAAATATCTGGCAAGAAAAAGGTAAGCAACTCTTTCCCGAATAGTGAGAAAGCACCTCAGATAGCATTGTTTTCATTTTATCTTTCTCCATCCACTTCCACTTGTATTTAATCTGCTGGAACGATTTCAAAAGAACGAAATGTTACATGACAAAACTTTTATTTTAAGAAATTGGGAATGATACACACTGGGGCAATAACGGAAAACTCAAATGCAATTCGGTTATAAACTTATATTATCCTCTTCGGTCACAAACCAAGATAAACCATAAAGAACGCACTCAATGAATCTAATATTTCAAAAATAACGGACACGATATCATAATACTGACTTAACTTAGCAAAGGACTTCAATCATTTTTTCTGATATATAAGCAGAAAGTAGCCTACCCAAATACTTAGTAGCATATTTTCCACCCACTCTTCTTGTGATTCACAGCCGATGAATCATAAGAACACAGTAGACGATATTAATCCAAATTAATTCCTTAATATTATTTAAACAACGGATATAATTTCGAAAAAAGTGAAAACTTTGATCGAAGCATCAGTTAGAATAGTCGAACTAGTTTCGACATGCCTAGAAAACTTTAAAATGATATTCTTCACCATATAATTATATCAAGCAGGAATATAATTAAAACTATTTGAATAACATGAAATAAGAAAATCTAACTTTTCCAGAGTTGTTCAAACCTTTATTTATTATTTTTCGGAATCCTGAGTAGTATAAGCTCTCTGCAACTAAATTATTAAAATTCTGAAAAAGCTAACTAAACGATAAAATATACAATATATAGGATGAATGAAAATACAATAAACAATCAATTGGTGAATCCTATCATTTATTCTTTCAAAATTCTATTACCAAGAACTGGAAGCAGAATCAACAAATTTGCTACGTTACCAGAAATGGAAATGGTAGGGATGATGCTTTCAAGTTTTATGTAACTTTTATATATTTTCAACCATATGTATGTATTTCTTTTCACTAATCCCTCATTTTTCAGGGTAAGATATAATTTGCCGAAAAAAGAACAGCAGTTTTTTAATGTCCTTCGTAGCGTGTTTTGTAAGAAAACATTTCAAATTATTGTCAAAAGCAAAGTTTTGCTTCTTGCTCCTCCAAAATCAAAAACATTTATTACTCCCAAAAAATAATCTTATAAAATATTCGAAAGCGAGATAACAGTAATTATAGTAGTATAGCATCAAATGAATATATAAAAGAAAATTCTGACAAAAGGACGAATTACTGCATACGAAAACCATAAGCTTCGACAAACTGTATAGAAAAATCTTCACTCTCACCAGCTAACGGTTCGTTTTGAAATGTTTCACATGCTTGCGTACGACCATAATTCAAATCTGCATCCAACCAGAGCCCATAATGTCCACCACTTGCACCAATCGATAATGAATCCATGCTTGCTTTTACGAAGAATTGATTTGCACCGCTCCATGGATAAATGCGCAGCACTCTTTAAATCAGAAAATTTTAATATAAAAAGAAATTCAAGAGAGCATTGCAAAATTCTCCATATTAATGATAAACCAACACATTGCTCATAATACGAACATTATTCTTTATGCAATTAGTCGTGCGGTGTTTAAGGTAAATCCCCTTAAGATGAAAAAGTCAGGCAAATAAAATTTCAGAAAAAGTTGAAAACTACTTTTCGTTCATCTCGATGTCGTTCGCATATCTGTAAAGAAAACATGAATCACCAGTCCCAAAAAAATGTTCGCACGGACGCACAGTGGTACTAACTACTGCACCAAAGACATTCTTCTCACAATCACGAATTATCAACAGTATAGGTGACATTTCTTCGTCCCAATCTATCATTTTCCTAAAAAAAGGAGGAAATGATTCCGACTGTTCGAATACTGAATGCGTGAGTTTTTCACTTCCGTTAGTAAAATATAGGCAATTTTAAAAGATGCCAATGGCAAAGCACTGCTCAAATTTCTCAATTTTGAAAAGATTAAAACAATTTGGAATTTTTGTTCTGGAAAAAATGAGCCACTAGTCACAGAAAAACATGAAAAAGCAAATAGACCTGAATGACAACAAACCTATAAAAAGTGTGTAATGAGAAACCATGCTTCTCGGAATTATAAATATTGATCCATGGATAGCCTGTAGCACGAGGCGGAAGCACATCTACCATCTGCAAACTTGATTTATAAAGCTTCTAATATAATTTGTTTCTCCTCTCTAAGAACCAAGCATAGTTCAAGCAAAAAAATGTGACACTAACCTGCCTAACCATAATTTCATCCAGGATTTGCGAGGAAGCAGCACCATCCGGAAGAGGGAGAACGATCTCGTTTAGCTGACCTAACGACATCCGCCGGCACATCTCCTGCACTGTTACAATCTCCCATTCCCGATTCAGAGAACTACTAAACACTCGAGAAGATGGCACCTCACCTGAAATTTTTCAATAAAATTATTGAAAACAAATAAATATTAAGAATTACTAGAGTACGAACGGTGAAATTCAAAAGCTCTTCCTTTCACTTTTATTCCTTGCTCAAGATAAAAATAATGAAGAGTAGAGATGGATGTAATCTACAAAAAGACTTAAGACAGCATATCAAATTTGAACGAAAACCATGACTAACACGAGAGGGTACATTTTTCCAAACTTGCATATTTATTATACTGAAATACATCTGATTATTTCATCTATTTATGAAAAAGCATATATGACGAAGAATACTACTATCCTTCACGGAACAAAAACAGTAGCAGTTGAACTCAACAAAATAGGCATCCACCAATCAATATCTTAGTCAATAAATTCACCGATGAGATGAGGAAAACATTTACCCCCTCAAACGAACAAGAATATTCATGGAGTTTTTTAGAACGAGGTTTCGAAGGTTACAAAGTCCATGATGCAGTAACTCCTCGACTTATTCTCATTCAACGATTTTCGTCGTAATTGTTAACATCTTAAAGCATTTTAGAAAGGATATCATGCGGAAAAAAACTTAAATTTTCAACCATTCATCTTAAAGTTGCATTTGTTTTTCCAAGACTCCACAAACTTCATCTGTTAATATATACAAAATAATTTCCGACGAAAAAAGACAAAGAAAATGATTGGAAATTACGAAGCCTAAGTCATCCAAAAAGAAGATTAACATAATTAGAATGTTAGATTATTGGAATGCAAACCAAACCTAATAATCGAAGTACTTTATGCGTAAATGAAGATTAACAATTTTCATTAATTATAAACTGAAAGAATTTGATAAAATGCATCAGGATCACTGATAAAAAGTGAGATTATTTTCACTTGCTGTTAGAAATATTGAAAAGCCTTTTTTGAATCAGAAGATGAATTCTTGGAACTACTGAAATAATTATATCACTATAAATGGGAGAAATAATACGGGAAAATAGAACTCAATGGCTCTGTAATCTGCGAAGTAAAAATCAGAACGGAAGTATCTAACTATAATATATATAATAAGAGTGGAATTACTTAAAAATAAAACACCATAATTGCAGTAATGCTACTCCTGATGGCATTGAAAATAGAAACTGATGAAAACCAATATAAATTAGTTTAAATTTCGACCACTATCCTCTAACCATTAAATTTCTATTCCAAGTAAGTTTTATCCTGCTCGGCTGGAGATACAACAGACACTCATAAACAAACAGACAATTCCTAATTTTCAGTTCAAATTTCAGCGAGAAATCCATCCAACTGCTTACTTTGCTTTTTACGTCATGTGTTATCTTTTTAGAATAGAAGCGATAAAGGAGATATTCAATGAAGAAGATAAAATTCTCTTAAAGCTAGTTTATTCGTTCATGTTACTTCTCATTGAGAAACAAAAAAAGGATTCTTTGCCACGCCTTAACAAGCCGCATTCTCAGTTTTCTATCCAGATTCCATTGAAAAGATCGTTACTTGCTACAGCTACATTAAAATCTTAGATGAAAAGCAGAACAGAAACATTTCCAACAGTTCAAATTTAAAAAAATGAGACATAAAAGGAAGAAATGAAAAGGAAGAAAGAAATCACCATATTATCGGATTTTAACATTCCTGGCAATGAATGCATCAAAAGTGAACATTTTTTTTACAATGCTATAGATTGTATGGTGAAACTCAGAAAACAAAAACTTACTTTTCGAAGAACTCGCCATATGTGGTGGGGATGGTAGTGAATATGTTCGTTTACTCATTTTCTGGAAAGGTTTTACTAAAGAAAACTTTCGAGTCTTTCTACATTTGGAGGATGACTTCTTCCTAGAACAAATTCCTTGTAATTTATAAGCCATAATGCTATCATCGTTTCTCTCCTTCTCTTCGAATACGGTTTTAAAATTTTTGCAAGCAGAATTGTCATTAAAAACCGCATTTTTGGCATCTTCTTCATCGAAACTAGCACCAGAATCTAGGGAACAACGAGGAATATGCGAATCTGCTTCAGGAAAGTGTTTGTTGACCAACTCACAGGTTTCACTTTCACGTTTTGAACTAATTTCTTCATCACACCGTTCCTCTTTCTTTATTTTCTCTATATCCACTTCAGAATCCTCCGAAACGGAATCAACTCCTGATGATACACTCGAGGTTGACAATAAGCTGACGCCAATTTTTCGCTTTGGTAAATCCTTTTGAGATGAAAATTTTCGACAGAAAGAATTTTTCGAAAGTTTCTTGCGTTTATACGTTGAAGTGTCGGGAAGTTCCCGGGACGGAAAACATTTCCTCCTCTTATCATCACTCTTCAAGGAAGAGTTCTGCTTCAGTATCTGATTTATATCAGCAGTACTAAAAATACTTACGACCGAAGAATTAAAATTCAATTCATGAAATTTAGTATGCAAAATAGGTGGTGGAAAAAATTTCTCTTCTGCACAGGGCTTGTAAGATAAACGGGATGACAGTGAATACTTCTTCAGCGCACCATGACGATAAAGGCGATATTTCTTTGAACCGCTCATAGATTGATGATAAATATATGGATGTGATCCCGTGATACCCATTCCTTTTTCTTCTATTTCCAATTCTGAATCCAAGCCAAAAGACTTAATTCCCTAGCTTCTTCGTTTTTGATCAAAACCTTTTCGACAATCTTAAAAAAATCAGGTTATCGAGAGAAAATAACGGAGACCGAAAAACCAGTACGAGGCGTATTAGTGCCCAAATATCAGAAGCTTCTGTCACTTGTTTATCGGAAAATTACTGTTGAAAATTCACTAATTTAAACTCATTCAAAAATTATTAAAAAATAGTGCATTCTGCAACATGAAAATACTTATTTGCTATTCGGCAGTCAAGTAATCAGTTGATTGATAACAAAAGTGATCAAACATAGCGAAGTTATTTCATGGCGCATTTAGATGTAGGAAGTGAATATATTTGAATATGTTCTCCTCATTTTATTTGTCGAACTAAAGCATACGTATAACGTGATTCAATGAAATAGGATAACTATGGAAATCAGATGTTTCGAGGTGCTCTCCTAGCGATCGATAGTAACGAAACTCTAGTAAAATATTCTATTTAAATATCGGACAGCTAAAATACTAACTAAATCTCATTTCTTAGAACAATAAATTACAATGCTCTTCCTTATATTACTTCCCTTAATGAGTTTATTAAGGAGAGTTGGCGAATTTTGAACAAAGATAAATGAGTATATCTAAATGCGAAGAAAATTTTTTAGCATTAATAAAAAAGAATATGAAAGTTTCTTCTATAATCACAAATTAAATTTAGGCCAAGAAGCTAGCAGAAACAAGACGAATATTACCGCTTTGTGCATCAAAACAAAATTGAGTTTTCCAAACGTGTAACAAAATGTGACAATTACTTAAGTGCATTTGTTTTTTATATAAACGAACCTGTACACTGGTGCACTTGTATTAAAATTACGGGAATGTCTAAATTAAAAACATTTTAAAAATAATACCACAACAATGTTTTGCAAGTTCTAATATGATATCAGACTTTTATCTTCCCTAAAGCTATGTAATTCCCTTAAAATACGACGAAACTCTTTGGTTCTACAAAACCCCTCACGATTGCAAAATGATCCCAATGCACGAAAAATGCAAGCACAACTTCAGATATATTATACAAGGATTACCTCAATACAGGACCTACATAGATATCGACAAGTCTCTAGTAAGAAGTACTTTCTAGTAAGAAGTCTAATTAACATTACAGGTGTCGCATCAGGCATATCCTTCTGCCATAGTTTTAATTTGATTAAAACTAAAGTTCATAGAACAATTTCATGACACCAAAACAACTCTAACTCCTTTATTGCTGTGAAATTTTACAACCAAACATCCGAAAACACAATTTCTTGTGCAAACAGTCAAACAACCTGTAAATGTTTCATAAACATGCATTTATTTGCATTGGTAATAACACCATAGCAAATGTAAATTGAAAGCTCAAAGAGTTACCAAACAATATAAAACACTTTTTTTTTCGCTGTGCCAATCCGAAATATTGAAAATGCAAAACAACTCTGTATGATATTAAGAAAACAAGAAAATTTACTCTACTTTTTTCAAAAGTTTTAAAATAAAGGATTTTTAGGGTGTCCAACCAAGTATCGAAGTGAAACTTTACCAAACTTAAATATTTAAGACTCATGATTAGAAATTAAGAGCGACAGTTATTTTCTGAAAATTCAGAAATTTTGGGGAAGTTTTAACTTTCTTTCCACTTAACAAGATTTAGTGCCAGAAATCATTATTAGAATGTTCAGATATCGAATATTATTAATCAGCAATTCCTTGATATTCTAAAAGCTCTAGATTTAAAGAGATTGGTATGTAATGCGCTGAAATGCAAAGCTCAAGCATTCAGAACAAGTACCCCGGGATAAACGGACTACAACAATAAATCACAAAAAGAAAAAGGGATCATTACAGTGGACCGAAACAGAAATATATTTTCAGCAGATTAAACCTATAAAATGAAATAATTTCAAATGAGAACAAGAAATTTGTTCCTACTGAAAAGCGTCGTGTATATAAGAAATATATCCCATTTACTGAAGAAACTGTTCAAAAAAATCATAGAAATAAATAAGACGAAAGATGAGTTCTACAAAAGAAACTTTTCTTAGGATATTTAGGAAGAAGACAAAAATGGAGAAGTCAACATGATTGCCTGGTTTGAATATTAATGGAAATAAAGATTTTTTTCCTTCTTTAAGCAACAAACTGCTGAACATTAAATAACAAAGTTCTTTGACTTATAAATTTGAAAAGAAAAACAAGGAATTCCATTTTTTTTTCTAAATAATATCAGTAAATTCCAAAAGTAATGGTTTTTAATGAAAAAAACACTTCAACAGCAAAATGAAGTCTGTACTTCGATTTTCCATATTTCCTGGCGAAATAAAAGATCACTGAATGATAAGTACGTTCCCTCCCCCTCAAAAAAAACATTGAAAAATCTCATGAATTTCACGCAAGGTCACATCAATAATAAATTAACAAAAGAGAAAAAAGTCAAGAAAAACTGCAATGTATTTATAATGATAAAAGTCCCTTTCACGCTACACAGGAATATCACGTGAAATCACGGAAATATCATTATTCTGATCCATTATGACTAAGAATGTAAAGTTTCATTTTTCATTATTAAGATATGATTAAATCTTTGTGCATCATAAAAGTAAGCTATTGATAAAGAAAAATCTGCTTGTCCCGAAAACGATTCAGTTTAAACCAGTAGTAATTATGTTAAAGTGAAATCAAAGTGATTTTAATTAAGTTCGATTAAATCAATTAAACTACAAGATAACGATAAAAGATAACAAAAAGTAATACCGCATTTAGCATAAAAGTTTGTCGGCTATGAAATATTTTATATAGAAAATTTCAAAAGAGCAAATCAAAATTATTGCGGTAAAAAAAAATGATCGGATAAAAGTGAAAAAAATTATTAGACGCGATGGAGTTGAAATAAAATCTATGAAAGTTCCATATTTTAATGATGATATCTATAACTTGAAGCGTTTTCATCATAGGATATTTGTACTAGTACCATAAAAACAAAAATCATGTTGAAAAGAATATAGAAAGAACAACTGAATTCTATTGAAGCACGAACTGCCTTCTGAAATCGCACTCGTAATTAAACTTTTTTTGTATAGCTAGGTATTTGGTGTAAAATCACAACTAAGAACTACGTCTAGACGTCAGTATACCAAAATTAATACAATTAGTTATACTAGTGCATTGAAAAAAGATGATTAATGTATTAATGAAAATGGAAACACACCAAATGTTTTTATACATTCAATAACTGTGTTACTAATACCACCCACAAGTCATTCTCGACATTTTCGAAGATTTCGTAATTAATTTTTGCGTTAAGAGACAAACTGGATGATAGATGCGAGGGAGTACATTCTAAACGGGAATGGAATTGACAAAAACTGATTACTTTTTTAACGAATTATATCATTAAGTAAAGTAAAGGATGATTTATAATTCATATAAAATGAACTTCCAGGAAAGCATATAAATGAGCAAAATGCCAAAAAATTCCATATGAATTGTCATTTTAGTGAAGAATGCTTTCCTTGATATATATGCATTGAGTTATCATCAATCTATCCTAAAGAATGAGCATACATCGATAATGATGAAAATAATAACTAATACGAAACGGTAAGTCATCAATGCCAATCCTCAAAACCGCTACCAGAATGCATACATGAACAACTGAAATGAAAGATGGAAAAAAATTCTTTTGAAATGATGCGAAAGGTAATTACTGCGAGAATAAAGGAGGAACTATAAAAAACAATGAAAGAAAAGATCTAACATTATGGAAGAACAAGAAACGCATTTCAAAACCATGAACTTGCAAATCAGTTTCCATCTCTTTCTTTTGATATCCCGAACAAGAGTTTAGGTTATCAAATTCAGCCATTTTGATATTCAGATGAATTTAGATAAGACAATTTAAACAGAACTATTTCACACTTTCATATCAACAAATCGATGAATTGAAGTTAGGACAAAACAAATTTAACAGCCTCCTACTGGATGGTTATGAAATATGATGATTTTTAGTCTGCGTGAGCAGGAGATAATGCGAGTATAAATAAATACTGCAAGGGTATTATCACACAATATAAAATATTTCACCAAAGATCATCACGCAGTTTTTACGTAACGAGGACTAGTTATGAAATAATTTATTGCATAAGGAATGGAATCATAAATTTCATCATGAATCATAAATTTCATTTTCAGAAATTTATGATTCATGATGAATTTTGTAATATATTTAACAATAAGCCAATTTCGGAATCACATCCAAATTTGCTAATTCCAGAAAAGCTATATTCAAAATATACACCGAACTTATTGTCCATCCCGTTTCACTTGCCCAATTCTATTGCATTTATTATCAATAATGAAAGATTTTGTGTCTACAGAAAAATTCAGCATTTTACCAAATGAAAAATTTCATGGACAGTTAAATCACTTCTTACTGTTTGAAAAAAGTTAGAAACAGGAAATGAGAAAAAGATTTCGAAAAATAAGAACCAACTACCACTTCATCATTCAGAAATGTGAAATGATAGAAAAAATGAAGAAACGTTTCATGAAGGACGGCAATTCTTTAAGAAAAAGTGCACGGAAAATGAACAATTTCGAAAACGAGCAATTTTTGAGGAAAATCATAAATTTAACCCAAAACACAAAATGAATTTGCATTACAACAAATTTTTAAATTTTAAAGAAGTTTAGATTTTTCCCGTATTACATATTACTCTTACCAAGTTGAAGGAGATGGCATCATCTTTCACGAAAGGAATTCTTTCTAATACAACGATATAACGAAACAAAAAAGTGCAACATTGATTAACAAAAAGCTGAGAAAATCAATGAATAAATTCCAATTTCTTAAAATTTTAAGAAAGTCAGCAGATGCTTTCAATAGTCATCCACAGTACTGACGATAATGGAAAAGTTATCATTTTCTACGGAGGAAAACGAGTGGTATTAAGAACAGAAACAAGAAAAAACTGTTGCAGCAGACCCGTTGTCTCAAACTTTCGAAATGCACAGTCACGTCATTCGACAAAACGCTCCTTTTTTAAAAATTAAGCTAACATTTGCTAAGCAAACAGTGATAGCGAATGTAGAGAGACAGTAAAATATAGAGATGAAAAAATAATGAAATCAGAAATTGGTCTAAAAATTCGTCCAATACAAGCGATATAAAAAAGAAAAAAAATTTTAGAAAAGTAAAGAACTTCATATTGTATCTTCCTTAAGCCTTTTTCTACGCTGATTCCATCCTATTCGATCTTCATATAATAATTCAGAAGGAAATACCTTACGTGTGGTTAATAGAGCATAATTTTCACCTTCTAAAATATCGTTATCAAAAATTACAAGAAACATTACATCCCATTGCATCTATGACCAAATTGATTTTGTATTGTTTAAAAGAGCCTTTGAAAATTTTTAAACGGAAAAAATGCCCCAAACATTAAAAATCACATGATCAAATATATAATTGATACATATGAAACGACGACGAAGGGCATTCGACAAACGGGGCCACGAATCGAACAACGGCGATTTGTTCAACCTGTTCCATTCCATTTGTTGATAATAATAATAACGACAACAATGAATACAGATTTATAATCTATGCCATGTCACACATATATTAAGTTTCAGTAACATGCAGCAGATGAGTAGATGAGGGAGGTGCTCAGTAAGATGAATCGAGAATAATATATCGAAATCAGTTTCATGCATACTGCCAATATTTCCATTTTTGATTTTCCCTACTTGAAAAGAAAAAAGTTAAATTTTCGAAATAAAACCAGCAAAGATCTCACCTTCTGAAAACTAAAAGTATTAAAAAATTTCTAAAAATCAAAAAAATGCACACCATTTTTTCCTAAATTCATCTGAAATGAATGTGATGTTCTTGATTTAGTTTACATACGACATATATTCTTGAACCACTATTTGATGGAATTTTAAAGTAACTCATTCCTAAACTCGGGCTTTTATTAATGCCATTGTTCGGACTTGTAGTGAAGTTATTGGAACAGTTATAAAATAAATATGGAGAAAATGATGCTATCGTCGAGAACACAGACGTTATATTTCATTTGTAATAGGTATCTAAGACAAGTTAATATGTGAATAAGGAGTCCATAGAAAAAGAAAATTTAAGCGCTTATTTCAAAAACCTAGAAAAAAGGAAGAAATTATAAATAAAAGAAAAATAAAAATAATATTCTTAATATCAAAATGGCTAACAAAAATGACCACTAAAAGTGGGCGATTGGATCAATATAATTTAATGTTTTACAGCTATAAAATGAGAAAAAAGTAAACATAAAATTGATTGAAGATATTCATTACGTCAAATAAAATTTTAAAAATTATCTGAACATTCAAAAAAGTGGAACAGAAAAGTGAATGAAAATCAGTGATGAAAAAAGTTAAAAAAGACAGTAGAAGATAAAGGCTAAAGCAAAATAAAACGCGAGGTTCTGATCGAAATCATGTTGGGACACTAATTCTTTGAGAAATAATATGAAATACCAAAGACTTATAGAATCATAGGGAATGATAAAAGATGAAGCATTAACAACCATTTTATACATCAGATGGTAGTAGACATATTTTGCGATGCTTTTGCTTCTTATCAATAAGTTGGAAACAAAGGAATAGATCCAAATCTCATTTCAATAAAAAAGAGAAAAATGCTACATCAGACATAATTAGATTCTATTAAACAAGAAGCTTTTCTTCGAAAAACATTACTGTTGATGTCCAGGAGAAATGTTATATATAAAACTAAACTTGAAGCCGGATATCTGAGGGTAAAAAACAAAAAATCGGCAGAAAAAATTTGGTGAATTCGTAAGAAATTGTTGTATAACACTATTCAAATTACCAATAACATTGGAGAGACTGGGAAACTAATGAAAAACGGAGATTATCTCGACCTTCAAATCATGACAAGTTTATTCCACGGAGCTTAAAAAAAATAAATCATAAGCATCAATAAGCAGCTGGTGAGTGTGCCGGAATAATGAATACAGTATTTCTTAGGAGAAACAAAATTATAGCAATAGTACATTGAGGAGAATGAAAGTCCGTGAGTTCATGCAGGATAATTAATATGACCATTGGAATGATAACTGACGAGATAATAATTGAACAAGGAACTACCCCCTTCTTACAGCGCACAACTGTCTCCGAATTAATGACGAAATTTCTTGCTTTGTGCGAATTCCATAGCAACACTAACATAATGTTTGAAATGTACGCCAAGAGCATGAAACGTCCTTTCTTTGCGCTATTTTCGTCTATGATGACCACCTCATTTGTACTATTATGAATAATAATAACGCTATCATTGACTTATTTCCATATGCGATCTTCCGTTTATGGAAGAATATAACTTGAACCGGCATCCATATTGCATCTGCTCAATAAATTCAGTAAAAATCACAGTGTTGAACAATTTAAAGATTTGCTGTACTAAAGAATAGTAATCAATCAATTAACAAATAAGCCACATCTTTCCAAAAATTGGTAATTTTTTGAGGAAATAGAATGAGCATTTTTAATTATTATTCAGAAAATTGGTATCTATTAAAAAATTTTGCTGGAAGTTATAGATAAAAGGATAAATTAAATGCGCTAAAAAATAATAGAGTGTATTGCAATATGCAGCGACTTCTGAAAATCCATCCAGATAGTAAAACAATAACAAACCTGCAAATTTCTCGTCAGTTTCTGAATCCAGGACCACAAATCCACAGTCTTCAAGTAGCTCGCATATTCTCTGTTGATCGATTGATTCGTTCGGATGCATTTGCCGCGTGCTCTGTAAAGAACGAGAAACGAAAATGAATTTTAAACGAATCTCTACAATCTCAAAGAAAATGCACGCCTTGGAAATGATTTACCACTACTATTTTTTTTCTTTATTTTTTCCCACTACTTCCTTCCTTCAGTTTAATTACATTATCAAACCTACCGTAATTTTCTAAAATGCGTTATTTTTTTAAAAATTTCAACAAGAACAAAAACTTACAGGCCTATATTTCTCAGGATTCCACTGCAACAAGAAGTGATAAATGGCATCAACTTTATGTTTTGGTATAGTAAAACAGAATTCTTGCCTTGCAGGATCACCGATCACATTTTCGGTGCTCACTGATGATGAACACACAGTATCGATTGCCGCCGATGATCCTGAAAAGTGAAAATTTTTAATCAAGACTGGAATTGGAATAGATGATTTTTTTCAAACTTGACAAACTGCCACATAAAACTGAGAGCTAAAGAATTTAGGGGAATAGATTAAATAATTAATATATGGTGTTTCATATAATTGATGAGACTCTAAAAAAGGAAGGCTGAAACAGCTTTTGAATTCTACATATTGTCTTCACCTTTCAGAATGTTCAAGCAAATCCCCGAAATTACCTTTTCTACACTTTCTTTCCTTCTTCAGACGAACAATCATATAGTACAATGAATCAGTTAGGGTACTTTTTTGAGTTGCTGAAAATGTTTGTGATGGAGGAAGAAGTTCGTATGTCGGTTTGAACAAGTTCAGCATCTCATTCATTGAAGTAGCACAAACGAGACTGTAAAAAAGGAAAAAATAAATCCATGGAGTATAAATAAATAAAGCGAAACATGTGTAGACGCATTAATTTCAGTGACTTGAACTAATTCATTCTTTTCCAATATCAAATTCTCTTATTCTAAAATTCAATTTCGATATTTGATTTCTATATTAACCTTGAATAATGACCATTATCAGTCATCAAAATGAGTGGATAACATAATTTCAGAATAATCAGAATGCTAATCGTTTTAATCTGACTATAGTTAACGACTTCAAATTTATTAACAAATAAATAAAACAGTACTTACTGTTTGTTTCTTACAGCTTCCTCTCGCAGCTGTTGAGTCTTTTCTTTTAACAACAACAATGTAGCCAAATCCTGCTCTTTCCGTGTCTTTGAAACAGCTTTATCCTGATTTATAAAAGTTATCCAATCATATGTTGGAAAACAATGATGTTCGAATTCAAAGTTGACATCAGTCGTGTGTTATGTATGAATTATGAGAAACAAATGGATCACAAAAGAGATTGTTATACCAAATTCAATCTAGTAAATTGGTATTGCCCTAATATCGAAAAAAGGTTTATAAATGGAAATAGCAAATAAGTCACAATATTTTAGGAAAAATGCTAAATCAATTAAAAAAAAAAAACAGCGTTCAATGAGTATTTTGAGGATGATCGTAAAATTCAAAAAGTGAAACAAATTAGTGCAATGTGGATTTAATTCAATTTTGAGAATGATCGTAGAATTCAAAAAGTGAAACAAAAATAGTGCAATATGGCTTATAAGAACAAAACCGCATAACGATGTTAATGAACTCTCCAAGATTCTTACATTCAAAGATCGAGCAAATAAAGTCTAACGAGAAAAGGGCAAAAAATAGTTAGTGAAATGCGAATATTATTTCAAAATTATAATTTGACTCTAGCAAGAATGTCAATTTCTTTTTTAGTGATAGTGCCTCCATTTAAGTATACTGTTGATAAAGCGTATAAGAAAACTTCCAACTGCATTACATTTTATAGCTTCTAAACAGAAAATAAGGCATAATACCACAAACCACATCATTTCGCATCAAAAATACTCGAGTCGTTAATAGAACTAACACACCGCTAAATTAACAGCAAGAATATTCTAAAAGCGAATATTCTCCACGAACACTCAAATTCATGTCGAAAAATCAAAAAAAATTAAAATATGCTAACTTGAAAAAACGCTGCTTCAGGATGTTGTGATGCAGAGAACAAACCGCTACTCATGCTCGCGATACCCTGCGGCATAGCAGCTACTGCACCAACAGCAGTTTTTGCATGGTTTGCTGCTACTTTAACACTGGTTTGGATACCAGTTTGTAGTGTACCTACAAAACATTGTTATACGCTTCATACATAAAATTATTTGGAAGATTTAGCTTCAAAAAACAGCAAATACAGGCAAAACATATGCTAGCTTGTTTCAATACACATCCTAAAATGTCCCATTTCTCGGATATATTACTCAAGCAGCTCATTTCATAAATTCATAAATCTTGATTCTCAATATCTTTGATAATAATCAGCAATATTATAATATCGCTGATTATTGGTTAAGAAAATGAATCCATACTTCCACAAAATTATTAGTAACACCAGAAAAGAGATAACATTTTAAAATAATATAGCGTTCAGTAAAGAGTCGAGTAGGGGAGATAACTACTTGAGGAAAACGATATAGCTTAACAACGTCTTTCTCAATTACTAGTAAGAAATGAAAAAAAAATTCAATTTCAAAAAGGTGTCTTTTGGTACACCTATACTTGTTTTACTTCTTATTTCTCAAACGGCGTTCAATCTTTCCACTATTTATTATCTTATAATAAGAAATCGAACAATTAATAATCTTATCAGCAATTTACAATAAAGCACCATACATAGAGAACAAGTTGTAGCTACCTCACGTTTATAAGCAGAATTTTCAATTCCAATTTGTAAGAGTAATTTAAAATACAAACAACTCGAACATGCCACTTTTGAAATTATGGAAGCATTTAAATTTCAACGATTAATTCGACTCTCATTTCAGTATATAATTTCCAAACAGTTGACTTTACTAGGACCAATTTTCTTTTTACCTTAAATGTAAGTTAGGGGAAAATAAAAACTACAACAAAATCATCTATCTTGTATCAGGAATATTACTTTTGTGTTAAAGATGCCAGAGAGTAATATTCCTCTAATATTTTGCATCTTCCACAAAAAAGCGCTCTCGATCATTACGCCAATCCCGACGAATCTATAGTAGACGAGTGCTGCAGGCTAGCCTACGGTTAGTACTGAATTTTAACGATTCAAAGTAACATACAGCCAATTCTGGACCTTACCTGCAACAGCTTTGCTATGGGAAACAACACCATGAGCAACTGACTTTGTACCGCTCATTGCTGAGTGTGTCATACGTTCGGCTCCAGAAGTCATGGACCCACGAATTGTGTTTGCATGAATACTGAAACAATTATTTTTTGAAACTTGCATAAGAAGCAGATTTAGGCTCTATATTTCAAAGATCGATCAGCAAGAAAGATAAGTCTGCAGGACAAAGAATGCAACTGTTATAAACATTTGTATACGCAAATAATAAATTATGTATTTCAGCGTAGCAGAAAATACACCAAAAACTTTGCCTTTTGACCTTTTAGCAAACTACACTAGAAGTGAAAATTATAAGGACAATTGATTTCACGGAAAAAGCTTGAACTAACCTTAACGTCCTTCCAAGTTTAGAAAGTGGTTTAAAGGTTAACCCAGTACGCGTACTATCCATGCTGGTCGAAGGTTGCGAAGAATATTGATGCTTGTTCTCACCATTCCTGTCCGAAATTTATATTTACTTCCAAAAGATGTTTGATTTCTGAGAATATGATAAATATCTTAGACAGAAATGATCAAAATTTAGAAAAATAAGCTCAAAAGTATCATAAATTACTCACTCTGAGATAAACGTTCTATTCATTCCATCACCTTTCTGCCCTGAAAGATTGTGCAAAATAGCAAATAGATAAGAAAATGAACGTAATCAAAGTAACGCAATAAGAAAATGAAAAAAGCTTGTTTTCAAGTTCGGATTTTTAAAATTAAAACAAAAATCTGAACAAACGCGACATATCACATGTAAATTGTTTCCAACCGTTCGACAGATCAGAATAACTGCGCCGAGAAGTTTTAGATAATTTCGTAGCAGCTTCATCTAATTTATTTTCTTTTTCGACAATTAGCGATTTATCGGACTCAACAATTACGTGTTCAGCGTGTACCTGTAATATGGAATAACTACATTCTCTTAAATTGGCAAAATACAGCGACGGATGAAAAAAATTCCTGCTGAAAGAAAAATTTTATTTCAAAAATTTATTAAAAAAAATGCCTCGGGAAGCTTCAAAATAACCACTTCCATCCATGTCATACTTTGGAAATTGAATAATATAAGAAAATTTATGAAGACCAAGATTAGGAAGTGACTTTCCTAAACTTAAAAAGCTGAATCTTTCTTGGTGATTTCAGCATCTATTCGTTATCTAGGACTTCAAAAAGCCACAAATGACTGATATAAATATAAGTTCAGATGTATATGTTCCACAGCCGAACAATGATACAAACATTGAAAAACAATAAACATGGAAATGCTCGAATATCTTTTTATCCCTGGTAAATTAAGAATGTGCTCTTTCAATGGCAAAAAATCAAAGAATAAAATTTATGACAGACAAAAAGTTTTTTGACCACAAAACTTTTCTACGTGGGAAAATATGTTTAAGAAGACTGAAAAGGCTTTTACGCAATTTTCCTAAAGAAAGTAACACTGAGTGTATTGTATAATGAAACTACCTCTTGATCTCCTTTTCGTTTTATTTCTAAATCCATGTCATCAAAAAAAATTCTCGACGATTGATCAACTGAAATTGTGCATAGTTGCGTTATTATCTCGATTACTGTCATTATAATCACTTCTTCAAAAGTTTTTGCTCCTTAATCTTTAAGATAATTTGTAATGTTAGGGTTGCTAATATAATGAATGAGGCGGTAGCCATTTGAGTATGATTGACATTAGACTTCTTGCTCACTTCATTATGCCATAGCATATCTTCTAGTGATTTACAAAGAGTTAAGACACTATTACCATTCAAATCAGGTAAGCTCACCATTTCCACTTAGAAAATACTACTATGAATCTATCTGAAGCAAATTACTCTAATAAACTTAATCTCTTCACTTACAATTCTGTAGGAAAGGAGTAAAAACGTATCTAATAAATTCATAATTCTTAAAGAAATCGTAAAAAAATTTTTAAAAAACATAAAAATTAGAGTTATAACACTGGCTGCTGTTAAATTCATAAACTATTAAATTCAAATGGAAGGAATACCTGCGAGAAATAGTAAGTTGAAAATCTAATTTGACACATTGGTAAAAAATGAAAAAAACTGCAATGTTGTTAAATAGAGGAAGAAATAAACACCTGTACTTGCACAAATATCATCGGCCAAATTCTTCGATGTTTTCTTCACAATTTCCTTCTGGAAGTTGTTTGAACGAAATAAAACTAAGCTAATATTAAATACTTTCTGTATTTTTTGGATCACTGCTTAAAAACAATGAGGAAGCATTTCTGTAGCTTAACAAAATTTTGTAAAAAATCTCCAAAAAGTAAAGAAAATAATAAATTATTACAGACTCAAGAATTAATTTGACATAAGAAGGTAACTAACAGTTGCAGGAACGGTAACACATTCAGGAACAGATGAATCTTGATCAGTGAGATTATGAACTTCTCTATCCTCCCTAGCATCGCTTCCAACACTCTTAAACATTGTTACAGACATCACTTCTTCCATCCTATAAAAAATATTTCACGATGAGCAAAGCTATATATAATCACGGAGTTTGAAATTAGCTAACACTAATTTCAGTCTCAAAAATTTCACATTTGAAACTTTCAAAATTTGAAAATGTAAGGAAAAATTCTGATAGTTGGTGTGAACAGTATTGATACCCCAGATACTTAAAGCTTTAAGAACAAGGTCAAGATTTCATATACTCATCCATTACTGCGCTAAAGCTAAAACGAGGAAGTGATCTTCTGATAAGAATGGCAGACTTGCTAACCTTATATAATATATCAGCAGCACTGGATTATTTACGAAAACAATCTAATTAGACTTGCTAAATTTCTATCGACCTAATAGACGTAATTCTGTGATTTACCGCTATCAATTAGGTTCCATAATTGATAACAGCAAGCACCAGAATTACAAAAAGTTGTACAAATACAACAGTAAATATAAATTTATAACGTGAACTAACCGGGCCATCATAATATACAAATCTTGTCCATTCTCAAGAACCAAAGGATGTGCAACGTCCGGATCGAACATCAAGGCATTAGGTGTCACCAACAAAGTGCCTGCCACTGTTCCATTCATCTCAGTTATTTGTTTTACCTTCAAATTGAATATAGTAGAATTACATAAGCTGAAACAGTTGAATTATATGTATATATATTTTTATAAGCGATAGAAAAACAGAAACGAATAAATATAAGAAATAAAAATGAAAAATGTACTTTAATACTACTGGAGAAATGTGCTTTTCTCTACCATTATACATCCGTCCTTTCTGTCTTACAAAGGCAGTTAAAAATATATACATTCCGAGATTAATGTTCAAAAGAAAAATATCTCTAATCGAAAACTGAAAATCTACTTTCGTCAAAAAGCGTTACTTTCTCACCTCCATCCATAAAACAATTCTTTCTGTAAAAATCGTTTTCTTGCCTTCATACCTTTAGCTTGATGAATCTCTTCATACAGTCCGTGTCCGTTTCTTCTGCCAAATCAACTTCCTTTGAACATATTTGAGATACACTTTGTATTTCCAATTCAGTTTTTGAAAGGTCCGATATCGTTGCAGCACGCCCACCCACCTGAACTGCCATTCCAGGTCCGCGTCGAATTCTACCTCCTTCTGCAAAAAATATATGAAATGTATTGAATACGTTATCCTTGTACTTTCTTCAAATTATTCTTAAGCTAACAATAGTTTTGTCTATCATTTGCAGTAAATAGTTTAGAAGAATGAAAGGAATTTATAGAGAGAGACAATAAAAAAAGATGCTACCCTCTTTTATAGATTAACGCAGCAAAAGCATAGACACTGATTTGGTTCAGATCAGATTAAAATGCTGATATAAACCACAATAGTACGCTGCTATTTTCTTCGGCAATCTTCTAGTAAATATCACAAAATAACTAAACGATCTAGTGAATAAGTTATGCGTAAAGAATTAAGTGATCAAACATTTTTTGTCATCAAAACTATATACTACATCACTAGTATGACGAAAAAATTCTTCTCAAAATGACTAAACTTTAATTTCCAATTTTTTGGCAATAAAGTGCGGGAAGAATAATGCACATGTAGCATAAAAGCAATTCTATTTTTATTGACATTTAAAGTATAGCAGTATTTAGGACGAATGGAATTCTGATGGATTCTGGCAGATTTTTTTGTGGATTTCAAACATCAAACGCTATTTAAATTTCCGAAAACATACGTGTATATTGTTGGAAGAAGTGCAACACAAAGAAAAAAAAATATATATTTTATTTAGGAAAACTGATAGAATAACTATAGTTGGTAAGAAGTGCTCATATTCAGGAAAAGTAATGGAACAGAAACATCGTTTCCGTGAAGCGGAAATTGGCCATCCGATAGTAGCTCTGCTGACTTCGCTTCAATGCTACAGTCATCCATTTGCATTCGTATTACGTCCTAATGTCTGCACTGCAGGCATTAGAACAGAATACGAATGCATAACAGATGAATACGATCAGCGCATAATACTTCAGAATTCATTCAAAAAAGAATGAAACGTATAAAAATTTCAATGCTATGCAATAGTTCCTTTATTTACCCAAAATGTAGTATTCAAAATTTACATTTTAAACAAAATCAAACTACTTTCATTTAACCACACATCATTTTACGTATATTTTTGCTAACCAGTTGAATGTGTATTGCTTCCTGAAGCTATTGTGGCTTGATTTGAAGAGTGGCGATTTCCCAAAATAATGTCATCATTTTCATCCATCGGGCAAGGAACAATAAGCTTTTGTCCAGGGAATACCTTCAAAATCACGTTATCATCTTACCAATTAATAAAATGCCGCTTATTTATATAAAAACTTTATTTCAAAATAATTATAGCCAAAATCTTCCAAAACCGCTGCGAATCTTTTTCCTGCATTTTTCATAAACATCTAAATATCTTTAAATACCGTTTCATCCTCATGACTTATTATCGAAAATAGATACATCTAATACTGTGTACTCAGTAAGCGATCATGCTTGCTGACGGTAATTTGACACAAGAGAAAAGAACCAAGCATTACTCTTTCTCAAAAGAGAATCAAGATGGTAGAACACAAATTGCCTTACTTTAACATAAATTTTCCTACTTAAGTTGGATTCAGAACACATTAAATGTGATAAGATACATATCGAATAAATGATTTTTTTTTTCAAATTCTTCTAAGATATAATACCCTCTATTAAAATTGCTCCCGAATATTTAGAAATACAATATTAACGTCGAAAAAAAAACGCTAAATTTACCATTCGAGTTGCAAGTCGATTCATCTTCATCAGATCACCAACAGTACAATCATGTATTGCAGCAATTCGTTCAATCGAGTCTGATTGCGCTACCGTGTATTCCATCTATAAAATAAAAATGGAATGCCATCCCTTTTGGAATCATAAATGACAGATGTTTTCTTGAAAAAGTTATTTTCAAAATACGATTTTGTCAAAGCAATCAGAAATTTCTGAAAAGGAAATATCAAAAAATTTAGGTTAAAATTTGATTTGAATGAGACGATTAGTTTAGCTGTAAAAACACTAATTCATCTAAAAGATCGATTGCTTAAATCACAATAACATACGCAGGAGTTGAAGTTAGTACGTGACAACAACAAATCAGTATCGTACTGTTTGAGATTACACGGTTTCAGTTGCAAATATATTAAAGTATATAAGAACTGAAACAAAAAGTGATAAATACGCTAGAGAATGAATGCTAAAGAAAAAAATGACTTTGATTTCCAGTTTTTGAAATTAATTTTTCCTCAGCAGCAATAGCAAAAAAAAGAAAAGAAGGAAGTTCAGCTTATCCAACAAAGGCTGAAATTTAAGACTTCGCAAATTTTCTAAAGAATTGCAAGTCTAAATTGATCATAGAAACAGCGAAACACATTCATTAAATTATAAGCTAATCAAGTCAAAACCACCCTACTAAATTTACTGATTTACTGATCAAAAGAGGAAATATTCTAAAGTCTAAATTTAACTTTGCCAAAATTTTGATGCAATAAAGAATAAGATATTAATATAGGAAGGAAAGGCAAAGTGTGAACTATAAGCATAATTTACATAATAAGGTCGCAAACCGGAAATTCTATTTAAGGATGACATGGACTCAAACGCGCCTAAAATTACATCTTAAAAACGTAGAAAGTAATACTTGCCAGTTTAGGAGGCAAATTGAATTTTATTTTCTAGGTAAAGAAAGCTTTTTTAAATAAAAATCAATATTTTAGGGACAAATAGTGAAAAATTTTCAATACTGCTTCCCGATTTTTAACTAGTCAAGTCCTAAATTAACGGTGACTGTAGTAAAAATCTTCATTTGGAGGATGATGCTGTACTGAAAAGAGGATAAAGTATCATCCTCCGCTTATCCAATTTACAAAAGCAAATCTTCCTACTGTCAGATAAATAAGTACATAGACATTTTTAATACTAAACAGAGCATGCTTCCAGAAACAGATGACCAAACTTTTGAAATCTCTCTAATTAGTAAGTGGTACGTCAAAGTTAGATGTTGCTACCACGAACGTACGTTTTACTGTGCATGAAGGAATGAAATTACAATTTCAGATTAAAGTTAAAAAATTTTTTGTAGGTCCAAACTCTTGTCGTTAAGAAACCAGTGGTGATTAAATCCAGTTAGTTGGTTAATCTAGAACTGTATTATTTTAATGGACAATTGGAATTGCAAGCTTCAATGAATACATGAGATTTCTATCAGATGTCATTTAAACTTAATTGATAATTTGATTAGCTAATAAATGACTGAAATCATTAAAATTAAAAAAAAAACAAGCAACAAAACCATTCTTATTCCATTGCACGATGAAAAAATTCATATACTGTAACAAGGGATATAATAAGTGCAGTATCAGATGAGTACTGAATACATAGGTTTATCTGATAATAATTGCAATAATAGCCCTGATCTCAGAAAAACCACACATTAGTTAATTTAGGTGAATAATTTTAGAATTTCACGGACGGAATACACTTCGTGATGAGGATAGACTAAACCACTCTACGGAATATAGAGAAAAAAGGCTTATTGGTTGAATGAACGTAATAAAGAAAGAGTTACGAATAGATACAAACAGATGCTTGCTAGCTCCTACGAAAATTCATTTAAGCTTATTCCACGAGAAAAAATTTGTCGTTTTATTGGCACTTGCTAAAAGTGTGCTTGTTTGCTTCACAAATTAAAAAAATGTGTTCCTAAACTTCTGGGTTTCATTTTTCATTTGCTTTCTCCGCCAATTATTCAAGAAGGAAAAATCTTTCCGATATTCAAAATGCATAACCCAATAAAATGTGGAGTGGTCTTCGTACTCCATGAATACTTTTCTATCAAAGCTGATCAATACCACCACTACTCAAAACGACTAATGATAATATGAACATGGTAATAATTAATTTTTATTATAATTAATAAACATGACACAAAAAATATTATATTACAAATGCTCCAAAAACAATCCTTGTCCTTGATATGCCGAATTTGCTTCAGTCAAAAAATGCTCAGCATAAAAACGAATTGCACTCTTAAGTACCTTCAAAGTACAAATTTCCACTTGACTTATGATGGAATAAGTAATTGGAACAAATTTCAAAACCAACTAAAAACTCAACTATACAAGCGCTTAATATCACTGTAGTCATTTCTTAAGAATCAAAGCAAGAGCTTGCTTTCGTATTGCCACAGCAATGACCGATTCTACATTTTCATAAATGATAAGAACTGAAGAAAATCATAAATTCATACACGTAGGCATGAAAAGTATTGTTAAGGTAATGGATTATCGTCCAGAAACAATCGTTTGTAATAAAGTACTGTCCATGCGACAAAATTCCACGTCAACCACAAAAAGGTAAATTTTGAAACAATTCAAAAAGGAATGGTTAGGAAACTTTCAAAATTATGCTTTAAATTCCCAAATACTTCGTTTTAAAAATGAGAAGAAACAGAAAGGTAGTAGGTGCTATTCACCAAAAATCGATAAAAACAAATTGATATTAAGCAAACAATAAACTAATGCAAAATACACTGATAGTGATCTTGCTACTGTACAAAAATCGTACCATAACACAAAAAACATCTCATTTCCTATAAAACAAGAAACCAAAAATCTCTGGATCTGTTTTAAATATCTCAAATATATTTTAAATGAATAAAAAATTACATAAATATATCATTTTTACAGTACATCTGCTTGCTCTGTAAAGTGAACAAAAAATGTATTGCATCACACAAAAATCTCCGCGTGACTTGTACTCTTAGATTTTGAGTTATAACTATCAACGAAAATCATATCCATGACTTCTGGCAAGAATAATAAATCACGAGAAATATTATCATGCATTTGACTTCAGCAGAATTCGAGCTGTTTTGATACTGAATAGTTTTAGTATCAATTTTTCCAACTTAAATATGAAAAAAAACAACAAAAAATAATAGTATTAAGGTATTTACGTCTGTTCCAACTGTAAACCATCCAACAGTAACAAGAAATAAAACAACTTAAATAATCATTTATATAGAATTTTTCTACAGAGTTGGATTTTTTTGGAGGCAGTGAGTAAAAATTGATAATTTATTTCCGATTATTTTCCTCAAAAATGTAAAGATAAAAAGATAAAATTTTTGGCTTCAAAACTGAAATTTTAAACTTTTCTAAAATTCATGTTCTAAGACTGTCAGTCTTAAACAGTAATAGCTTCATATAAGCAGATGTGAAGAATGTATGGTAAATGGGGAAAAAGAAGAGAAGAATTGCTTGCTGAAATAATCATTAGCAAAACTAGCAAAAGACGGGTTTAGGTTATAACCGTGCGAAGTACAAAAAAATTAAAATTTAACGTGATGAAAGGACGGCTCTGACATTTCTCAAATGAATGATTTTTGGAATCAAATTTCAGTTCTCTACCACATACAATTAGCAGGAATGTGGTGAATGACTGTTCCTGCTGTGGTAACAACTACTTCATGGTAATAACTACTTCGCCAAGCAAGTTCTTTTTGTGATGGGATAACATAATGCGAAATAACGCGGAGAGATTTAGCTTAATGATTGTAAGATTGGAACTGTCTAAATTACTTGCACGAATTTGTGATGGATACTAAACAGATCAAGACAACTTGAGAACATCATTAAACCAGTTTTTTTTCTTTTTCAAGTTTTCCGTTGAATATGGCTCTTCCTGCAAATGAAGTACCGGACACCTGTTTAGAACCAAAATGTAAATCAAATCGAAGTTTTTACAGACAATTTAGCATTCCATGAAGTTAACTAACTACGTGACTCTACAGAACTTTTCGAAAAAAAAATTGAACATTTGTGAATATCTCAAACTTCAGCATTGTCCATCAAACGAATGCAATCTAAAAGCCTGACAATGCGAGGAGGTAGAATTGCATTCTGCTAACCATTTATCAGCCATAAACAAAAATTACTTTTATGGTGTTGCAAATAGAAAAGAGTATAAAAGTTTCACATATTTTATAAACAATGACAAGATAATCAAAAGTGAATAAGAAGTTCCAGACAAACGCTGAACGCTATTCAGATATGACATACCTTTTACAAATTACTTTTTGAATCATTTTCTTGAAATTATCATCATAAGTTCACAAATCGTAAACCAATCTAGAAAAGAAAAAAAACTTCTAACAATAAAATAGCAGATAATGAAAAACATCTGGTATTGGGATTAATAGCTCCAGTCACTATGTCCTGATTATTTAGATTACGGTCACTCTAGAAAACAATATTGAATTAAGCAAATTACGTCGCTAGGTATGTTATTGCTCATTCCACTCGCGAATCCATAATAAAAATTTTATTCAATCGAGAGCGAAGAAAAATTAGTTTCAACAATTAATAAGCCTCAAACTACAAAAGTGATACTGTGTTGATAACCCACGAATTAAACAAAGCAATGTCAATAACTAAAACTAACTGTTTATATGTACTTAAATGCAAAAACCTAATTCTCAAGCATTTATAAACAGCATCTTTACATGAAAATATGTAAGGTAAAAAAACAAAATATAAAATTTCCACCATAACAGCTATATTTTAAAATGATTAACAAATATTATAAAATTTATTGTTTTCAATGAGCGTTCACAAAGTCCCATCCTACTCCCTTCCATGACGGAGTTTCCTTCAAAGTCGACACTCCTCGTCTATTTTATATGTTGAAAAGTGCAACATTTCATGAACATGTCATGAACAACCACAATTTTTATTTTCCATAGACTGTCAGATTCAATAGAATGATCCTTACTTAACATAGAACCGCAAATAACATTATTACATTGATTTTACCAGAAAAATCAAGTGGATTTTCTT